AACAATCACTGACTGCGATTTGTATGATTGACTTTGTATTATGATACACTTATCATAAATTCGTAAAGAATAGTTTTAAAATAAACAGCTTGTTTTATTTTATGATTGGAGTGATGTATGCATAGAAGAATGACACTGGTTTTGAAATATCTTAATTATCCCATTGAATGAAGCCATCCGTCCCTCTGTCCATTCTTAACTCATACTAGTGGACTGATTTGATTTAAAGGAGAAGTCTCGGTGTAGAACGTGTACACACTAATGGGAACGAATTTTACTCATTTCTATTTAGGATTCGTTCATATACTAGCGGGGCTTTAGAGCATTTACAAACGCACGAATTGTATTGTTTTAAGGCAACTTTTATGACATATAATGTATTTAAAGCTGATTAATTTTAGATTATATTCGGTTCAATTTTACAAATAATGAATAGTATTACAGTATATCGAAAAATATACAATGATTTATAGTGTACGCCAAAACTCCAGAAAATCCCATTAACTGATGTTGAGGTAGGTTACTATGATTTGACCCATAGTCATTATAGATTGGTTCATTGACTATTCATTTTTACTTGTCTGCACTCAAAAAAGTGACACGAAAGGGCTAAACGGCTTGCCCCAAGGTGCAACCATCAAAAAGATGAGTTTGACAAAAATCTTTTTTTTCAAATAATAGCACCGAGTATATGAAATAGGAGGCAAATTTGATATTGATGTGTATGATAGTTCATTTGGGTGTGGTCATTTTTATCAAAAACAATAATATTGAAGAATTATACATTTCTGACCTTAAAATGCCATTTTAATGCAAAAGTCACGGTTGCTATTAATTACCTTCCTATTTTACCTATTCAATGTTTTCTATATATTACACTTACCATTATATTCATTTTTGGCAAAGTAAATAATAATGGGGCTCACACAAGGATCCACTTTATTTACAACTTTTTCATATTTAGTGATGTTTTGAAAAATGACTACGTTTAACAGAAAATTATTTGTTAAATGTTAAACAAAATAATGATTATGTGTTTGTTTCGTTGTTTCAACTGAAAAATCACAATTCATTGCTCTTGATCTTAGAGCGACATGGCATATACCAGTATGACCAATCTTCAATACAGTTGATTCTTGTGTGATCCCTACTATTATTTACTTTGCAAAAAACTAATATAATGGTTATTCAGATATATGAAAATAATTTGATAGTCGAAATAAGAATAATATAATTGACGTTTGAATAAAAAAGCATTATATAGTCAGAAGTACCAAATGTGTACCATAATTGTTTTTAAGAGAATAACCATTCCCCAATGGACTATCTCTACATATCGATAACTAGATTTTGCGAAATTTGCTTTTTTGAAAACGCACCTGCTTATTCTTATTCAATTTAGAACCACAACAGAAAGTAACTCTGAAAAACTTCGTCAGCTTGACTGAAGATTATTGAGTGCAGTCATAATATGACCTCATATTTGGATAACCTCTCTTCTGTTATAATTTGACTTCAAATTGGCAAATTGTATTAAAATTGACTTGATAAAACAGAAATGATCGACTATTACTTTTGAAATGTCAATTGTAAAAAATATATTGCTCTAACCGAATTGAAGTAGAAAATTGATTTTACATATTTATCTAAACATAACAATATCGGTCCATGTTTTCTTTTTAATGGAATTGTAGCGTGGCTGCTAGTTCAGGCGGTAGAGCATCAGAATCTAGACTAGAAGGTACTAGGCTTGGTTCACACACAGAGCATTACCAAGCAACTCCCCGAAGGAACCATCGGGTCCTTACAGAGTGCCATATTTGCATATTAAAGTAAATAGACGATTTTGCCACCCTCCCGCCATATTCTTGTGTATCTTTAATAATACTAGCAAATCTACTGTTCGAGTCGGTCACAGCAGCCCCACATGGCCTTAAAATAATTCCAAATACCTGGCTATTGACTTTTGACCTTTTCCGATGCATGAGATGAACTATCCCAAAGGCCTTAAAAGGCTTAATACCTAGATAATGACTTTTGACCTTGAATTGACATGACCCATCAGTAATGACTTTGACCCCAAGTCGCCTAGTCTCTAAGCGTCACAGCATCCCCCGAGTGCCTTGAAACATCAATACCTAGATATTGACCTTGACCTTGAGATGATCTTGAATTGAACCATTAAATGATGACTGACCTCATGTCACCTTATCATGAGTCGCCAAGGGCCACAAAACGCCAAACACTAAGATATTGAAATTTGACCTTAGATTGACCCTGACCTCAGGTCACGTTTCAACGGAGTCAAGTGCAGCAGGCGCCCCAAAACGCCAAATATTTAGATATTGATCTCTGACCTTGACCTATAACAATGACACTGATCTCAGGTCACTTTATCATTGGTGATCAAATGTCAGTGTAGCCTCAAACGAGCCAACTACCTAGATATTGACCTTTGACTTAACTATAATTTTGAACCATAGATATTGACTTTGACCTCATGTCACCTTAGCATGAGTTACCAAGGGTTATAGCAGCCCCCAGGGCCTAAAATGCCAAATACAGAGATTTTAACCTTGTAGGAATGACCTTGACTTCAGAACACATATCAATGGGTCCTCACATGATGCAGTATCCCCAAAATGCCAAATATTCAGATATTGACCTCTGACCTTGAGATGACCTTGACCCATAAACAGTGACATTGACCGTAGGTCACTTTATATTTGGTGATCAAATGTTACTGAAGACCCACAGTAGCCAACTACCTATGACCTAGATATTGACCATTGACCTTGAAATTACCTTGAAATCACCTTATCATTGGTCGGAAAAGGTCACAATTGTTCTCACGTCAACTTGCTAGATATTGACCTTTGACCTTGAAATTTCCTTGATCCATTCAGACCTTGACTTCAGGTCACCTAATCATTGGTTGTGGAGGGTCAAATCAACGGCCAGGTGTCTTAAAAAGCCAACTACTTAAATATTGACATTTTACCTAGAAATTACCTTGACTTTTGTAGAATACACTTTTTATTAACAAAAATGAAACATTCAAAGTTGAAAACTGACCGTTTGAAAATAACATTGCTGCTTATGTTTCAAAACGAAGGTATCTGTATTGTAAAAGTAATGTTCAAATTGAATAAACTCAAAGAAATATACTTCAATTATTTAATTTTCTATCAGACTAACTAACTAAAATTGTAACTGTTCTAAATGTAAATGTTGCAATGAAAGCTCACATATATCTTGTTGCATATCAGTCGAGTGCAGCTGCTACAGGTATCACTCTGACAAACATCGGTGAACAAATCAAACTTGATGTGATGCAAATCGGTATCTTTTTTAATTTGGCGTCCAAGCAGAATGTTGGACAAAATGGCTAACTGTTAGATAAACCATCAATAATGGAAGGCCCATTTGATATTAATATGGAAAGATAGTCCACTTTGGTGTGGTAATTTTACTGCAACAACTACATATATATGTACATGTATAATGCCTTTTTATTCAAAAGTCAATCATTGTATTCCTATTTAACCTATTAAAGGATTTTTATATATCTGAATAATCGTAATATTCATTTTTGGCAAAGTAAATAATCATAGGGCTCATAAAAGGATCAACTTTATTGAAGACTTTTTGTACTCGTATGCCCTGCAGCTCTAAGAGCAAGAGTAATGAATTGCGATTTTTAGTTGAAACAATGAAACAAACACAATATTTAATATTTAACAAATAAAATTGTGTTAAACTTAGTGTTTTTTAAAATCATCACTAAATATGAAAAAGTTGTAAATAAAGTGGATCCTTGTGTGACCCCTATAATTATTTCCATTGCCAAAAACTAACATAATGGTAATTGAAACATTTAGAAAACATTGAATAAGTAAAATAGGAATATTATCATTAGCAACAGTGACTTTTGAATTAAAATGGCATTTAAAGGTCAGCAATATATAATTCTCCACCATTATTGTTTTTAATAAAAATGACCACACCCAAATAGACTATCATATATATCAATATCAAATATGCCTCCAATTTTATATACTCACTGCTATTATTTCAAAAACATGATTTTTTTCAAACTCATATTTTTGACGGTTGCACCTTGGGGCAAGCCGTTTAGCCCTTTCGTGTCACCTTTTTAACTGCAGACAAGTGAAAATGAAAAGTCAATGAACCAATCTATAATGACTACGGGCCACTTCTTAGTAATCTACCTCAACATCGGTTTAGACTAACTAAGCCACTTTGGAAGCGATTCGGCGCATACTATTACATTAAATTGCGCAGACTGCAAACAATGTACATGGTTGGCGAATTTGCATGCGCGTTCTTGATAATAAGAATTAAAGGTTGAACTTAAAAATCAAACATTTTCTTTTTTAAACATAATAAATCTTTAAATCAAGAAAATAGAAATAAGATTGATGATTGAACTTTTCATAGTCAACTGTGACTGTGTCGACGCATGTTTATTTACTTAGCTAATTAGATATGTAAAATTGTTAATGGCCGCAACGGATAATACGTACATGTAAGCTGTTCGGATAAGACATTTCTATATGATTAATAACAAATCCCTGGCAGTATGTTATTCAGCAGTAACAGATCGTATTAGTTATTATTCAATTTGGATAATAAATCTATTATCTCGTCGTATTGATGTTTATTATATAGTGTTTCTCGTTGTGTAAATGTGTATATATTATTTTAACTTTCTTACATCACATTGTATTAAATAATTATGTATGATGATCAGAATTGGTCGCAATAAAGAAATATATATAAAATGAATTATCTGATCTACTTTCAAAAAATATTTTGGCTCAAAATTCAAATCTATTTATAATATGTATGTGCTGCTGAAACAGTATTTTGTTGATCGAGATAACTTTTCTTCGGTCCTTTTTTGACACCCTGAGTATATTTGATGAGGAATGATTTTAACAACACATCCTGAAGGAAACTATTGCGATCTTCATTACCTGTCAAACTCTTTATAAAACATTTCATTTCCAGGCTCATAATTGCCATAATGTGAAGATAGTTGCTCTTGGAGACAATGATTGGTCAGGTGACCTGTGACATCATTGAGGTCTTCAAGATTGTAAGGATCAGATGATGTCCTCAATACACCCTCTTTGTAAAGGTAGATTTCAAAGTTTGTGTTGACTAGCACCCAGCACCTGAAACATTACAGATAGAATAAGGAATCTGACATATGTACTTGGGATGCCTGGAAAAATCATTCATAAGAAAATGGAACCATACCTCTAAGTTCTATGTTCCTGTTCATGAAATACATCAAGCACATGTATGGCCAATTTACAATGATGAACATGTATCTTACATGGTTAGTGCATAATGTAAATTTTTTATTTCATTATTCATTATTTATGAATTGTTTGTTTTAGCCACGCAAAATGCACAACCTTATTTATGAATGGTTGGCTTCTCTGTATTCCTACTTTCTCTTAAAAGCCCATGGGGGATAAAAGTTTATACATAAAGAAAGATTGTTTGAGCTGTTGAAGCATAAACCTTAGAACTCCAATGGTTGCATTTGTGAATGTTTGGGAAAGGCCTTGAAAAACCAAGTTGAACATTATTTAGACTGTTATTCAATTATTTATCAACTGACAGGCTAAAATAATGCTGAGCAAAAATAACTTAAAATAATCTTAAAACAAGGCATTAACATGCAAAATGTTTCCACTTAGCTGCTATTTGTTACAGATGCTGACCGCTAGATTCCAAGTGCCGGAAGCCATACACTGTCCACAAAAAAAAAGTTGGAGACTATAACAATATGTCCGAACTGCTGGTGGTGAGATAAAAAGCTTCCACTTTACATGTACATATACCTGATATCAAACTTTCTATTACCCTCCAGTAGAAGAGGCTCCTCTATGTACTTCTGTATTACATGAGCTTGACTGTGTCTATCTACATAGCTAAGAAGCTCCTCAGCCTGCTTAGATATTAGGATCCCTTCACCTAGTAAATAAAAAAAAGTTCATGGTAATGAAACAAATCATGAGAGTTGATTTGATAAAAGAACAGCTTTTGTTACAAAGGAGTGGTATCAATATGGAGAACTTTTTGAACACATGTTTCTCTTAAACCAGTCATTAAAAATCTAAAAATTTAAAACACATCGTCAATTTAATGGTCATATTTTGAATACTACCAATATAATTTGAAATATATATATACTTTCACAAGTATGGTGGAGGTGGGGGAAAAGGGTGTATTAGACATTGTTTCTTTTCACGTTAGATCATGTTTTTTGGCTATATGGGGTTTGTTTTTCTTAACTGGTATGCACTTAGAGTTTGCTTTTTCTTGCTAAGTTCCATTACAACTTTTGGTCCTTTCCCTTTGGCACTAGTGCTTATATATTTTCATCTATATTGTTTTAGAAAACACATCAAACACTTGTTTTGCTCTTGGTATCATGTTTCCAAAGTGAAATGAAACATCTTTCTGAACCTCATTGGAACAAAACGACATAAACACAACATGTTTAGGTCTCTCAATATTGTAATTGTACAAAGGAAATTTTGGTTGATTTTAAAAAAGTATCTTGTTAATGAAATAAAAGGTTTATCTTGATTTTTATCTATTTTGGGGGGATTTTGTTTTAATTTTTTGAATACTTTTTTAAAATCAACCAAAAATTCCTTTGTATAATTATAAAATTGAGAGGTCTAAAAATATGTTGTATATGCTATTTTGTTCCAACAAGGTTCGGAAAGACATTTTATTTCATTCTCAAGAATTGGTAGAAAGGAGCAAAAACAATTGCACTAAAAAAAAAAAGTTAACAAAAACAGCTATATAAAACATTTCTAAATAATTTTTGCATTAAATTGTTGTCTATCAATCAACATTACATAAAATACCATGTTTTTTTACAGAATGTTTTCAATGATTGGTTTAAGAGAAAAACATTGTTGAAATTAGTTCTCCATATCGATATCACTCCTTTACACTTTTATGAATCTATATTTCAAGTCATAGAAAGGGAAACTGTCTTATCATTGTGGAGTAAAATTTACGTAAATGATGAAATAAAAAATAAATTCTTCATTATATCTGGCAATGCTAAAATAAAAGCCAGGGTGGTTTAAACCTGAAGCACCCCGTTAGTTCTATTCCACTGAATTTATCAAATGGATGTGCTCATCAAGGAAACATTCTTCATAATGAATACCATACCTTTGGCTCCTGATGATGATTTGACAATCCAAATGTTTTGGACGTCTCCGTTATATTCTTGAAACTTCTTTAAGAAATCTTCACGTTCATCTTTACGCTTAGCTGACTTCACACGCTCTTTAAGGGTAAGAGCCTCTTTGTCTGATGGTGTGTCTCCTGGGGGGTATATGATGAAAGATGGAGGAACCCACTCGGGGAGCTCACTACCATCTGTGAAGCAATATTTCTTCAATGTACTGGAAAATAATGTGAATAAAATGCTATCATGGGTATGACAATTAAGGCATTAATCAAATGACAAGATGTTATCGACAAATGGCCCTGAAACATTTGTCACAGACAGCCCACTGCTAAACACCAGTCAAAAAAATTAACAATACGTATAGCACTTTTTCCCTCACTTCTTGATGGAAGCATTTCATCAACATACTAGGCCTTGCTGTTGAACAAAGACTCTGTGAGGCATGTAAATGTGGACAAATAGAAAGTGAGAAACATTTTCTCCTAGAATGGTAGAGATTAAAAGGTGGATTGGATCGAGTGGATTGGATCGGGAATCTTCAAAATATGGATTTTTTAGTTGATCTCCCTCTAAGCAATTTCCTTCAGCCTAAAATATTTTGTGATTACTTGGGTCCCTTTAAGGAATCGACAAAACAATGACAAACACCTACTTCAATTAGTTGATAGATACTCTGAAGTATTTAACTGCTCTCCCTTAAAAATACTCCCGTAAATCAACATTAGTAAGACATAATAAACATAGATCTGTAGATAAAAGCTGTCATTCAAATTGAAGTGTGGGTGTTCCCAAGACACTTCTGCAAGTTCTGCCATGTTTTCTTTGAATTGAAAACAGATGATATGGATCTTCGACTTCAAAAGTCTGCCTTATGATTTGTGAAATGTCTATAATTACCCTTGGAATGAATATTATTAAGATTGTGTATCAGGTCACCTTTCTAGTCTACCCAAGCAAAATGATATAACATCTATTAATTGACACTGTGGAAGTGAGGAGAGCATTTATCGTCTGATGGGAGATCAATATAAATTTTTTAAGGAAAATCCATATTTTGAAGAATCCCGATCCAATCCACCTTTTACATGAATCCAATCCACTCGATCCAATCCACCTTTTAATCTTTACCCCTAGAATGCTCTTGTTACAAAGATTTGAGAAAAACTATAATCAGACCCCCTATGGTTCATGATAATCAAGATTTACTGAAACATCTTCTTTCAAATAAAAATTGTGTAAAACTTACAGCAAATTTATAATGTCAGCACTTGAAAAACGACAAAAAATTGTATAAATAACACACTGTAATTATATGTTTATGTATTTGTATAGTGCCTCATAAGCCTGATAAGGCTGGGTGCCGATTAAGGTGCGTGGCACTTAAATAAATCAATAAATAAATAATAATAAATACTAAATGGCATACACTAATTAGTATATTTTTGTAGTACATTACATGACTGTATTATGTTGTTTTATGCAAAATCTTTGATTGCATTCATATGCATTAAACAGAGCAACATGAATAGCAGTTCCGTGGAATTTGAATGTTGAATGAATTACATCAGTTACATGTAGATGACAGTGCAGGTATTCAAGACTTAGGTAACCAATCAGATTGCTTAGCTGTTATTTTCTATTAGAGACATTCTTCGGCTTCTAATTCAAAATGCTTGATAAAAATCTCTTATTGAGAATGTACAAATGTAGATGACTTCTCTTTAATAGATAAAATGTAAAACTATCTACAATTGTATAATGTACATGTAAACATTGTACATTTTACATGTAGGTGTAGTGCTCACCTTACCAAAGTTGTCTTTCTGCAAAGAGATCCAGATCCTCTGTAATAATTCACTACCTGAGTTAATCCAGCACTGTGTCCTAAAATATAAAACAAACAAAAAACATATTAAGTTAATGTATAGAAATTTGTTAGATAATTTTAAATCATACATCAAAACCATTGCGTAATTGGCATTGTAAAATCTGATGATTTTACTTTGAGGAGTACATGTACATTGTACATAAAAACTGTCTACAATTGTATAATGTACATGTAAACATTGTACATTTTACATGTAGGTGTAGTGCTCACCTTACCAAAGTTGTCTTTCTACAAGACTTTTCATTGTCTATTAGACCACGACTCTTCATAAGAATGTACAGTTAGTATACTTACCTAATCGCCCAAAAGGTAGTTTGCTTCGTTCCCCAAACATCACATTGAATTGTGGGGAGTCAATGTTTACCAATTTTTTCCAATCTTTTTTTCTATCTGAATTTTTGAGACACTTCGCCACGGCAGTATAGACGCTACTCCCCTCATCCCGAATCACAAAGCTGTACATCGTGATCTTCAAATATTCATGTTTGAATGTCTCACATTATTTCGTAAAATAACTGTCCTATGTCCCGAAATATACAACTTTTTGCAGAAACATTTTGTTTGGCTTTACTATAGTAATTCAAATATGGCCGCCAATACGGGGATTCCCCATCCTCGCTTTGAAATCACCTTGACCTCGTTTTGGAAGTAGGCCAAACAAATCTTCGGAAACCCCGCCAGGAAATTGAGTTAGTCGACAATAATAACATTGTTGTTTTTACAGTGGTTCTGCACCAACAAATTATATCGTTTTGACACAACACTTAAACATATTCAGGAACATATGATTATGTCGATCTTGAACATTTTCCGACGACCAAATGCAGGATGGAGGCTGAAGCTTATGGCTATTGGAAATATTGTGGCAATGGTCTACTTTATCACTATGACTGGGATATGTGTTTATTTGAGCCTGTTTGAGATAGTTCCTCTAGCATATGGCAAAACACCAGAAACAGTCTACAAACACTATGGATTCATACTCTTTATTTTCCTCAATGTGCTAGGGAACTTTCTCATGACGTTTACAACTGACACCACTGTTCAGAGGATGTACAATCAACGATTAACGAGAAAGGATACAAAACTGGTTGAAAAATTGACAGATGAATGTGCCATTTGTTCTATTAAACCACCACCTAGAAGCCACCACTGCCCACTCTGTGATAGATGTGTTCTGAAGCGTGACCATCACTGCTTTTTTATCACAACCTGTATCGGCTATCACAATCAAAAGTACTTCATCCTCTATTGTTTTTATATGATGCTTGGTACATTCTATGCTGTCATTCTCATCAATGTACACATGACCATACTGTATAAAGTGCGAATTGCTGGGCCATTAAGTTTCATTACTCTTTTACCATTAACACTAGTGAAATATTGGACGAGTAACAATGTACCACTTTTCCTATTATTCCTTGTTCTAATGCTGTATGTTTCATTATTTGCTGGACTATTCACTGCAGCTGTTTTCTACTGGCAAATGACAATCACCATATTTGGGCAAACTCAACATGAACTGTGGCATGGAATCAACAAATATGGAAGTAAAAGTATGTGGAAGAATTTCAAAGATGTGTTTGGTTCATATTGGTTTATATCTGTGGTTTTCCCTATACCCTTACCACAAGAAGGAGCTGGAGTTTACAGGGTAAAGGAAAAATCTTCAAAAGATGAAGAATCTCAAGCTAGTGCAACAACAGGTGACCGTGTTGGCCGTAAGCCTATTACGCACAAAAAGAAAATACTCAAGAAAATGAACTGAACCCGTTTTTCTGACTGTAATTCTAAAGATAAGCACGGAAAGTGACAATAAATGGTTCAACGTAGTATACCTACTGAACTACAGAGCTTGATTGAACAGAATCTGATTATTGGTCGATCAGTTGTACCTGAACAGAGACCAAAGCTTAGTTCACACCAACGCCGCTTTGATGGCGACTTAAAGCGGCGTGTCTACGGCAACCATGTGTCATGAACAAATGTAAACATGTATTATTGTAAATTGTATGCATGTGTCAGATTTAGATCTTCAAATCTAATTTAAATACATTATTTCGTTTAAATAAATTAATTAAAAGGCGTCTACTGATTCGAATTCTGTATGTTAAAACTATTAACATTGAAAAGGTTGCAGAGTTGAAAACAAGCTATAGTATTATTAAGCACATCCAAAGAAATTTCTCTAAATAGGGCTCTGCGCAGATCGTGGCCGACTACCTGCTTCAGTATACTACATAGAATGATTTTTAGGTTTATCACTTTTGATTGGTCATCACTTTGGTGTGATAATTTGATTGAGGATAATTTTCCATCGAAGAGTACTTATTTATTGTTTTACTACTTTAGACACTTCGTCGTACAGCTATCATGAGGTTTACTCTGAGATATTAATAAAATGTCATTTGTCACTCTAAAATATTTAAAATGAAAATATACCCCATTTTAACATGGATTGTGCGTACATACAAGTTAGCACAATGACATTTTCTTTTAGAAAAGTTACAACCAGAGAGTTATATGTAGTAGATGAGAGAAGTGCTACTCCAAAGCGGTTAGACATCGCAGATACATGTAGTTTAGAGCAAAATTAGCTTATTGAACGATCTGCACTGTTCGATATAATGGTATGGGCCATGAGCTATGTAAAATTGTAAGCTAGACAACCCGACAATTTATGCACATAACTGGCCCAAGAAAGAACAATAGTTTCATGTCGAATCTCAAAAACACGCAAAATACACGAGATGTTCATGTTTTTTCTTCAAAATGAGAAGTAATTCCTAATTACAAAATGAGCGAAAACTACCAAACAAAGAAAACACTTCTATATTAGTACGCATATTCATATACTTATAGTTTATTTAATATCGCACTTGTTTTTATAATCCACTGGCCATAGACAAGTAAGCTTAACCCACTTAATCGTTGGTAGGTAAGGTCGCCAAGGATTAAAGCATAAATACCGTACACAATAGTTACACAGTGTATGTTGTTATAACTTATTGTCCAATAACAATATAAAAGAATAAAGCTTTCATATTCATAATCAGATAATGCGATAATCCTATGTTTTTCACTCCGATTGTTCAATCGTATAAGCCTAAAACCCCCTAAAACGTACGACATACACGACCACCTTCATGTATGTTTTTAACTAATAGTTTGAAGATGAAATACATCTCACTGATGAAAAAATAAGATAAGATGTTTTACCAACAAGGAAAACGTTATTACATGTAATACAATATTCTCCAAGGTAAGATTGGTTAGCATATGTTTTAACTCTTTGACTTACGCATTAGAAGCACGTCTAGTTTGTTTTCATCAACTGTTTTTTGGTGAAGGGAAAACAATTTCACAGCAAGATTAGGTTATGTTTTTAAAAGTCCATCACATGGCTTACATACTTAATTACTAATATTATCATTGACTTGGTGTACTATTCAGTTTATTAATACGCAGTATACTGATTTCTAAATAAGCCCCCACCCATTGCTAGAAATCATTCTCGAATTATCCAAATATTGTTTTTATAACATAAACATTTTTGAGGCATTTACACTGAACTGAAAATCTGATTTTTTTATTCTTCAGATGAAATAGGAAACATCATCTGCCTTTTGAAGGAGGGACAAATCCAACAATTCACACCGTGGAATCGATCCTTGAAAATAAGGGATACAATTCAAAGCATGTTAATAGAACTCTAAACTGATTTATATTTTGAATTCACAGGACAGGATTACAACATGGCGAATGAAGGATCTACAGATGGCGTTTCCAGTTTGTTGAAAACTTTTATGAAAGCCCGCGTTAAGAACGTCGCCGAAGAGTCGAAACTACAAGACTTTGTTACAACTTTGGAAAAGGAAAGAATCTTTAATCAGATCATTACAAACAATTACATCTTCGAAATAAAGAAAGAGCTGTATAGACTTGAAAAGGAAGCTACAAACTCAAGTAAAATTGAACTTAACCCGGATAGAACGAAACGAAAATCTGATGGTAATATATATGACACAGATAACAATGATAAAAACCAACAGTATAATTCAACTCTTCAAGCAATTCGTGAAGATACCGAAAGTCCTATGAAAAAATCAGAACAGGATAACACAAGAGAGCTCCCAAATATAGACCAAGCTGTTAACCCAACTGGTGATTTAGTGAGAAGTCAGACATATACTGAGGGTTTTCACGAGTCCAAAGATAATGAGAGACAAACCAAGAGTGAACAGTCCAAAAAGCGTCTAAGCAGAGGATTTAGTTTCTTGAAAACTAAAACCAAACAAATAGGCACAATGGGTCGTGCGGGCTTGTTTGGAAAGAACAAAAGTATCAATTTGGAACCTGCAAAAACGGCTGCAGCCGAATTGAAGGCGTTAAATATGAAATTCCAGAGAAATACCTATGCATCATTTGACAGGAAACAACTAGGAGAGGATGATGCATACGCTAAGAGTGATCTCTCAAGACTACCGAAACTTGTCGACATCCTCCCTTTCCCCTTAAATGACCCATATAAAGATGAGAAATATCGCAGAAAGAAAGGTCCACAAGATAAACCGGCTATTTTTGTTGGACTAGACATGGGAGAGAGTTCGGAGAATCTTGCCATTACAGATTATTGGGTAGGCGACCCTAGAGCCGTTGGGTCAATTCGAAGGGACCGAAAATCTGCAACAGAAATGGCTGTACAGTCTAAGGCGTTTGGGGAGTTACGAAGAGCTCAAAAAGATTTAATTGGGGAACCGTTATGCAGCAGGAACTGCAACAGGAAAGGTACGATTCATGACAGCGATATGAATAACACTGTAACGATTGTCCTACCTAAAATTAGCAAACCATTCAAACCAAGGCATAAAGCAATAAGTGTTGATGTTTTGGCGATCGTTGAGGACACTTGTGACACTACTGATGTTGCTATAGAAGAGCATTCTGCTTTGGCTCAGCAGGTATCCCTCCCAGGTATTGATATGAGTACGTTCAACCCGTCCAAGGTAACACCAGCAGACCCCGAGAAGGTTGAAAAGGACTTAGAACAAACACGTATCACTAGAACGAAAAAGATTAAGAAACTGAATGACAATTATGAAAAGGCCAAGAATACAACATTGTTTTCTAAGGAATCCACGGCAATAGTTGACGTGAATAAAGATACCCGAATAAGAGTTGGGTATTCATATAAGGGAGACAGTAATGCGATAAGAAAGAGTAAACTAACACAGAGCATGCCCTCATTAAACGTAGCTGCTTAGATGACGTGTTTTCCCTATATAGGGATTGCTATATTTTTTAGAATTTGGAAGAAGATACCATGTAATGTATCTCATACTTGAGTGGGTTTGGGGTAGATATCACCCGGGAATATATATCATATCTGAGGAGCGGGCAGGATGTCCCGCTCCAGACCAAATGTGGGCAGATATAATATATCCATCCCGCTCCCGTGACTTTTTCAGAAGTTTTAAAAAATTTTAAATTTTAAGATTTGTTAAAAAGTTTATAAGATACAGTTTCATTGTATTGAACTAAAGGAATATTACGAAAATGTTTAATATAAAGTTTCCTGGTATAACTTTCATAACTGCAAATCTTAGAACCGTCATTTTCCGTAGTTTCGTACAATTACAAAATATATTTTTTGTAATTTAGATAGAATACTTAATATTGTAAAATCATCAATGTTCCAGATGAGCAACGGTGTATTCTGGAGAATATGTACAAGTTGTATATATGTTATCCATCAAAATCTAGTCGACTGTGTACAATGGCTGTGTACTATATATTGAATCAAAAATAAAAAAGATGTATAAACATTATTTGATATTCTTAAGTAAGCATTTTATTCACAGCAGAATGTGTAAATTATTTTGATTTTCCCTTATTGTAATTACTTGTATTGTCACGTATGTCATTTTGCAACTTTATCTTGACAGTTATGTACTTTAATATTACCTCTGCAAAAATTTACAATCATGTGCATAGATTACTTTTTGCTCTGACCGTTTCAATTTTGATTTTTGCAAATTCCATATCGTTCATTTAACTTTTTAGCTTCCTTCTTATAAAATTGATTGATTTAAAAATGCTTTCTTCAACGATCGGGTCCATAATGCCTGCTGAATGAGACAGAGGCTAATTGAAAATAATACAAAAGTCTGTGGGGCCCAGAACCTTGAAATGTAGATATATGGTGTATTTGTACTCGTAGTTAATCTACTTAGATTTTGAAATGTAAATATTAGGTTTGCGTCGACATACACTCAAATTGCTGCGTAAGATGACAAGTTCATTGTCTAAAACTAACATGGTTCGAACGATATCTCACCGAACAAGATGCTCTCCTACTTGACGAAGAGTTCGACCTAGTGGTATGATAAGTTTTGCACACGTTACGGACCAACCAGTCTAACGCATATCTCCAACAATATGCGATTATTAAGGATATCTCAGTGTAAAAATGGATGAACATGATTATCTCATCTTTGAGGCATATCACGGGCCTGTGATTTGGTGTCATAAACTTGTAGGACACATTCATCTGTGACAGCCGATCGACGCCAGTGAAATTACTAGGAGGGTGACATATTCGTGTCCGAGCATTTTTTGCGGAATTGTCATATTAAAACATTCTTAAAATGTATAAATGTATGGAAGCACCGGGTCCTCGCCAGGATATGGTTCTGACAGAGAAACCTATCCCAAGTCCGCCCCCCATAGGAATGGTAGTTAAGGTGAGTTTTTTTGTTAAAAATTATTTTAATAGTGATTCTCTTAAGATTTCAACGAGTACATCAGTCAATTCCCACTTTTTATGATCATTACTAAAATAAGCCTGGAATATTTACTGGTTTTTGAAAAAAGTAAAATACTGGTGCCATTTAACATTTAATTCAATGAGGACAACAGGTTTCCAATCTTTTGGTGGGGAGTGTAGGTTTAAACTTGAAAAGGTGTAAAGGTGAAAGATATTTGAACATTTAGGAAGTTACCTTATGGTAGGTTACCGGACACCAACATATAGTACACTAAAAATGTTTTTAACCCTCACATACATAGTTTATCATAATATGTGATTTTCTTTTAACTATTAACCAATTCCCTAACATTAATTTTAGTAATCTGGCTAGCATACCAAGTACCCTAAAATATTTTTTCCCAAATGAAACGTGATTAAATTGTGTCAGTTGACCATTTCAAGAATATTCCTTTATCCCTTAGTTTGTTTGCCTTGGTACATATTTTGGGACACCCTGTAGATTCTACTTTGAAATACCCAACGGTATATTTATTTTTTATTAAGTTGTTTATCGTATCATCCATAATATTTGTATACAATAATATTGTAAATTTTAACAAAAGTTATTGATTATTAATAATAATTAAAATGTTTGCCCAGCCTCGACCAATAATTCGCACTTTTGCAGAGTTTAAGGAGAGTAGTTTTGAATGTACCATCTAATTCACTACTTCTGAACCGCAGGTGAAATATGCAGGGGTGTGTCATTCCGACGTCAAAACATGGGAAGACGACATTTTCTTAGAGGAGGGCAACATTACACGTAAAAGCGACTTTGACCCTGACTACAAATTCCCCATAGTTCTCGGTAAAAACATTATTAGTAAAGATTTTTATATATTTTTGAATTTTTGTAAAATTTTGATCTTAATTGAAAGTAGAGCGTTTCGTGTTTCAATATATTATGTTATAATTCTTAGTTCATTATATATTCGACGTGTCGAGTATATTATCTATATTGTTAGTACCTCAGTTGAAATACTCGATTTTGATTGGTCAACGAGCGGTGAATAATTTTAACTGTACACCGCGCAATGCATTGCCGGTGAATAATATTCCCAGCATTCCACTAAAATGACGTCATTATCAGACGATAAAATGGCCGCCGCTAGCACTAGCCGTTTCAAAAATGTTGATCTAAAACTTTGTACAAAGCTTTTAGTGGACTTCGCCCAGGAGAGTAATTTGACTCCATTAAGTGATGTAAGGAATATTGTGTTTGAAATACAACATGAACGTCTCGAGGGTCTGGATCCAACTTCAAGTCAACTTCAAGGGTCAGAAAAATCTAAGATATTCTTCGGACTAACAAAACAATTATAGACCTGTCCATTCGGTTTACTGTCAAAATTATATCCCTCGACTGTAAACCTCGACCTACGGTCTCGGTTTACAGTCTCGGGACATAATTTTGACAGTAAACCTCTGGAGAGGTCAATAATTGTATATTGTATAATTGCATTCTTTCAGGACATGAAATTTCTGGCACCGTATACAGCTTGGGAGATAGTGAGAATAAAGGTAAGGCATTGAATCATTGAATTATATTACTTCGATTCTCTGTTTATTTTGAGACGCTGCTTTCATAATTGCAAAAGAACACGGAAACTAAAAAATAGTCGTATTTCAGATGCCGACACATTCCAAATTGGAGACAAAGTGGTTGTTTTTACGTTTTGTGGATGCACTGAATGCAGCTTCTGCACGGCGGGTGACAACAGATGGTGTCCAAAGATGATTTCAAATAATATTGGAGTCGGGAAAAATGGCGGGTATGCATTCAAATCTTATTCAAATATATAAGGGTTATGTACTGGGAGGTTTTGGATATGGGGTTTATCCGGAGGGAGATATGCATATCTACCCGAGGGACCGAAGGTAGATGTGCATATCTCACGAGGGATGAACCCAATATCCAAACCGACCGTACATAACTGCTTTATCCTATACCAAGATATGCACCGAAGCGGGAAGATATGCACCGAAGCGGGAGATATGGAGGTTCTGGACATGGAAACCTCAAAATCAGAATACGGGATATATCTTACCAACGTATCTCTCTAAAACTCTACTTGGCATAGGATAATTTATCATATTTCTGTTATCTCTTGTGCACATAAATATATACACACACACATACATATATCACTACGCCTAACTTCAAAAGGTCCAAACTTTTAGGGGCTTACTAGTATGTCAGTTGCCTAATGAATAACACTTTTAGACAATAGACAATTTTATTCTGTACTAGGGTGAAGAAATGAACATTTTGCTGAGTGGCACTTGTCGGTGATACTTTGTTAATCATGTTTCAGTTTCTGTGACTTTGTCAAAGTTTTTAAAATATGCTTCAGTTTTCCCTTGATAGGTGTGTTATGCCCAGCCTTGAAACATTGGACCCATTGGTATTTATCGTGGGATATAAATCATATGAAATGATATGATATCATCATTTTATAATACCTCTTGACTTCCATCCCTATATGTAAGTGATTTTGACAATCAATTGTGTCCAAGGTACCTTCCAATGGTGTTGATGGTGTCAAAGAGTCCGTAAATAATATAATACAGTATATTTCAGATTTGCAGAGTATGTGTCTGTCAAAAACAGAGCCTATGTGTCCAAGGTACCTGCCAATATACCCATGGACGTTGCTCCAATGATGTCATGTGGAGCGCTCACTGCTTATAATGGTGTCGATCTTGTCAAGGAATCAATAAAGAAATGGATCAACTGGAAAGGTATACTGGTATAGCAGAGATAAAATTACTTTAAGCTACGTTCACACCAACGGCGCTTTGATGGCGCTTTGATGGCGCTTTAATGCAGCGTGCGAAGCGGCTTTGCACGCCGCATTAAAGCGCCATCAAAGCGCCGTTGGTGTGAACGGAGCTTAACATACTGTATAATCAGATTTCAAAGTAACAATTCTATCATGTATTTGATCATCTGTTCGAGATTTGGATGGATGTTATAGACTTACAAAATATGTTGTCCTCCAAAGAGATTGGGTATAAACTATTCTTCCAGACAAGTTAGTCTCTAATGATCTTTTGGCATTCTGATACTCATAGCATCTCTCTCTGTTGCATCGCTGATTCTCTCCAGAAGGATAGAGATGGAGAGGGCGTGGCTTACCACGATGATCTTTTGGGGCTCCCCCGAGTTTCCATTTTCCATTTTTTTGCACTTATTTTCTTAGCCCAATACAAACACTATGTTATGTTGACAGTTGAAGCCAGTTCTGCAATTTTGACTGATTTTGAGCATTTGGTCTTGCTTCAAGACCCCGCCCGACCCCCCCCCCCCCCTTATCTACTTTACAAGCTGTTGTTAAAGTAATGGAGGTTTCATTGTCTTGAATTAGGACGTTTTAGCAAATTGGCACCTTGATTATACAAATGTGATGTTATTGTATTTAGGAGCTGCTACAGTGTTGATCATTGGTGCCGGAGGTCTAGGTTTGTGGGGTGTTTCTTTGTGCAAAGCAGTCCTTCCAAAAGAGACGAGAATAGCAGTTGCAGATTTGTCCGTATGCGAATTATCAGTTTAATATTTTTACGCATATCTTACACTAGTGTCTATTTGATTTGGCGTTTTCGCATCTTATACAATGCCGTGCAGGTCTATGATAAACAAAATCAAGATAAAGAGGTAATATCAAGGCATTCAAATTCCTCCTTTGGGATATTCGTTTACATCTTTTTGATTTTGTTGTTTTTGAACACAAATGAATTTATACATCAAACAGCTGCTTTGAAATCTCAGAACTTCTATGTAATTTCTTTAACTTGTACAAATGACGTGCGTTTATATAGTCGGAGTTCAGAGATTCAAAAATAAGGATGAAAGATTTAAACTTTATTATTTTTTCTGGTCATATTGTAGTCTGAAAAACTTGAATCTTCCAAAGCAATTGGCGCTGATATTACGATATTATGGGATCTTAAAGGTGAGTGCAGCCTCAGTTACATAAATTCAAGCTTTTACTAACTAGGTTTGGATAAAATTAACACTCAACGTTAAGTCAATCTTCCAACTTTCAAATTTTTTTACTTCACATTGTCTTCGCTTAATTATCGTATAAAAGAAGAAGGTACGAAGTCTGAAACAAAGTTAATTTACTTAATTTAACTATAGTTTTCCTTTTCCCTACCAAAATAGGACCACCACACTTGCTCCAATTCATTTGAGTTTTAAAGCATCTTACTTTCCACTATTCTCTTTCTATGTACATTGTACATATATAAACCCTTATGGATTCCATATTTTCCCAACTCTCATCCTATCTTTCTTTTCATTCTCATCAATTTCTGATGACAATCTTATTTCCTTTACTCGTTCGTTGATTCACACATTTTCCTATTGTTGTTCTAATGTATATTTCCAACCCACATTATGTTTTATAAATATACTGTACAATATATATATTGTTGAGATTGAATGTACTAGAATAATTTATTTTCTTTGAAGATGATACAGCAACAACCATTGAAAAGACTAAGAAAGCTCTTGGTGGTTTGGCGGAATCATCCATTGATTTCGTAGGCAATCCGTCCACGCTGAAAACTGCAGTGCATGTATCAGCTAAGGTTAGTAAAACAATAATGAATCGTGAATACACAAAGGTAATTCCTTTAATTAAGGCTGTGATTTTGGGGTTTTTCTGCAAACATATGTGTAAATGAACACTTTATTCAATGCTATTCTAATTTTACCAACTGTGTCACACAAAATAAAACTGAAAACCCTGGTGTGATGGCTGTATCTAAGCAAGCGTTACTACAGAGAAAAAATGCATAATAAAAAAACTGAAAAAACTGAGTTATTTTTCATTGTTACATCATGGAGAATTTATCAACAATTTTACACACTGTAGGGAGCAACAGTAGCAGTCGTCGGTCTATTTGGTGGAGCTGCCACTATTCCAGTTCCATTCTTCCCAATGAAAATACTCAATGTCGTTGGTACATACACAGGGTCCACTGTACATTTTAAAGAACTACTGGAAATTGTAGATAAGAATAAGGTATGGTTGTACTTTTGATTGATGAAATAACAATTATCAGATCATTAATTAGCTACTCTTGGATGTTGATTTCTTGCTTATTTTTCTAATCACATTTAAAACGTTTAAATAGCTATTCTAAAATATACATGTAGTTGTATATGTATTGCTTATATTGTTTACAAGGCATGTGGTACCCCTAAATTTTTGTTTTCGTGATAATTGAATGAATGTGCATGTTTTAAACAAGACGCCAGTTAAAACTCGTTCCACCTTTTTCATTAATTAACTACTTTCAATTTTTCTGTTCACAATATCATAATGATTTACATCTGGTAAGACTACAATGAATCTAGGTCAAAGTCATTCTGATTTACCAGAATTTCAAAAGCTATTCCAAGGAATAGCATACTAGACTTTAACGGCCAAAGTGGCTTAAATTTTGGCCTATGATATCACATGAGAGCATCTGTGTTTCTTCAGGAAATCAAAAGGTCGAGCAAATGTAAGTACAAACTTGAAAGAACAGCTTTAAAATACAATAGCATAACTGTATTACATTCTGTCTTTCTTTCTTATTTCAGATTGTTGGGCCAACGATATTCCATTACAAACTCGAGGATGTAAACGAAATATTTAGAAAACTAAAGAACAGAGAAATAAATGGAAGGGCCATCTTAGAATTTGACGATTAGATCAGAGGCATATAAAATACAATCCAATAAAACGTTGTATGCAATCAGATATAGAGTACATAAAGGAAATATACGCATGCGCCTCACTCGATCATACACTGCCTTGATAAAATGACAGGGGATAATCTTTGAACTTGCCAAGTTTGGTTCATGAGTGTGTCCAGTGGAAAATGATTGCTCTAAAATAGCAGTTAATACTATATTCTAGTCACTAAGCGGTGACATCACCTAGTGTAAACATTGTCACATGACATTTCTCCATAGAATCCGGCATAGAATTAACATGAAAATATGTAAATGGCATTGGCTAGGGAAGAAGAATTAACTATCAAATAAAAAAACGTTGAAATATTTCCTACGTATATAGTTTTATTTTTGAAGTCTACTTGTACATAACTATAAATAAAATTTCTAATCATTAATTATTTGCCGGCTGAACCGATAAAGTATATAAAAAGAAATACGATATACCAAAATATGCAATTTTATATACATAATATGTAACAATATATGCAATACTTGTAAGGCTTGTATACACCTGAAACCAAAGAGGATCGGCTCCCAGGGTCCCAATTCGATATTCGACCTTGACCTTGATTGATGACAACATTGACAATGTCATTTTTTCTGATATTATAAATGGCTATAAAATCATAATCAGCAATCAAAGATGTGAACTAATATCTTGATCACTTGTGTGCTTGCCTAATATACTCATGAAACAATATATATAATACTTGTGGACACATGAAACTTAATGCCACAAAAATATAAAGACAGAGATTCTATGATGATATATGGCGCATTATATGACCGGAAATTTCATTCTGTTGAATAGAATCGAGGTCTTTGTAACATTCTAAATGATAAGCAACCCAGAAAACAACTAGATATTTGCATTTAGGAAAAATGGTCATGCACACTAGTATACATGTACACGTTAAACAATGCAATAATTGTCTACACATGAAATGATCGATAAAACTGTTTATCATATTTTCCGAAAAAATACATCTAGGTATAGTTTATGAACTATCTTGCTTCATAGGCTTAAGTATAGGAACTATCTTGCTTCATAGGCTTAAGTATATGAACTATCTTGCTTCATAGGCTTAAGTATATGAACTATCTTGCTTCATAGGCTTAAAGTCCCCGTCTAAAGTTTAAAAATATTTTTTTTATCATTCATTTACTATTTGTCAGGACTTAAAAAGTGATTTTAGAGATTTTTGAACATAAAAAAAATTTTGAAAAAAAAGTTGTGAGCAATTCATTTCTCAAATATTCAAATTTCCCGCCATTTTTGAAAAAAAGTTGAAATTTCTTAATCATCAAATATTTCTTAATGCATTTCAAAAAAGATCTTTTTAACACCAATGCAAAGATTGAACAAAAGACACACTATTTCAATAATAAAATGTCATATTTAATGGGCCACTTCAATGTTTTAGCTTATCAAAAATATTTTGAAACATTAGTGATGTCACTAAGGTAACAAAAACTTTTTGAAAAAAATTGAATTTTTTTTTCGATGTCAATCTTTTCTAAATATGCTAGACTTTCATAAAAAACCAATGTTGATTGTCTAACCAGGTTAAAAGGAAGAATAAATTATGTTTTAGATATCATTGTACCATTGGTTTCTATGAGAACTAAAATTTTGAAATGCATTTTTCTCAGAACCATTTTCATGCACTGATAAGTTCATTTCTCGCTTGTTTATGAACCGATTTTCTTAATTTTTTCGGCAAAAAACATGGGAGGATGTATTCTATGCATTGGTATGAATTGTGGCTAATTAGAAGATATGAGTGACCTCTAAAAGTTGGTTTTAAATAAATTCACAAATTTTGGAACAAAAAGTCTATCAAAAACCACTTTTTGAAATTAAAAAAAAAAGTTTCACATATCACACTTTCATAACATTGGATAAGACTACAATATAAGCCAAAGTGGTTTAAACTTTACATGGGGCCTTTAAGTATATGAACTATCTTGCTTCATAGGCTTAAGTATATGAACTATCTTGCTTCATAGGCTTAAGTATATGAACTATCTTGCTTCATAGGCTTAATTATAGGAACTATCTTGCTTCATAGGCTTAAGTATATGAACTATCTTGCTTCATAGGCTTAAGTATAGGGTGACCCAAAATGAATGCAACCCATGAATGTCCTTTTAATTTCTATAACCACTAAAGATAAATGCTTCATTCTTCACTCAGATCAACCTGAGGTGATGACAAATAAGTTTAATTATTTGTTATCACCTCAGCTTGTGACATAAATGAGAAATGAAGCATATTCTATATTATTGGTTATAGAAATTACAAGCACGTGTGTGGGTTGCATTCATTTTGGGCCACACTGTATCAAGTCGTTAGATAAAACAGGCGAATAAAAATGTTATACTCTGTCGTCTTTCACTCTGCTAAATTGTTCCAGTGCCATTTGTATGAGTTTCAAAATCGAGCTTATAAGTAAACCTCCATTCTTGGAAACTATTATCTTGTTGGCACCTTCCTACTTGCGGGATCTGTTGTCCTTTATACGGTTCTAAAATGTTGGTGACTTGTTCCATACAGAAAGTGTATAATTGATTGTCCATGTATGTCTGGACCTGTACTTTCCCAGTTTCCGCACTCCAGCCCTGCATCAACGACCACAGGCCCTGTTCGTAAATATCGGCCTCCAATTTACATTTTTTGAGCACTAAAAATGGCGATGGCATTTTCACTTCGACGCATAGTTCTCCAAACATTAGTCTCCCACTTTTAGTAATTTTGAAATAATTTTCAGGAATTATTTTATGAAAGTAACACTGATTTGTCATTGCTATATACAGCAGGCCGTCACTAGCTTGTTTGGGAAACCAGCACATGGAAGACGCTAGACTAGTAATCTCCCCGTAGAACACCGCGTCCATGGGCGGTAAAGGTAGGTTTGGAATGATATTATCTACAAACCATTCAAAAGGTTTACAAGACAACTCTTTCCTCAGTGTTTTTCTTTTCTCTAGTGAAGCCATTTCTGCATTGTTTAACTTCGCGTCCCTTTTCTCTTTATGTGTCCTTGTCGTTGCGTAAAAATACTTTTTATGGTCATCCATAAATGTTTCAGCTATTCTTATGAGATTTTTCTGAAGGACCGTATCCTTCCCAAGTTCACCGAATCCATAGGTGAATTCTTTAAACGCATGTGCCACTCTGGAACACGGCAGCGTCAGCACTTTTCCGCCACACAACCAAGTTCTGAGTGACAACTCTATGTTCTCTCCACCCCAGATATCCATTCCTGCAAAATATTAATCATATTTCAATAATTCATACTATAATATTAGGTTACTTTATATGCAATACGACAAAATTATGCTCTGACTATACCAGGAGGAAGTATAAGTTGTCACTCGTTATTTTTTGTAACTGAAATGCCCTACAAAATTTCCCTGCTCACCACCCTAACTTCCTTTTTCGAGGGAATACAATATATGTTTTGAGAAACAGTAAAGGGCCCGTGAGGCAAATTAGAAGGTGGTGTCAAATGATATCGACTTATCTCTCAATCCAAGATTTTAGATGTAGTAAACAATGTATGCTATACTGTATGTAGAACAAAATCGTCCTCTTCGAATATGTAATAAAACAAAATCATCAAGATTGTTTCCCGCCATCTATTCTTACTTCTTTGAACCCGATGCAAAGAGGATTGTCTCCCAGAATGCAAATCTCGATATTTTCCAACAATGAAAATGTCAGAATGTCGTTACTGTCTGACATTAAGTAAACTGGTTATAAATTAATAATCAGCAATCAAAACGATTTGGGCAAATATCTTGATCACTTCTGTGTTTTGAATTTTCTTTGTAATGTAATAAGACCCAAAACTCGCGATTCAAAATCTGATTTGAAAATCACGACATCCTTCAAAGCCGGATTCCTTGTTGGAGAATATCGAATTGCGTCCCTGGGAGCCAATCCTCCTTGAATCTGACGTATGTATCTGAACCAGCATCACGTGCATGACAAAGAGGGACAATTTGTTACTGCATGCTTATTTCGTGCAATAATTTAATCATAATACATACCTAACATGTCAACAATTTGACATGCAGAACTTTACATTTTCACTCAATATAGCGCTGCTACAGAATACTTTCGGGAACTATATTCCAAGTTTTAAACATTGATTTAAAACTTTTAAACTCCAAAAAGTGGAGGGATACAATTGTGTACTGGCGGCCCTGTAAGAAGGAAGACCATACCATAGTTATTCGCGATTATCAATATCACTGTTCCCAACTAGTTACTTTGACGTAACGAGTTCGGTAAGTTTAATTTTTTCCTCGGTTAAAACCAATATTAAGTTAAATTGTAAATTGTGATTTGGCTTAAATTTAGAGAATATAGTCTAGTTTAAAAATATACACGCGGTTGGGAATCTAGTTTTTAAATGAAGCCACAATTGATTCATATATACAGTCATATAGTCTCTGGCTTTTATAACATTGACGTAAGTCAACGTCAAAGTAACATTCTTGGTAATATTATATATTCTAGACGAAGTCAATTTAACAAAAGCGAGGGACTAATTATATGGATTGTAGCTTCTTTTAATAACAAAATCCCACACCTAACATGCCTAAGGTCTATTCTCAAACAAGACTATATCCTCTAACTTATAATCTGCAACTTGACTTAAAATCGTGAAAACAAAACATTACCGAACTAAAACTAAAGCAGTTACGCCATTTTGTTACGTTGACGGCACCTCAGTTGTAGTTGTGGAACAGTGAATACGCAAACATGATATATTGTCATAGCACTGTTGTTGATGGATGTACATAACTAGTTTATATTTTAATCTAATTATAGCATTTGTTAATTAATACACTTTCTGAGTAAGATGTCGTCATTTAACTAAGAAGTACAGTAAACATGTAATTTCTATAAGTTGATACCTTCATCGAAAGCTCCAATGTGAAAGAAATAGTCCCTCTGCACGGCAATTGCACAACCGACAAGTGAAGGTGTGTAGATAGGGTCAATTGGTGACTTCAACCTTTTCGTCTCGTGCTCACCCAACTTGATCCATCGGTAACTGAAACAACAGGGAACAATGTTATGCCCAGTGGTCACAGTATGCAATGCGATTACGTATCTGTTGTAAGTAAGACATACCCGTAGCCAGGATTTGCCAAGGGGGTCACTTTTGACAATTTGGTTCCAAAAATGGCCAAAATCACTTAAAAGTGTTCAGAATGATGAAAAACTGCAATGTTTTGAAAGAACTTTTGGCCAGGGGGGGGGGTCGCTCGAACCCATCGACCCCCCCCCCCCCGGCTACAGGCCTGCAAGATGTATAGATAGCAATCTTATTAATTAATTTTACTCATCTGCCAAAATGGGAAAATTACGTCAATACAATAGTTGTTTGGTTAAGACAATATTTATTTGCATTTTTTGGATCAGTCAAAATGTCTGCAGGAAATACTAGCATAATACTCATTCAAGTTGAGCATTTTTACTATAAAGAATCATTTCTGAAGAGGGTTGGACACTTTCAATTAGCTACAATTATATTTTAAGGTCGTTTCAGCACAGAAATTGATTGATTGATTAATTAATTTATGATTGATGTGCATTTTAGTTATGAACAAAATGTTAATTGATTACATCATAATTAGAATTATTAGATAACAATTTCAAATGTATTTCATGGTATAAAAATAGCTTTCAATTAAAGTGTTCAGTAGGATTTGATTGCATTGTGGCCTCGTACATGTAGGCTATAAATAACCTGAATGAACGTTATGACACGAACTTAACTTACTTAAGATCCCAACTCATTATTCCGATATTGTTGCCGCCTGTAATACCATATTTGATTGTCTGGGCATCAATATCATCAACCAATGGCTGCACTACGACGTGAGGATCTCTTTTAATCTGGGAAAGAATTTCCTCCAGCCAATTGTTATTGGCCTCAGTATGCGAATCAAGGAATATGATGACGTCACCAGTGGCGGCTCGGGCACCTTGCATCCGAGATCTGATAAGCCCCTGTCTGACGTCATGGCGGATTAATCTCACTTTTGGTAAATGTATCAGATAATCCCATAATGGATCGCGGAGATATTCTTCCTCATTAGCATCATCCACTAGAATTATGTCCGCCAGAAGTTTTGGAGGAGACCTATTGAGTATACTGTGTACAGTTCGTAATAACATGGAGAGTGATTCAAAATAGAATGGAATGATGACACTGGCCCTAGGCAAATCATCAATCTCATACTGCAGCTTTAGACATTCATTAGGTCTTGTATCGGGGATCATCCTATCTAATGAAATACCATCACTTAATGTAGCATTCAAGTTATACTTTGCATCAGGGGGTCTTTCGAATTTAAACAATTTGTTTTGAATCCCTGTTAACGTGTGCCTATATTTCGGCCAGTCCTCGTGACTCGCATTGGCGGCTAGTATCAACCCTTCTATATCTCCAAGATGTGGTTTAGGTGGAGCAGTTGGAAGATGGGCTGAAGCTGCTATTTTGGACGGGCTGGGGTTATTTACTGCTTTAAGTTTTGACGTGTTCTTCGGGGGAATAATAGGCTTCGCTGTAATATCCCTAGTGATACCAATTATAGGTGTTGGGTTGACAGTAGATCCATGTTTTTCCAGTTTTTCATCCCGTTTTTGGGTGATATACTCCGACCTATCGTGGTCCCCTGCTCTCGCGGCACTAATAATGAAGTAGACGGTGGTTATCAAAGAGAGAACGAGAAGCCTCATGCCCCACCTCTGTACCGATCTTGGCCACATTCTCCAAAGTCTATACAGACGCAACATGTACACTAACGCAGTAATCCAAACCGATCGGAATATCAGTCACTTACTGTTGGAAGACTGTACGGAATCTCGAAACTTTACTAGTGTCCACTAGTACTTATTGGTCCTTCAGTATTCTATCGCTTACATGATATCAGTTAGTGCTGTACTTTCCCGGGGTATTTTCCTGGTTTTAAACTTCGTACTACATCAGGGCGTGTACATATGTACAAATAATTCGTTTGCCACGAGTACACTAGGTTTATGGTAATACTCCCATACATATATCACTACGCCTAACTTCAAAAGGTCCAAACTTTTAGGGGCTTACTAGTATGTCAGTTGCCTAATGAATAACACTTTTAGACAATAGACAATTTTATTCTGTACTAGGGTGAAGAAATGAACATTTTGCTGAGTGGCACTTGTCGGTGATACTTTGTTAATCATGTTTCAGTTTCTGTGACTTTGTCAAAGTTTTTAAAATATGCTTCAGTTTTCCCTTGATAGGTGTGTTATGCCCAGCCTTGAAACATTGGACCCATTGGTATTTATCGTGGGATATAAATCATATGAAATGATATGATATCATCATTTTATAATACCTCTTGACTTCCATCCCTATATGTAAGTGATTTTGACAATCAATTGTGTCCAAGGTACCTTCCAATGGTGTTGATGGTGTCAAAGAGTCCGTAAATAATATAATACAGTATATTTCAGATTTGCAGAGTATGTGTCTGTCAAAAACAGAGCCTATGTGTCCAAGGTACCTGCCAATATACCCATGGACGTTGCTCCAATGATGTCATGTGGAGCGCTCACTGCTTATAATGGTGTCGATCTTGTCAAGGAATCAATAAAGAAATGGATCAACTGGAAAGGTATACTGGTATAGCAGAGATAAAATTACTTTAAGCTACGTTCACACCAACGGCGCTTTGATGGCGCTTTGATGGCGCTTTAATGCAGCGTGCGAAGCGGCTTTGCACGCCGCATTAAAGCGCCATCAAAGCGCCGTTGGTGTGAACGGAGCTTAACATACTGTATAATCAGATTTCAAAGTAACAATTCTATCATGTATTTGATCATCTGTTCGAGATTTGGATGGATGTTATAGACTTACAAAATATGTTGTCCTCCAAAGAGATTGGGTATAAACTATTCTTCCAGACAAGTTAGTCTCTAATGATCTTTTGGCATTCTGATACTCATAGCATCTCTCTCTGTTGCATCGCTGATTCTCTCCAGAAGGATAGAGATGGAGAGGGCGTGGCTTACCACGATGATCTTTTGGGGCTCCCCCGAGTTTCCATTTTCCATTTTTTTGCACTTATTTTCTTAGCCCAATACAAACACTATGTTATGTTGACAGTTGAAGCCAGTTCTGCAATTTTGACTGATTTTGAGCATTTGGTCTTGCTTCAAGACCCCGCCCGACCCCCCCCCCCCCCTTATCTACTTTACAAGCTGTTGTTAAAGTAATGGAGGTTTCATTGTCTTGAATTAGGACGTTTTAGCAAATTGGCACCTTGATTATACAAATGTGATGTTATTGTATTTAGGAGCTGCTACAGTGTTGATCATTGGTGCCGGAGGTCTAGGTTTGTGGGGTGTTTCTTTGTGCAAAGCAGTCCTTCCAAAAGAGACGAGAATAGCAGTTGCAGATTTGTCCGTATGCGAATTATCAGTTTAATATTTTTACGCATATCTTACACTAGTGTCTATTTGATTTGGCGTTTTCGCATCTTATACAATGCCGTGCAGGTCTATGATAAACAAAATCAAGATAAAGAGGTAATATCAAGGCATTCAAATTCCTCCTTTGGGATATTCGTTTACATCTTTTTGATTTTGTTGTTTTTGAACACAAATGAATTTATACATCAAACAGCTGCTTTGAAATCTCAGAACTTCTATGTAATTTCTTTAACTTGTACAAATGACGTGCGTTTATATAGTCGGAGTTCAGAGATTCAAAAATAAGGATGAAAGATTTAAACTTTATTATTTTTTCTGGTCATATTGTAGTCTGAAAAACTTGAATCTTCCAAAGCAATTGGCGCTGATATTACGATATTATGGGATCTTAAAGGTGAGTGCAGCCTCAGTTACATAAATTCAAGCTTTTACTAACTAGGTTTGGATAAAATTAACACTCAACGTTAAGTCAATCTTCCAACTTTCAAATTTTTTTACTTCACATTGTCTTCGCTTAATTATCGTATAAAAGAAGAAGGTACGAAGTCTGAAACAAAGTTAATTTACTTAATTTAACTATAGTTTTCCTTTTCCCTACCAAAATAGGACCACCACACTTGCTCCAATTCATTTGAGTTTTAAAGCATCTTACTTTCCACTATTCTCTTTCTATGTACATTGTACATATATAAACCCTTATGGATTCCATATTTTCCCAACTCTCATCCTATCTTTCTTTTCATTCTCATCAATTTCTGATGACAATCTTATTTCCTTTACTCGTTCGTTGATTCACACATTTTCCTATTGTTGTTCTAATGTATATTTCCAACCCACATTATGTTTTATAAATATACTGTACAATATATATATTGTTGAGATTGAATGTACTAGAATAATTTATTTTCTTTGAAGATGATACAGCAACAACCATTGAAAAGACTAAGAAAGCTCTTGGTGGTTTGGCGGAATCATCCATTGATTTCGTAGGCAATCCGTCCACGCTGAAAACTGCAGTGCATGTATCAGCTAAGGTTAGTAAAACAATAATGAATCGTGAATACACAAAGGTAATTCCTTTAATTAAGGCTGTGATTTTGGGGTTTTTCTGCAAACATATGTGTAAATGAACACTTTATTCAATGCTATTCTAATTTTACCAACTGTGTCACACAAAATAAAACTGAAAACCCTGGTGTGATGGCTGTATCTAAGCAAGCGTTACTACAGAGAAAAAATGCATAATAAAAAAACTGAAAAAACTGAGTTATTTTTCATTGTTACATCATGGAGAATTTATCAACAATTTTACACACTGTAGGGAGCAACAGTAGCAGTCGTCGGTCTATTTGGTGGAGCTGCCACTATTCCAGTTCCATTCTTCCCAATGAAAATACTCAATGTCGTTGGTACATACACAGGGTCCACTGTACATTTTAAAGAACTACTGGAAATTGTAGATAAGAATAAGGTATGGTTGTACTTTTGATTGATGAAATAACAATTATCAGATCATTAATTAGCTACTCTTGGATGTTGATTTCTTGCTTATTTTTCTAATCACATTTAAAACGTTTAAATAGCTATTCTAAAATATACATGTAGTTGTATATGTATTGCTTATATTGTTTACAAGGCATGTGGTACCCCTAAATTTTTGTTTTCGTGATAATTGAATGAATGTGCATGTTTTAAACAAGACGCCAGTTAAAACTCGTTCCACCTTTTTCATTAATTAACTACTTTCAATTTTTCTGTTCACAATATCATAATGATTTACATCTGGTAAGACTACAATGAATCTAGGTCAAAGTCATTCTGATTTACCAGAATTTCAAAAGCTATTCCAAGGAATAGCATACTAGACTTTAACGGCCAAAGTGGCTTAAATTTTGGCCTATGATATCACATGAGAGCATCTGTGTTTCTTCAGGAAATCAAAAGGTCGAGCAAATGTAAGTACAAACTTGAAAGAACAGCTTTAAAATACAATAGCATAACTGTATTACATTCTGTCTTTCTTTCTTATTTCAGATTGTTGGGCCAACGATATTCCATTACAAACTCGAGGATGTAAACGAAATATTTAGAAAACTAAAGAACAGAGAAATAAATGGAAGGGCCATCTTAGAATTTGACGATTAGATCAGAGGCATATAAAATACAATCCAATAAAACGTTGTATGCAATCAGATATAGAGTACATAAAGGAAATATACGCATGCGCCTCACTCGATCATACACTGCCTTGATAAAATGACAGGGGATAATCTTTGAACTTGCCAAGTTTGGTTCATGAGTGTGTCCAGTGGAAAATGATTGCTCTAAAATAGCAGTTAATACTATATTCTAGTCACTAAGCGGTGACATCACCTAGTGTAAACATTGTCACATGACATTTCTCCATAGAATCCGGCATAGAATTAACATGAAAATATGTAAATGGCATTGGCTAGGGAAGAAGAATTAACTATCAAATAAAAAAACGTTGAAATATTTCCTACGTATATAGTTTTATTTTTGAAGTCTACTTGTACATAACTATAAATAAAATTTCTAATCATTAATTATTTGCCGGCTGAACCGATAAAGTATATAAAAAGAAATACGATATACCAAAATATGCAATTTTATATACATAATATGTAACAATATATGCAATACTTGTAAGGCTTGTATACACCTGAAACCAAAGAGGATCGGCTCCCAGGGTCCCAATTCGATATTCGACCTTGACCTTGATTGATGACAACATTGACAATGTCATTTTTTCTGATATTATAAATGGCTATAAAATCATAATCAGCAATCAAAGATGTGAACTAATATCTTGATCACTTGTGTGCTTGCCTAATATACTCATGAAACAATATATATAATACTTGTGGACACATGAAACTTAATGCCACAAAAATATAAAGACAGAGATTCTATGATGATATATGGCGCATTATATGACCGGAAATTTCATTCTGTTGAATAGAATCGAGGTCTTTGTAACATTCTAAATGATAAGCAACCCAGAAAACAACTAGATATTTGCATTTAGGAAAAATGGTCATGCACACTAGTATACATGTACACGTTAAACAATGCAATAATTGTCTACACATGAAATGATCGATAAAACTGTTTATCATATTTTCCGAAAAAATACATCTAGGTATAGTTTATGAACTATCTTGCTTCATAGGCTTAAGTATAGGAACTATCTTGCTTCATAGGCTTAAGTATATGAACTATCTTGCTTCATAGGCTTAAGTATATGAACTATCTTGCTTCATAGGCTTAAAGTCCCCGTCTAAAGTTTAAAAATATTTTTTTTATCATTCATTTACTATTTGTCAGGACTTAAAAAGTGATTTTAGAGATTTTTGAACATAAAAAAAATTTTGAAAAAAAAGTTGTGAGCAATTCATTTCTCAAATATTCAAATTTCCCGCCATTTTTGAAAAAAAGTTGAAATTTCTTAATCATCAAATATTTCTTAATGCATTTCAAAAAAGATCTTTTTAACACCAATGCAAAGATTGAACAAAAGACACACTATTTCAATAATAAAATGTCATATTTAATGGGCCACTTCAATGTTTTAGCTTATCAAAAATATTTTGAAACATTAGTGATGTCACTAAGGTAACAAAAACTTTTTGAAAAAAATTGAATTTTTTTTTCGATGTCAATCTTTTCTAAATATGCTAGACTTTCATAAAAAACCAATGTTGATTGTCTAACCAGGTTAAAAGGAAGAATAAATTATGTTTTAGATATCATTGTACCATTGGTTTCTATGAGAACTAAAATTTTGAAATGCATTTTTCTCAGAACCATTTTCATGCACTGATAAGTTCATTTCTCGCTTGTTTATGAACCGATTTTCTTAATTTTTTCGGCAAAAAACATGGGAGGATGTATTCTATGCATTGGTATGAATTGTGGCTAATTAGAAGATATGAGTGACCTCTAAAAGTTGGTTTTAAATAAATTCACAAATTTTGGAACAAAAAGTCTATCAAAAACCACTTTTTGAAATTAAAAAAAAAAGTTTCACATATCACACTTTCATAACATTGGATAAGACTACAATATAAGCCAAAGTGGTTTAAACTTTACATGGGGCCTTTAAGTATATGAACTATCTTGCTTCATAGGCTTAAGTATATGAACTATCTTGCTTCATAGGCTTAAGTATATGAACTATCTTGCTTCATAGGCTTAATTATAGGAACTATCTTGCTTCATAGGCTTAAGTATATGAACTATCTTGCTTCATAGGCTTAAGTATAGGGTGACCCAAAATGAATGCAACCCATGAATGTCCTTTTAATTTCTATAACCACTAAAGATAAATGCTTCATTCTTCACTCAGATCAACCTGAGGTGATGACAAATAAGTTTAATTATTTGTTATCACCTCAGCTTGTGACATAAATGAGAAATGAAGCATATTCTATATTATTGGTTATAGAAATTACAAGCACGTGTGTGGGTTGCATTCATTTTGGGCCACACTGTATCAAGTCGTTAGATAAAACAGGCGAATAAAAATGTTATACTCTGTCGTCTTTCACTCTGCTAAATTGTTCCAGTGCCATTTGTATGAGTTTCAAAATCGAGCTTATAAGTAAACCTCCATTCTTGGAAACTATTATCTTGTTGGCACCTTCCTACTTGCGGGATCTGTTGTCCTTTATACGGTTCTAAAATGTTGGTGACTTGTTCCATACAGAAAGTGTATAATTGATTGTCCATGTATGTCTGGACCTGTACTTTCCCAGTTTCCGCACTCCAGCCCTGCATCAACGACCACAGGCCCTGTTCGTAAATATCGGCCTCCAATTTACATTTTTTGAGCACTAAAAATGGCGATGGCATTTTCACTTCGACGCATAGTTCTCCAAACATTAGTCTCCCACTTTTAGTAATTTTGAAATAATTTTCAGGAATTATTTTATGAAAGTAACACTGATTTGTCATTGCTATATACAGCAGGCCGTCACTAGCTTGTTTGGGAAACCAGCACATGGAAGACGCTAGACTAGTAATCTCCCCGTAGAACACCGCGTCCATGGGCGGTAAAGGTAGGTTTGGAATGATATTATCTACAAACCATTCAAAAGGTTTACAAGACAACTCTTTCCTCAGTGTTTTTCTTTTCTCTAGTGAAGCCATTTCTGCATTGTTTAACTTCGCGTCCCTTTTCTCTTTATGTGTCCTTGTCGTTGCGTAAAAATACTTTTTATGGTCATCCATAAATGTTTCAGCTATTCTTATGAGATTTTTCTGAAGGACCGTATCCTTCCCAAGTTCACCGAATCCATAGGTGAATTCTTTAAACGCATGTGCCACTCTGGAACACGGCAGCGTCAGCACTTTTCCGCCACACAACCAAGTTCTGAGTGACAACTCTATGTTCTCTCCACCCCAGATATCCATTCCTGCAAAATATTAATCATATTTCAATAATTCATACTATAATATTAGGTTACTTTATATGCAATACGACAAAATTATGCTCTGACTATACCAGGAGGAAGTATAAGTTGTCACTCGTTATTTTTTGTAACTGAAATGCCCTACAAAATTTCCCTGCTCACCACCCTAACTTCCTTTTTCGAGGGAATACAATATATGTTTTGAGAAACAGTAAAGGGCCCGTGAGGCAAATTAGAAGGTGGTGTCAAATGATATCGACTTATCTCTCAATCCAAGATTTTAGATGTAGTAAACAATGTATGCTATACTGTATGTAGAACAAAATCGTCCTCTTCGAATATGTAATAAAACAAAATCATCAAGATTGTTTCCCGCCATCTATTCTTACTTCTTTGAACCCGATGCAAAGAGGATTGTCTCCCAGAATGCAAATCTCGATATTTTCCAACAATGAAAATGTCAGAATGTCGTTACTGTCTGACATTAAGTAAACTGGTTATAAATTAATAATCAGCAATCAAAACGATTTGGGCAAATATCTTGATCACTTCTGTGTTTTGAATTTTCTTTGTAATGTAATAAGACCCAAAACTCGCGATTCAAAATCTGATTTGAAAATCACGACATCCTTCAAAGCCGGATTCCTTGTTGGAGAATATCGAATTGCGTCCCTGGGAGCCAATCCTCCTTGAATCTGACGTATGTATCTGAACCAGCATCACGTGCATGACAAAGAGGGACAATTTGTTACTGCATGCTTATTTCGTGCAATAATTTAATCATAATACATACCTAACATGTCAACAATTTGACATGCAGAACTTTACATTTTCACTCAATATAGCGCTGCTACAGAATACTTTCGGGAACTATATTCCAAGTTTTAAACATTGATTTAAAACTTTTAAACTCCAAAAAGTGGAGGGATACAATTGTGTACTGGCGGCCCTGTAAGAAGGAAGACCATACCATAGTTATTCGCGATTATCAATATCACTGTTCCCAACTAGTTACTTTGACGTAACGAGTTCGGTAAGTTTAATTTTTTCCTCGGTTAAAACCAATATTAAGTTAAATTGTAAATTGTGATTTGGCTTAAATTTAGAGAATATAGTCTAGTTTAAAAATATACACGCGGTTGGGAATCTAGTTTTTAAATGAAGCCACAATTGATTCATATATACAGTCATATAGTCTCTGGCTTTTATAACATTGACGTAAGTCAACGTCAAAGTAACATTCTTGGTAATATTATATATTCTAGACGAAGTCAATTTAACAAAAGCGAGGGACTAATTATATGGATTGTAGCTTCTTTTAATAACAAAATCCCACACCTAACATGCCTAAGGTCTATTCTCAAACAAGACTATATCCTCTAACTTATAATCTGCAACTTGACTTAAAATCGTGAAAACAAAACATTACCGAACTAAAACTAAAGCAGTTACGCCATTTTGTTACGTTGACGGCACCTCAGTTGTAGTTGTGGAACAGTGAATACGCAAACATGATATATTGTCATAGCACTGTTGTTGATGGATGTACATAACTAGTTTATATTTTAATCTAATTATAGCATTTGTTAATTAATACACTTTCTGAGTAAGATGTCGTCATTTAACTAAGAAGTACAGTAAACATGTAATTTCTATAAGTTGATACCTTCATCGAAAGCTCCAATGTGAAAGAAATAGTCCCTCTGCACGGCAATTGCACAACCGACAAGTGAAGGTGTGTAGATAGGGTCAATTGGTGACTTCAACCTTTTCGTCTCGTGCTCACCCAACTTGATCCATCGGTAACTGAAACAACAGGGAACAATGTTATGCCCAGTGGTCACAGTATGCAATGCGATTACGTATCTGTTGTAAGTAAGACATACCCGTAGCCAGGATTTGCCAAGGGGGTCACTTTTGACAATTTGGTTCCAAAAATGGCCAAAATCACTTAAAAGTGTTCAGAATGATGAAAAACTGCAATGTTTTGAAAGAACTTTTGGCCAGGGGGGGGGGGGTCGCTCGAACCCATCGACCCCCCCCCCCCCCGGCTACAGGCCTGCAAGATGTATAGATAGCAATCTTATTAATTAATTTTACTCATCTGCCAAAATGGGAAAATTACGTCAATACAATAGTTGTTTGGTTAAGACAATATTTATTTGCATTTTTTGGATCAGTCAAAATGTCTGCAGGAAATACTAGCATAATACTCATTCAAGTTGAGCATTTTTACTATAAAGAATCATTTCTGAAGAGGGTTGGACACTTTCAATTAGCTACAATTATATTTTAAGGTCGTTTCAGCACAGAAATTGATTGATTGATTAATTAATTTATGATTGATGTGCATTTTAGTTATGAACAAAATGTTAATTGATTACATCATAATTAGAATTATTAGATAACAATTTCAAATGTATTTCATGGTATAAAAATAGCTTTCAATTAAAGTGTTCAGTAGGATTTGATTGCATTGTGGCCTCGTACATGTAGGCTATAAATAACCTGAATGAACGTTATGACACGAACTTAACTTACTTAAGATCCCAACTCATTATTCCGATATTGTTGCCGCCTGTAATACCATATTTGATTGTCTGGGCATCAATATCATCAACCAATGGCTGCACTACGACGTGAGGATCTCTTTTAATCTGGGAAAGAATTTCCTCCAGCCAATTGTTATTGGCCTCAGTATGCGAATCAAGGAATATGATGACGTCACCAGTGGCGGCTCGGGCACCTTGCATCCGAGATCTGATAAGCCCCTGTCTGACGTCATGGCGGATTAATCTCACTTTTGGTAAATGTATCAGATAATCCCATAATGGATCGCGGAGATATTCTTCCTCATTAGCATCATCCACTAGAATTATGTCCGCCAGAAGTTTTGGAGGAGACCTATTGAGTATACTGTGTACAGTTCGTAATAACATGGAGAGTGATTCAAAATAGAATGGAATGATGACACTGGCCCTAGGCAAATCATCAATCTCATACTGCAGCTTTAGACATTCATTAGGTCTTGTATCGGGGATCATCCTATCTAATGAAATACCATCACTTAATGTAGCATTCAAGTTATACTTTGCATCAGGGGGTCTTTCGAATTTAAACAATTTGTTTTGAATCCCTGTTAACGTGTGCCTATATTTCGGCCAGTCCTCGTGACTCGCATTGGCGGCTAGTATCAACCCTTCTATATCTCCAAGATGTGGTTTAGGTGGAGCAGTTGGAAGATGGGCTGAAGCTGCTATTTTGGACGGGCTGGGGTTATTTACTGCTTTAAGTTTTGACGTGTTCTTCGGGGGAATAATAGGCTTCGCTGTAATATCCCTAGTGATACCAATTATAGGTGTTGGGTTGACAGTAGATCCATGTTTTTCCAGTTTTTCATCCCGTTTTTGGGTGATATACTCCGACCTATCGTGGTCCCCTGCTCTCGCGGCACTAATAATGAAGTAGACGGTGGTTATCAAAGAGAGAACGAGAAGCCTCATGCCCCACCTCTGTACCGATCTTGGCCACATTCTCCAAAGTCTATACAGACGCAACATGTACACTAACGCAGTAATCCAAACCGATCGGAATATCAGTCACTTACTGTTGGAAGACTGTACGGAATCTCGAAACTTTACTAGTGTCCACTAGTACTTATTGGTCCTTCAGTATTCTATCGCTTACATGATATCAGTTAGTGCTGTACTTTCCCGGGGTATTTTCCTGGTTTTAAACTTCGTACTACATCAGGGCGTGTACATATGTACAAATAATTCGTTTGCCACGAGTACACTAGGTTTATGGTAATACTCCCAAGTAATACCAGTGTAGTATATCGTACCTGTATTCTCTATTCGTATCCTAAATGTCATATGCATACACCGTACGCTTAAACCATTCTTTTGTGTGGTGGTTTGTGAGTAACGAAGCAATACTTAAATGTATAGGCTATTAATACTTTGCATGTTTATCCAATTTGATTTTGTTGAAAGCATTTTCAGGCCATTAGGTTTCAGTTCTGCATTGCAATACCAAGGAAACGAAAGCTCACAAATGAAAGATAAATGCCGTAATCTAGCGTATTTGTATTTGTCGATAAAACTTGCAATAAATGCAAACATTTAAAAATATTTGTTTTTCTGAAGATGCAGATATCAATTCTGCTATTAATTGTTTTTGAAATAGGCTAAATGAGCCTTTAAAGGCCCCATATAAAGTTTTAACCACTTCGGCTTATGGGCCAATTTACAATAATAAGAGGCAATTTACAATAATAAGGCAATTGCAACCATTTTTAAGTTATCACTTTGCTGTTAATATTTTCAAACGATTACGTTGATCAAAATCTCCTGTTTAAGATCCTCCATTCCAACTAATTATTGAAAATACATTTACCAAGTAACACTAGAATAGTTTACAAGTTGCGACTCCAAAACCAAAGCTATAGTGTTATTTAGACACGTACGCACATTTTTGTTTTTAAAAACTCTGTTCTTTATATATCTCACACTGCATGTAAAATCTTAAAGATTGCAACAGATACAAAATCATTTTCGAGCATTGATGGACAAATAAAAGTATCATCTGGCACTGGTAATTATTTGAGTTTTGAATATAGTGCATTACTTCTGGTACAACCCTCGTATTTGTACGGACTTGCTGCTACATATGTTTGTTAATTATTGACCGTGCTACAAAATAACATTATCTTTTAAAAACAACCCGAGATACAGTTCGTGGTAAGTGGCTGCTAGTAAATACGAAATAACATTGACCTAGTTAACAAGTTATTTTACGTTGTTCAACACACATACATACACTTCTGGTCATATTCAGTCCATCTTAGAACGACAAATTGAAGTAATCATGTATAGGTACATGGAAGTGCCGGGGCCTCGTCAGAGGATGGTTCTGAAAGAAAAGGCTATTCCAGCTCCACCTCCAACTGGCATGGTGGTCAAAGTAAGTGTAATCGTATATGTTATAGGTATAGCAAATATTCTTATTTTGCATCCAGTTCGTTTTAAGTGCCGATGCTAGTCCAATCTAACAATTGTAGTACACTGGTCTTTAGTGGTCAATGACGGTACCGTACCGTATCGCAAATGCTATAGTCCACGGCAGTTGTCTTTGATGCTAGACCAACTAATACTTCTAGTTCATAAAAATACTGGCCTCTGATGCTAGTCAATAACATTAATAGTCTTCAATGCTATTCCAGTATGGCACTGGCCTCTGATGCTAGTCCATAACATTACTAGTCTTTATTGCTAGTCCATAATGGCACTGGCCTCTAGTGATGCTAGTTCATAACGGTACTGGTCTTAATTGATGTTAGTCCATAAGAGTACTGGTCTTTGATGCTAGTCCGTAAGAGTACTGGTCTTTGATGCTAGTCCATAAGAGTACTAGTCTTTGATGCTAGTCCATAAGAGTACTGGTCTTTGATGCTAGTCCATAAGAGTACTGGTCTTTGATGCTAGTCCATAAGAGTACTGGTCTTTGATGCTAGTCCATAAGAGTACTGGTCTTTGATGCTAGTCCATAAGAGTACTGGTCTTTTATGCTAGTCCATAAGAGTACTGGTCTTTATGCTAGTCCATAAGAGTACTGGTCTTTGATGCTAGTCAATAAGAGTACTGGTCTTTGATGCTAGTCCATAAGAGTACTGGTCTTTGATGCTAGTCCATAAGAGCACTGGTCTTTTATGCTAGTCCATAAGAGTACTGGTCTTTATGCTAGTCCATAAGAGTACTGGTCTTTGATGCTAGTCAATAAGAGTACTGGTCTTTGATGCTAGTCCATAAGAGTACTGGTCTTTGATGCTAGTCCATAAGAGTACTGGTCTTTGATCCTAGTCTATACCGAAGCTGATCTCTAGTGCTAGTCAATAGCAGTACTGATCTCCAATGCTATTCCAATACTGGTTTTTGGACTAGTCCATAACGCTACTGATATCTAGTGCTACAACATAGCTGTATTGGTATCTGGTCCTAGTCCAAACGGCACTGGTCTTTGATGCTAGTCCATAACGATGCTGGTCTTTGATCCTAGTCAGTATCGGCACTGGTCTCTGATTCTAGTCCGCCATAACAGGAATGGTCTCCAATGCTAGTCAATAATGAATACAAAAAAGGCGGTCACGCATCCGTTACGTCAGGTTCGTGGCCATACGTAAGCTTCATGAATAAGGCCTCTGGTCTCTGAATCTAGTCCATAACAGGAATGGTCTCCAATGCTGGTCAATGATGAAACGGATTGCTAATGCAGGGAAGCATTCAAGATGTAAACGTAACAGTCACTTTATGATTTACTTACACCAGGTGAAGTACGCAGGAGTTTGCCACTCCGACCTTCACATGCAAGACGACGATGTTGAACTAGGCGAAGGGAAGACTATACGCAAAGGTGATGTTGATCCTGATTACAAATTCCCATTGGTTTTTGGTAAGGACTCTATTTTTATTGTCCACTCAAATACAGCGCGCAATTTTAGATATGATATGCTTGAGCGAAATTATGGTTCGAGAGTTGCATAACAATATGGATAGTACCAGTTTAGTTATCATCATGAAGCATTTTACCAATTTTATTTCTAGGACATGAGATATCAGGTACTGTGTACGCCATAGGTGAAAGCAAGAATCCAGGTTAGTGATACCCTGATCCTACTACCTCGACGAAGTCCACGAACAGTTCAACAGTTCAATCAGTGATGATATGAAGATGAAATTAGTTTTTTAATGTGTTAATATTAGGACATATACGACACTTAAAGGCCTAAATTTCTGTTAAGTAGAAACCCAGGGTGTTTTAATTATAGAGCCAGTTAACATACACATTAAGAGCTGACCAATCAGCTGGCATTAGAAGTTGCTTTTGTTTACTTGAACCTTTCTTGACCCGAAATCTGATCTTTGACCCAAGCTTTGGATGATGCTATTGGTTAGATTCAAATTTTGAACTTTTCTACTGAACATAATTAAGTAGCATTTAAAAAACTTTGACTTGTTCTTATTCAAAATTAGAATAATATTTTACCAAACTGATTACATTTTTGTTGTCTCCAAATGTTCATACATGACCACACCAAGTTTCAAAACAAACAAAGGCCTATTTATTGAGACACACTAAAAATCAATTAAATTTTACTGGTTTCTGTTAATAGAAAGGATTCAAACAGACATATTTGGCTGTTCCAAGCAACCCCTTCTCCTTTTATAACGGATTTTGGTCTTTAACCCTCAACATGTTCAAAAACAGGAATTAAAGAGGCTATCAATCAGCCTTGTGTTCTAGGCTAGGTATGGCTACAGTATACGAGAAGCAACAATTTATAATGCTTATTTTAAATAAAGTATGTGTTGGAATACTCTGTTGTCCAATGATCATCGGTATTCTCCGGTCAAGTCGTTAGGGTCACGTAGTTCTTGACGGACTCTAGGTTGAATTAGAATCAACAAAATCGAATCGACCTGTAGGATTTACAATGCCTGTTTGTAGTGTATAATAATTACAGAATTTGTATGAATTTTCAGATGCAGACACATTCGAGATCGGCGAGAGAGTGGTTGTTTTTACATTTTGTGGATGCACTGAGTGCGCTTTCTGCAGGATGGGAGACAATAGATGGTGCGCAAAGGCACTCTCAAATAATATTGGTCTGGGAGCAGAAGGCGGGTGAGTAAGGACCTTGTAGAAGCAATTGCAGTAAATAAGTATTTACATGTAAGCCAAATAAATTGTAAAATTTTGAAATGGTTTAATCCCTCAAATTGATTATAATGGTGTCGATAGTATAGAGTTTATAATATGATACAACTTATATTTAATTCAGATTTGCACATTATGTGTTTGTCAAAAACAGAGCCTATGTGTACAAGGTACCTGCCAATAGAGGAGTTTCTAAATAGCTTTGAATTCTCGCTAATTCTCTTTTTTCATGAGATTTTAAAAGATTTGCACTTTTTACCTCTAATGACTTACTTTTCTTTATTTTTGATAGCATATTTGAATTCAGTGGAAAGTTTTCTCCAATAACAGCTTTTAAATCATTTTACATGACATTTTTAAAAAATTGGGCCAAGGAGTCTCCATTGGTGCAATGCTAAAGTTAAATATCTTGGCTTATTCGTATGACAACCAACAATTTCATGTTTAATCACACTATATATACATTGACAGGGTCATCCAATAGTATGCCATTCGAGTTTCAGACAGATTCAACCAACACTTTTTGATAAATTATAAAATTAAGTGACTATTGCCTGATTGCAAGCTTCTAGCATTGAAACGAATGGAGGTTTGGCCCAAGAAAATCAAAGACAAACAAGGGTGACATCTATTATGTTAGCGTTTACTCAGCTATTTAGAAACTATACAACTTACCCATGGAACTTGCTTCCATACTGTCTTATGGAGCGCTCGCTGCTTATAATGGCGTTAATAGTGTCAAAGAGTCCGTAAATAATATAATACAGAATGTTTCAGATTTGCAGAGTATGTGTCTGTCAAAAACAGAGCCTATGTGTCCAAGGTACCTGCCAATGTACCCATGGAGGTTGCTCCTATGATGTCCTGTGGGGCGCTCACTGCTTATAATGGTATCGAAAGTGTCAAGGAATCAATAAAGAAATGGATTAACTGGAAAGGTACCGTAAAGCAGTAGCCCTACCTCATATATAAGGATAGTTTCTAAATAGCAGAAAAATCAATGAAATCTAGTGCTGCCATCTTTTATTCAGCTTTTAATTTGGGCTAGAGTTCCATTTACTTACATGCTAAAATCTTGGAAAAGTGGCTTAATTTCATGATTTGTCAGAGTGTGTTAGTTGAATTTGTATAAAACTTGAATGATATACCACATGATGACCCTGTTTATGTACATGTTGTGATTTAACATGCAAATGTTGATTGACATACAAATAATCCAAGGTTTTAAAGAACTTTAGCATTGCATCAATGGATATTTGGCCCAAGATTTTTTAAATTGTCATAGAAAATTATTCAAATTATATAACTGTGTAAATCAAAGCTATTGTAGGAGAAAACATTTCACTGAATTCAAATATGCCATTTAAAAGAAGGTAATGTAAGTCATTAGAGGTCTAATATGCAAGTCTCTTAAAATCTCACGAAAGACGAGATTTAGCGAGATTTCAAAAGCTCTATGGAAAGTATTATACTCCAGAGTCAGACGATGGTTCGGGCACATGTGGATTCGTTCCAAGGAGAGATACTGGACATAATCAACTTGGATATGCTTTCGTGTAATTCATTGGCGGTCTTATATTTTTAGGGTCTGCAACAGTATTAATCATCGGTGCGGGTGGTTTGGGTTTATGGGCTGTTATGCTGTCCAGAGCTGTCCTCCCAAAGGAAACTCGAATAGCGGTTGCTGATTTGTCGGTATGTGTTTTTTCGTTTGTCCTCTGTATAAAGAAAGTGATTGTTCCAAGAGACAGAGTAGGTGCGAGTACTGTTCTACTGTATTATTTACAGGCTGACAAACTCGAGACTGCCAAAGAAAACGGAGCTGACATTACAGTACTGTTGGACATTAAAGGTATTGTATTAGGGCATTCCAACATGCCTCTTAATTGAATAGTGTCTCGGTAGATTTGTAGGAAATAAAATATGTGATGCAAGATTTTTGACTTTTTAGTTTCATCGCTTGATATTTTTAGGACATTACTTTTCGATGCCAAAATTGTGTTTTTACCTGCATTGTTAACCCAAGGTCAGTCGTATGGAATATATCTGACCATTCGAAATGTTTTTAGTTTCAGTCCCAGAGTGTTGTCGTTCTTGATGTGATGATTGTAATAATTTGATATATCTTTGCACGTTGATCAATGTAGGTAAACTGAATTGCATAGGTACATGGTCATAATAATGATTTGTCCATTCTAACTCATGTGTACACATGTTTATTGTAGATGATATAGACACTACTACAGAAAAGACGAAGAAAGCCCTAGGAGGATTGGCAGAATCATCCATTGATTTCGTTGGTGCTCCAAACACTCTAAAGTGCGCAATAAACGTATCAGCAAAGGTTCGATACACAGAAATAATACGAGGGTTGATCCAAAAGTTCTGCACCGTTTGCTCTAAAAATCTTAATTCTATATGAATAATGGCTTCCGCCAACAGGCATGACTGACACCTTTGAAATAAATTAGGTACCCTGAAACACCCTTCAAATGTCAATTTTTTTTCAACACTGCAATGTGTCATTCCCTCTTGCTCCACATACCCTGTTGTCATGTTGCCATTTGGTAACCAGATACCTATGTTACTTGTCAAAGTAATTGCTCAGTTTTACACAAAATGAAACTATGTGGGTGATTGAGGCTAAATATGAACAGTATTCACAAAGAATTCAGATTTTTAGAGCAAAAGGTGCAGACATTTTTGATCAACCCTCGTATTACTTGCATTAAAAATCTCGATTCCTTTTATAATCTAGAAATAAAACATCAAACTGAGACTCGGGTTTAAGGTTAATGTATCGGTCTCACTATCATTGAATACTCTCGATTTGTTGAGTATACTACATTTTATAGGGAGCTACAGTAGCAGTCGTTGGTCTGTTCGGTGGGTCTGCAACCATTCCAGTTCCATATTTTCCAATGAAGATACTAAAGGTTGTTGGTATTTACACAGGATCTACTTTGCAGTTCAAAGAACTATTAGCCGTTGTTGACGAGAACAAGGTAGTTATTGATCTTTGAGCCCCGTCTTTGATATCCCCGTATTGTAGATACGTATAGACAATCACATTTTCGGATTTGTACGTTGATAATTTTAGAAATTATTGCTAAATTATGAATAAATAGTACTGTGCTTTTAATAATTTTTGCAATAGGATATTGTTGGCTTGCTCAAGGGCGTTACAATACTCGGGAATTTATCGATTCGTGCAGTACATGTTTGTGATTGCGCCCTCTCCTGGTCACTGTGCTAATCAACCTTTAGTAATACATTGGATAATTGAAGAGGGGGAGAAACCCCAGGGTTCAAAGATGACCTACGTCTATATTGTAAATCTGTATTGAGATGACCCACCGTTCTGATTGGTCCAAATCGACAAACAACTTGAAAAGGGTGGATTCAAAATCTTCTCAGTAATAACGCTTCATATTAATGTTAATTTCTGGCGAGTTACCAATATCATAGCTTGTTATTTCAAATCAAGATAAAGAAAGATGTAAGTAGTATATATATGGTTACATAGATTAAAACATCACAACGAAGTGTTATATTCAAAAACTAACTGGTAAGAATTTGCGAAGGTGGTACGCAAGAGACGTAATTACTCAGATGCGAGTAGGGAGTTACCAGTTTCGCCACCAGGTGGCTGATTCGGGGGAATTAACATGGCAGGGTATTACAAAATTCCCCTTAAGTTGAATATGCATCAGTTTTAGTGGTTCACTTTTCATATTACTTTTATGTATCTGATAGTTATACAAATTAAAATATGTACAGTAAAAGAAAATATTATCTGCCCAACACAAGAAAAGATATTTCACTTTTTGTGGTTTTACAACATGGGGTCTATGGGGAATCTCCCCGACCTAGAAGTCACATTTTCAAAGAAAATTAAAGTTTCAAAGTTGATAAACTCTTTTCAAAACCACATTTCTAAATGTAATTTTACATGTAGATTCCAAATATGACATCGGTTTGACTGAATTGTGAATTTTTAATGACGTAAATCAAGATTATTTCTACTCGCATCTTGCATATTACTATAATGTGTCTGTCATCGGCTAAAGCTCTTGGGGGTTCCCTCCTCTTGGATAATTAGATATATGGCACTGCATTAAATGAGATGTAACTTCCTGGGTATTGGTTTTTCCTTTTTCCCTTGGTCACAGTTGTGTTCCTAATATATAACCCGTTATGTTTTTTATTTGACCTATTATTCGTTTTGTGCTTTCTCTCCAGATTATCGGGCCAAAGATATTCAAATACAGACTCGAGGAAGTAAACGAAGTATTTGAAAACCTACGAAAGGGTGAAATAAATGGGAGGGCTGTTTTAGAATTTGACGATTGACTTTCAGTGAGGACGTTGCATGTATTCAATACATGTATGTTTAACATCCCAAGGAATGAACATCAATAAAACATTTCACAGTCTTCAGTTCGACAGTAAAGGAGTTTCAAGTGTGATATAAGAGGCCAGTGTTGATGGGCCATTCAACGTACAGGCCGTTTGTTCTGAGACAATCTAACTTTGTGAATTTAAAATATAATATTATTTTTAACTTGAATTTATCAATTCATTTCCAATACAAATAAAGTGGCACTTTGGTTTTTACTTTTTTACGTATATTTAAGTCTTAAAATTCGTATATGTAAAAATCAATTTATATTAATGATGTGATTTTCTGTATTTGATTTTATAGTGCAATATATAACTTCAGTGGTCTGTTTTTTTGTCCAGGACACTTAAACAAACAATACAATACTGTTAACCCGACTAATATCCAAACCAAGTGCCAAAAACTAACGATGCAGTATGTATTGGATCTACTCCATGCAGGCCTGTATGCTTTTGATACCTGTATGATTTTGAAAGAATTCTGGCCAGGGAGGTTCGATACTTCGAGTTGACCCCTGGTTAGTGGCTACAGACCTGCCCTGTTATTGCAAGTTTAATCCAAGTAAAAGTAAAACTTTTCTGAATACTGTACGCTACAAAGTACTTTTAGTGTACATTAGTAGTCATAGTAGTTCACGATCACTATTAACAGTGTTTATGCTACGATACAGCAAGCTATATTCAAAACCTGATAAAGGCTGCCAACAAATCTAGTGTTTCACACATTTGGCCGAAGCAGGAGTCTAAGGGTGCGGTCTCTAACATCATCGCGTGCTGTACTAGTGTTTTCTGGTAAGCAGGTAAGTAACTGTCAATATTTGGTTGAGCTGTTTGTTTTTGCTTGTGCGGATGTTAAGGTCATGTGGTTTCTTGTTTAATACATCGTTCATGTACTGCTTGCATTGATATTTCATTTCCTTTATAATATTTTTCTATCAGGTAAAAGGAGATGTAAAACTTGAAGAGGTTTGTATTATGATGCCAAGGAATACGATAACCCCGGATGTACTGAGTGTACACATACTACAGTAGTATTTGCACAACATGTATAATGCTGCTCTTACTTCTATCAGCTTAACATTATTGATCAAGATCGGGCCAAATGAAAGAAGTGAAATACCATTGCCTTAATCATGGACCATAACTGACTGGAATCTGTTATAAAGATGTATTGAGGAACAAAGTAATGTGGATAAAGTAAATACAGTCACAGCGCCTTGGAAGAAGGTACTTAATAACTATAACAGCAAGAAGACCGCGTGAAATTTGAACCAAGCTACATGTACATACAGTCTCTCTTACTATCTATTCTAAACCCCCGGCGGGGAATGAACTTGGTTTAACATGGAAAGCTGAGGCCCGGGTATACAGTCATTAATAAAAAATCTTATTCTTATTCAATGTAAGTAATATAGTAATATAGTAAAAGATATAGTAAAAAAAGTAAAAGTCTATTAATATACATGTATACACCACGCATTACCAACTCAGTACACTAGGGGACTTTTTAAACATTTTTAACGTATTCCTGGGCCTCAGATGGAAAGGGATACACGTATCATAATCACGCGGTAGTAACTTCGACCGTTAAGTTGAATTTTTGACCTACCAGCTAGATGTTTGAAATTATCAAGGATTGCGTGATACTAAACCGTTTTTCTCCAAACTTGTTCCATTCAAAGCTAAACAAAATTGCCTTTCTTTTGGTACATTGCTTTAAGTACTGCGTGACAAAAATGACACCCACCCACATAATGTTTCATAACTTTTTTTCAAAGAAATTCTGACTTGTTTTTGCACCTTTTTGCAACTCCACAAGAAGTTTCAGATGGCTAGCTCGCCTAGATGCACATTTATAAGCGTTACAAAATGTGTCATATATTCGTTTGCTGGCACAACTGGATCTTACAAAAAATGACACCCACCTTTTGTGACATAATTTTGGAAATAAGTTATAATGATTTTATCAACGGCAACTACATTGTTTTGTGTTAAATTGAATGGACTTCATTTCCCTAGGGTTACAAAGTTATGTTACAAAAGCTGTGTGGCATTTTTGTGTAGTGTCTGCAAAGGAATGGACGGACATTTAGAGTAAATGTTGTAACGCTTATAAAATTTGACCCACTTGAGCTTCATGTATATACATCTGACATTTTTGGAGGTGCTTTCGCATTTTATCTAATTTAAATGGCCAAAGGACAAGTCTATGTGATAGACACACACGTCAGGTTGGTGTCATTTTTTGTGTCACCCTGTAAACCTATCTAGGCATGATATAAAAACAAATCAGCCAATTAGAACCATAAATGTTTCCCAATGTTATTTTCATCTCCTTTTTTATTAACTAATATGCATAATTCTGCCACAGTAATTATTTTCATACAGATAATTGTCCTCTTGAACACTTATTTCCTATACCTAATATAGTTCCATATAATGGTTGGATGTTAATAACACCGTACTATGGTCGATATATTTTGAACGCGCATTACCGGTGTAAAAGAAACTATGGTCCCCTGTTATCCCATAACCAGGACTATAGTCCTGCATTGAGAGCATTCTTTTGCCTGTACGATTACAACATGGGAGAATTTTCTACGCTTCTTACACTTAAGATACCTATTTCAATAGATTCCTTGGTATTTTAGCATTCTTTTCTTGTAGTTGAATCCACAATTGTCTGGGTTTATCGGCAGAACAAAGAAATTTTCGTTTTTAATCGCAATATTTGCGTGTAATATTTATTTCAACCGTCAAATTCCTCCATTTGTGGTGCTTCCGGGCCACTTCCGGGTCAGTCAAACGGGGAATCCCCTTTTAAATCCAACCACCATCTTGGAAAGTGATGGAATATCTCTCGATAAAAAAGAAAAATGTTCCCGTTCTGCCGATATACCCAGACAATTGTGGATTCAACTAGACGAAAAGAATGCTAAAATATCCAGGAATCAATTAAAGTAGGTATCTTAAGTGTAAGGGGCGTAGATAATTCTCCCAAGTTGTAATCCTACAGGCAAAAGAATGCCCTCAATGCAGGACTATCACGGGATAAGTCCCCTGGGGTTTATGGTCCCCTTTTTAAAGGCCCTTACTGGCCCTGATTGTGGATACGATACAGATAATAAGGGAAAAATTGTATTTAAGTCACCATATAAATCAATGGAAAGTAAGACAATAATTTGATAGGACCTCCTACCCTTTTACACCTACTGTAGTAACTAGTATAGGATCTAGACTCTACGCGCAAGATAAACGCGCATGCGTACTCTTTAGTCATTCTGAACCTTATTGGCTCGTGCTGAGGCAAGAGCCATATCTCACTTGGATATAGTAGTGAGTGATAACGACAATGGACTGAGGTTTAAACGTTAGTTTACTAGTAGAAAACCCGATGGGTTAATATTTGTTGATGAAAATGAGTTAATTCCTCGAGCAAAAGTTTAACCCTAAGGTGTTAGTTTATAATAAAATTGCGTTAGAGAGGGTTTCAAATGACAATATGCACATTTTACAACAACACCATGAGTTCTGAGCACTAATTTTCGGCAACATGATACGACAGAAATACGAGCGACTTCTTGATTTAGAATTGTGAACAATTTACAGCATTAAAAAAACTCCGAACATTTAACTATTTTATTAATATCTTCGGAGAACGAGAATAAAATTGACCCATCGTAATTTTTAGATATGTTCGGATATTTTCTAAGAGGTCCAGGTACTCAGACCTTCACAATTTAAGGATCTTAATCAGTTCAAAATGTCCGGATTTTTTCTACTTTTGCCGTTCGGTAAATTACAACCGCGTGCTTTTAACGCGGTTGTAATTTACCGAACGGTTTTAAGCATCCCTATTTATCAATACAATTCATTACAACACTGCAAACATCTCCTTCACACGAGCCTTCATTTTTTTAAAATGATCTCTTGTTTACATATTTAGATGGCAGAGCGATCTATGACTATAGGGGAGTACAAGCCTTCCCATCAATCATTAGGTATTCAGATACGAATATACAAATCGTGTATTTATATTTATTAAGAGAGTCTATATTAGTGGTGATAAACAATTAGCACAAATGCAATTAAGCCATATAGAAATTTATATAGAATAGTTTTTACAGCATAAGTGCTGACAATTTAGATACTAAATGTTTCGAATGCCGGTGTAGAAGGGTGGGAGGTCTCTCTTGTACATAATCAGGGCCAGTAATAAGGGCCGTTGAGAAGGTGGACCATAATCCACGGGGCACCATTCTTTCACACTGGTATCGAATAAAAATATCTAATGGTGGGTGGTGGGAAAGATCTTCATTCATTTTTGCGCAAGCGCGCAAGACCGAACTCGAAACATGCGAACCTGATGCAGATTGCTTATAAGCATTCTTCCCTCAATTTACAAATACATACATGCTAACACTTGACACTTTGGTAAGTGTATCAACTGGTGTGAAAAAAAAACTTAATTTATACACAGTCATGCATGGAAAATGAGAATATGATTCATAGGATGTACATATGTTTTAATAATTTAGTTAATTCATAAATGATTTACAGAACGCCATAGCACTGTTAAATTACTTTCTATATTGTAACTCTTCTTCAGGTACATACGAGCAGACAATATGGCAGATTCTACATCAGTGGTAAAACCAAGTTGGAATCCTATACAATTAATATGCGTGTGTGTATTCTGTGTAGGACCTGCTGCAGTCTTTAGACTGCCATATATTATGTATAGATCTGGAGGTAAGCATAGACCTAGGGAAAAGTAGTAGTAAGCTAGACGCGGAGTTGGTAGGAGTTGGTATTGGGCCACTGTTATCCATAGATCCAACTCTCCTTGTTTAGGACGGTATAGGGAAGACCCAATAATAAAGAGAGCTACTCACTTCTTCAGAAGCTAGTATATAGAAAGATATCAACCATTGGCACCATCCCTGTCACTCTTTGGTAACCGCCTGTTACATATGGTATATATATTTGCTTGAGCCTTCAAAATATATGCAAAATAGAATTACCTTAAAATGCATTATAATGAGTAGTATTAAAGCTTTTTTGTATCTATGGTACAGTGATAAATAGAAATATTTTATGATTTCATTTCAGGGTCTGCTTATTTGATTCCCCACTATTTCTTCCTGTTTGTGATCTTCCTGCCTGTTGTTGTCCTGCAGATGCGGGCTGGCTCTATTACAGGGAAGGGAATTGTAGCGATGCCAGCGAAGTACATGCCTATCATCAAAGGTATAGTTCTCATATTACATCGCGAGGTTCAATCAGGCCATGCATGCACCTTTAAGTAGCCCAAATTCTCTTAACATGCTGCCATGCTATTTTGAACAAGCTTCTGAACAAGCTTTCCCATAGTTCCACTCACTGTTTTCATTATTCTAAATACGTTGCCTTCACGAGAGTTATTTGACTATATTTTCATTTTATCGCCAAATATATTTTCTCATTGTAAAATCATGATTTTCAAAATGAGCAAAATACAATAACACAACTGAACACTGTTTAAAGTAATACCATTTTCGTATAGGTATATCTGTAGCCTTAGTGTTGAAGACTCTTCTAGAGAACATCTATATAGGTTCCTTGTTTGGTCAGATGATATACTACATGGGGGCTACTGGGAACCAGGCGTTGTTGCGACAGATGTCAACATGCAGCAATCGTTGGAATACTCCAAATTGTTTTGATCCGTTTGATTTCAGGTATCGTTTGAATTAAACTACAAATGATAAAATTCAACCTCATTTGAAATGAGACATCGCTTATTAATCGTTTTTCTAAGTAATCACGGGCATTCTAACGAGGACCATATACTTGTAAATGACTATAAAAACAGTTACCCTTTGCATTCGTTTGACTTCACCTCTTGAAAGAGAGCTTCGTCTGTAGTTTAACTAGACTCTGCACGCAGGGTAAAAAACAGTCAATGTTTGTGTAATGACCGGGCTCTTAGCGAAAACCATATACTTGTAAATAATACTAGAATGCTTGGTGAAAATAGTTAATGATTTTGCGCAATTTTGGCCATTCCAATGAAAATACGGGACTGTTTTATATATTTTGTGTTCTAATTAGCTGCCCCTTTCTATATGTTAACCAGCGTTGCATGTGGTTCACTCTTGTACTGGTTATCTTTTGCATATGTATAGTCAACAGAATAGTACTACTTCGACCACTGCCAATGAATATGGATCATATAATTACGAAATGTATAGACCAAAAATACACCCAGTAAAGGAATATTACAGGTAAATGATTATATGATCTTATAGCAGGAAACCTATTGTTGTGAATGTATTTTGGAATCCTCATACCGATTGGGTGATATCAAATTGTTCAGAAGCTGGAAAAACACATTTATACCACAAATTTTATGCAAGAAATTTTTTTCCATTATGCGTTCTCTTTAAGAAGTTGAGAACCACAATCCCAAATTCCAATATCAAATTCAAATGTTAATTTTCTGAATATGTTCTTGTGCGATCATGAATACAAAAAATGGAGAGATGTGGCAGCACATAAAATACCCAATCATGATTCGTTGCAGCAATGCGTTTCTGGAGATATCAGAAGGAATTGAATACGCAGGGCCTGTAAGAGGTTTGTACTTAGTGGGAGTCTTGTCATTCTGGATTCTCATGTTTCTCTCCACCTTTGCCGGCCCCAATATATATGGCTGGGTAAGTCTGATCAAATATAAGTAAAACAATATTTGCACAAAAATACCATTGCAATCCGAGCCAAACTTCGACTGATTAATTGTCTTCATTGACAGGTGCCCTGCCTTGGCAGTTTAACATAATATATTATTAACATATAAAAGTATCTCCTTCACTTTGGTTATTTTTTTCAGATTATGACTGGCGTAGCTCCTTTATCTATTATCCTTGCTTTAGTAGTGATGGTGCGAGGCCTAACTCTGCCGGGATCTTCTGAAGCCGTCCTCTACACGACACATCCGGATTATAGTGTCCTTCGAAGACCTCAAGTATGCTGAATCATGTATTCAGAGATAAGAATGATTTACTGGAAGGGATTGAATATGGGTTTTATAACGAGGGCCAATGATATTTTCCGATAAACGGAAGGGGCCTACTAAATTGAACTTTCTGATTGAATATTCAAGTTTACCAAAATCAAACTGAAAGATATATTTCAAACTTATGTAAAATGTTGATGATCAGTTATTGATCTGATTCAGCAATATATGAGTGTGAAAAAAACGTACATGCATTAGTATTAATATCACGCACCTTAAAGTCCGTGGTATTATTTTTGAATTATGGAACTAAATACAGTAGGTACTTAGAACGCACCTCAGTTACGAAATACACCTGTTAAGTTCGGTCGGTTTTGTATATGGAGTTTATTCTTCTGGAAATACGTGTATCTCCCGGTGAACCGTAGATATTTCCTTTGGGGTGAATCATGTATCCAAAACGATCCAATCCCAGTACATAACACTTATTAGCCTTGCCCAAGTCGGTCTCTTTTACTTATCTTGATTTCTAGATCAGGATAAGTAAAAAATACCGACTTGGGCAAGGCTTAAGACTTATGTATTCACCTAAATCGGAAGTCTGGGTTACAACAAATATAAGGTTGTTTAAAACAATAAGGTTGATGTCACTTGTTATTTCCAAATATTCAATTAGTACACTTACTTTATTATAGCTATGGTTGGATGCATTAGTAACCCATTTATATGCTCTGGAAGTTACAAGCATCACGTTGCCTACTATTGGGAAACACACTGGCAAGGGGAAGATCATGAGTTGGTTGTAAGTTTTTGTATATGCGATATATTTTATAAAGTCTGTGGGCCACTTATTTGTCATATTGAAAGAAAAGGGTCCCTTTTCTTAATTAAAAGGTGTCCATGGGAGTGGTTTATTGCGTTTATCTTACCTTTCATATGGATCAAGCAATACTACTTTTTTACATCTTCTAGGGCTCCTTGTATTTTGATTCTCGTGTACTCTCTTCTACCAATACTGGCAATGTTCACGTTTTGGTCATATCAGGGATTTGTGGCCCATCAGCTTGGAATATCGATCAATGACGTTCTACTTTCAGGTAAGGAATCTTCAGACACATCGGACAAAAACTATTTCCTTTTTTGTAACCATGGAGTGAAAGAAATTCGAAGTTATTGTCATGCTCTAAATTAGTCAGACGTGGTGTTTTATTATGATGATTAGGGGGATTAAACTACAAGGTTTTGAGAAAACTTGTACATGAACGTGTAATATTATGACCCTGATGGATAACTGTCTACCTGTCGAATGATTTTCCAAGGTACCCAATTAGAACTATTTTCCATATACCTTCATACTAAATCGTGCGAATACATACCACGAAGGGGACAACTAATCCCTAGAAAATCAGTTTTACACGTTCTCGTTCACGTTTCCTTAAAAACGTTTAGCAGGCCCCTCCCCCTTTGGGTGGGCCCAGAAAAAAAATTGAGGCCAAAAAAATGTTGGGCCAAAAAAGCAAAGTGGGCCTTTTTGGTTATCAAATCATTTGGGTTTTAGGGGCCCATATTCAGGGTTGTTCTCTGACCTGAAATGTGCCCCCCCCCCACCCTTGTTGGTTCCCAGATCCGCCTCTGTAGCTTAAACTCTCTATTTTGATTTTCAGGCACAGAATTTCTCACAGTAAACATTGTATCAGCTGTGTCGATGATGCCAATGGGAACCGTTTGGGGACCGCTCATTTTCCTCACGTTCCTTATCTTCACTGGTCAAGGCATGGTAAAGTCATACACTGGAATGTAAAGGGGAATGACTCTCAGACTTCCAATTCGATATTCGACCTTGACGCTGGTCGACGGCAACATTGAAAATGTTGTTATTTAAACATTATCAGAGAATCAGAAAAGTTGAACTAATATTTTGATCACTTCTTGTGTGTTTTGACATCTTTTGTTTTGAAAGTAGTCAAAAACTCGCAATTGATCTCTGAAGTGAAAAAATGGCGGCCGTTTGATCTCGAATTTTCTATACTAGTATAGTAACGACACTACTCTATATATGAAAGAATATCGAGACAGAACCCTGAAAGTCAATCCTCCTTGGAAAAATGTAGCATTCATAGCAGTTTGAATAAAAGCATGCAGTTCTTTGACCACTTAATGTGGCACATTTCATACAGGGAAACATTTCTGATAAGTTGATATATAACTACGGTACTTCAACATAGATTGGGGTTTATGTGTTTACCATTATCAAATATTTACATTACAGTTGTACAGTTAAGTACAGTATTTTTGTCTTCTTTGTTTGCAGGCGATGAGAGTCCTAGCAATTGTTGATAACATCTCCATACCAAACGTAGACAAGAAGCGTTTCTTACCGAGAATGATGATAACTTTTCTAGTGTGCTTTATTAGTTTCATACTGGGAATACCTTACACTCTTCAGGTAGAAACATAATAAGTGTCTTATGGTACATATATTGAACATTTGATGAGGAATTCTACCTTTTTGATGATAAGGGATAAAATAATATAACGCCTAAAGTATTCCTCTCGGATGTACAGGGTGAGCCAAAGAAGGTAGTCCAAACAAATTTTAATAACTCAGTCAATCAACATGGGTTTGAAGTCATATTTGGTAAAAATTAAACCGGGTTCAATTTTCTCTCTAAGTTTCATTGGTCGGTCGATACTGACTGTTAACGATTTTATAACAGAGCCTGTGTCGAGTCTAGTCAAACGTTTCTGGCGAAGTTGTTCACTACGCGAGCACAGACATCTTGTGTGTAATGGCTCACATCTTCCTTCTCATTTCCTGTTCCAATGTTTCAAGGGTTGTTTGTATATACATCAGCCCCACAGATAACAATCTGGGGTGTTTGATGCCTAGAATGTGGCCTGTCGGCATTTGGTGTATTGTATAGTACCCCGGACAGGTTGTATGATGCAGTCATTTTTTTACTCTATATTTGCAATAGAACAACCATTCTTATTAAAATTTTCATATTTTATTCTGGAGACAATTTCCAACATGGAAAAAAAATATTTTAACGAAATTCTTAATTTTATGATTTTGATAGGCTTTTTTCAAAAACACTCCACTGTCAATAAAATACAGGTTTTGCTTGAACAAGTAAACTTTTAACGTCATTTTAAAGATTGTCTAGTTATTGAATTTTTGGCCGCCTAAAGTCTTTCCAGATATATTTGATGCCATATTAATTATGGCCGATTATTGTTATTCATTTTTGTCATATTCAATAGGCCTAATATTATTACAGTGCATTAGGCCAATGAAAAACTTGTCACTCTGGGTCACGTTTCCTCTGAAAACGCACCTTTTTCTCCACTGGGTTTTTCCGCCTCCGTCATTCAGCATGCAAGCCTGTGGCACGTAAATAGTACCCTGCTTTTAAAATGTCAGGTCTCCCTGACAATTTCATGATGAAATTTGACACAGCTATAATAACATCTCTGAAGGATCTAATGCCAAGAATACTTGAAATTGGAGATTCGTAATGTTTTACTTCATTTTGGACAATATTGAACAGTTCGATCGGGTTGAACTCATGTCCGTGGACAAGAAGATTGACCTCCTCTATCTGGGCTCAATGTAGGGAACGCTTCACAAAACGAGACCCAGAGCAACAAGTTTTTATTGGCCTAATGTACTGTTATAATATTGAATATGACTCAAGTGAATAACAATATTCAGCCATAATTATTAATATGGCAACAGATATATCTGGAAAGACTTAAGGCGGCTGGAAATTCAATAGCCAGACAACATTTGAAATGACGTTAAAAGTTCAATTGTTTAAGCAAAAACCTGTATTTTATTGACAGTGTAGTGTTTTTGAAAAAAGCCCGTCAAAATCATAAAATTGGGAATTTCGATAAAATATTTTTTTTCCATGTTGGAAATTGTCTCCAGAATAAAATATGAAAATTTTAATAAGAATGGTTTTTCTATTGCAAATATAGAGTAAAAAAATGACTGCATCATACAACCTGTCCGGGGTACTATATAGCTATAAAATTGTGACCTTTTGGGATGACAGACCAATGAATCTTGGTAGAATGAAGGAACATTGAACAAGGTTCAATTGTGCCAAATATGACATTAAATATATGGTGAATGACTAAGTTATGAACAAACATTTGTTTGGATTACCTATTTTGGCCCACCATGTAGTTGAATCTCTTGCTTGTAGTGTTTCTCTCCAAAAATCAAAATTCCCCAATTTCTGATATAGTGCAATATATTTAGATTTAGATTTGGAGCACACAAATTGTACACGTTTTATATCTTTTAAGTCTTTCATACATATTCTGTTTTAAGTTTCAAAGAAAAGGATAGATAATAATATTATCATGATTATGGTATCTGCGAAAAGAGAGACGGTCACTCGAAATCGCTACATAACGTTGGAGTTCTTTATCAAGCCCCTTTTCGGAATTTGGTCATTCCTGTAACATGTGTTTTACATTCTTTTTCAGTCTGGTCAATATTGGTTTTTCCTTATGGACAATTCTTTGTGGTTACCCGGATTCTTCTATATGGCAACAATTACAGTGGTGTATTGTATTTGTTATGGTAGGTAACACTCAGCTGATATTCTATTGCCACTGGCCACTACCAGGTTGAATACAGTCATCGCTTAATATGGCAGACACTCACAAGCCACAAGCTTCGTAGAAACACGTAACAAAGTCCAGATCAGAAAAACCCTAAATAGACAGTTCAGTTTTGCTTTATATTATTTGGAGGGCAGTTACAATGTACTATAATATGTATTAATGGGTTGAATGAAATTCAATTGCAGCCAAGACAGGGAAGTCAGTCGTGGAGAAGATTTTCGTGCTTGCAATACCAGGATTTATGTCTTTAATTGTCACAGTGAGTTGTCATTTGTGTGATAATAATAAAATGAGTTTGCCTTGGTTACAGACTATGGAAACGCAAAATGACCATTTCCCAATTTATAATATTTCACTTGAATTTGATTATCATTTTCTATATTCGACTTAAGCTTTCATTTGTACACTTTCAACAATTTAATAGTAGTCTATTTAAAATGTCATTAGCTGGCAATATCAGACGTTTGACGTTCAGCTGGATTGAGAATCACAGTTCATTATGTCATCACCAAAGTATTGATATAATGTTTTGTCTCAAGATTTTTGTGGACGATGTTCGGCGGTTGGCGTTCGTCGGTCAGCGTCTGTTACAAATGTCATTTGGTGACATTTTGCATGTTTTATGCCCTGTTTGACATACAATGAAATGAAACGCTGTGGCTTTATTTACATCGATATTTTAGTGAGAACAGAGAATAGATTACATCCATACTATTTTATTTACAGATTGGTTTAATTCTCATGTTGGCTTCTCGTGGAAATGACGCCATTTTTATGGGTGATTATGTATTTCCTTATTGGAGTAAACACCTTGGTCGTGTTATTGCCGCTGCTCCGATTATAATAGGCATATTGGGAGGAGCAGTCCATGCTGTGTTAACACAAGACGGCAACATTGTTCAAGTGAGTGAATCCCTATCACCTATAAAATATATTACTTAAATTGGTATGTAACTTTAATGTTATATCACATAAAAACATACGTCTTAATATAAAATGTATCAAATCTGAAATCCCAAATGACCATTGGTCTTCGTTTTTTGCAGAAAATCAACAAAGCCTTCATGGGAACAAGTGACAGACCGGAAAATGTTTACCAGCAGACAGACCGCGATATTCCACTGAATCAGGGTTACCCCCAACAAGGATATCCCCAACAAGTCTATTCCCAACAAGGGTATCCCCAACAAGTATATTCCCAACAAGGATATCCCCAACAAAGTTATCCCCAGCAAGGATATCCCCAACAAGGTAATCCCCAGCAAGGATACCCAAAACAAGATGACACCCAGCAGGTTGACAATCCAAATCTTGGAAATACTGATCTGCCAGAAAAAACAAAGTTATAATTCAAACGAAGTACGAGATCCTTTATGACATAGCAACCTATTTCATTGTGACATACTTTCACTGCGATATAAACCTTATATACATGTACATACATATTTTTATCTTTGACAATTTCACAAATAATATTTTTACCGTTATTATTATTTGTGGATTTAACTACAAAAACATTTAGACAATTTAGAAAAATGTTCCAATTCTTATTGGCCCACCCTGTACATATGCGGAAGTCTAACTTTTCTAGGCTACCCATGTGTTCTGACTCTTGCCTCAAAGTTCAGACAACCTAAGCGTTCCAAGTTCACTTATTCTATTAGATCTGAAAATTCACAATAAGAATCCTTACTAGTGGTCTTATTTACTCAATTTCAACAGTCCTGAATTGAAAATTGGAAATCAGCGTATGGAGAGTATTTGATAAAATAACTTAACCCCATTCTGATTTATCAGAGTCCCTCTTTACCTAACGCTTTTGAGAGATCTGAACTATTCCAAAAGGATAGTAAAGGCTGTGGATCCCACAATTCTGATCCCACAATGAGTTAACCCAGAATACTTGGGTCAAGTCAGAATACTTCGGCAAGAGTCGGAATACTTCGCTAGCACAGAACACTTGGGGCTTCTTATACATATAATATGTATTACATATATACCTGTCATGAGTATATAGTGTGAGAAGTATATGTATATTTATGACCCAAGAGGATTGGTATCCTTCATTGTCTGCCGCGAAACATTTTGGTAAAAATATGTCTACAATGTTTATCTTTAGATCAAATGATGTTCGATATATGTTATATTATGAAATTATTATTGATCAACTATTTATTCCTGAGATAATTACGAACGTTATGGTTATATTTTAATTACCTTGGGCCTTAAACAGTTGGGTAATATACATTTTAACCAAATTGATCTATACGCCAGTCAACGGAGGATCGTGTTTGAATCACACTTGCCAATACTCCTTGTTAATGTTTCCTTTGTCAGCCGAGACAATGGAAAGACTGGTTTTGTAGTATCAAAGGATCTTAATTTTACTGCCGTCTGACGGATCAACCTACTTTTTCTGGCCTATTCATTCAAATGTCAATAGTACATGTCACTATCATTCATATGTAAATGAGTTGGCCATAAACAAGTAGGTTAAACCGTCATCCAGCAATGCGATTGCTAGTTTTGTTCTTTTACACAAGTACACGTGATTCATACGCTTTGCATAATAGTGTACAGATTTCTTTGTTTATAATATTTGTATCTTATGTATTGGGCAACTATTATAAATATAACTTTTAAGAATAATCAATGTAATTGCTTTTAACATTTACAACAATTTATATTTGATTATGGATTTAAAAGTATTTTATATTTTTACCATTTGTATTCATTATCCAAACGAACGAAGTTCGGTAGGGATAAAGTGAAGCCCTCCGTCCGTCAGTCAGTGTGTCCGTCAGTCCGTCTGTCTGTCTGGCAAATAACTCAAATACTAATGGGCGGATTTTCTTCACATTTTGGGGAAAGATGTATATCGGGAATAATTTTACGCAAATATTTTTAGATGGACGCTGCTTTGAAATTGGCGGATTTTTTGCGAAATTTTACGTCATATATTTCTGACAAAAAGTAATGAGTTTTACTGTTTGGAATGTTGGTACGTTAACCATAAAATGAATTTATCTGGCATATATTCCAAGATCTTGGCACGAGCCCACTGGGGCTTTGTACGGGGGTCCGGAAAATAGGATTTTTCATAAATGAAACCTTTCTGAAGTTTAACTTTATTGTATTCATATATGAAATGCAATTGAGAGTACATTGCAATAATGTATTCTTTATCTGATTCTGGGCTTAGCAAATTCAAAATGGCCATCTAATGTGGGATTTCGCAATAATTTCCTCATCTCTTTAAAGTATGGCTATATTATTAATAGTCAAATTGAAGAAAGTTTTGAGTACATAACAATTACAATGGTATTGTTTTTCTGATATGTGTCTTAGAAAATTCAAATGGCTGCCTAAAGCAGGAATTCGCTATGATATAGAGATCTCCTCAAAGTATGGTTCATTTAGCATATAGCATTCTTTGGAGCTTCAGAAACTAATGCTTAAAATGTAGTTAGTGTTGTATAAAACTGTTTCAAATTTTTAAGCGAATGGTAAATGTTTTACTTGTATGTCTTTGGAAAGTAATGTTTTGTTGTGACAAACATTTAAATTTTGCCTCATTGATCTTGAAATCAAGTCCAAATATTTGTTTGAATATTTCCATAAGATATTCCTTCGCATATCACGTTTTAAAAACAAACATTCGATGTCACTGTGACAATCACACTGTTTAGAACCCGATTGTTTCTGAAATGTCTCGAAGAAATTCCGGATTTTCACACTTTTAATTATATTCAACAGTTTTGATCAATTATGACTACACCAATGTTACAAAGGACACTGTCAAAGACACTGATAAACATGCTTTTAAAAGGACGTTCTTTAATTTAAAAATAATAATAAAAGTAACAAGGGATAAATGTTTTAAATCTCTCATAGGCCGACACCAGCCGGCCGAGTTATTTTAATTATTTTTGTATAATTGTATTATTTTATGGCGTGAGACTTTAATAAATATATATACATACATATAACTAGATGTATACTGTATACTGAGCTTTCTCATCAGAGTTGTTAGTCTATTCTCCTCGACACGGATCACTCAATGTTCATTAATAACACAAACCCCTCTATCATGCCTATTGCTATTGCATTTCTGGAGGTGCTTGCAGGAATGTACTCGCCTTTTTCCTCTCTTTCGAATGTCTAGGTTTCTTTTTAAAGGTGCCTTTTAGCACCGACACATGTTCATTGAGAGAATCTTGTATATCGTCAAGCAGATTCATTTGTTCATCTTTGTATTTGTCCAGCTCTTCATTGCCACCTAATGTATGCACTGAAAGAAGTATTTAAAGTATATATAAGCGCAAATGCCAAAGGGAAGGGTGACTAAAAACTCCCTCCAATCGAGAACCAATATCACAATCCAGGACCAAAACACCAAGGGACATATAGAAGTTATTCATAAGTTATCAATCTATCTATTTAACATATAGGCCTGAAGGTGCGCAAAACTTTATCCAATCGTATTATATACAGGGTGAGCCAAAAAAGTAGCCCAAACAAATGTTAATAACTATACAATTCATTAGCATGGGATTAATGTTATATTTGGCATAATTTGCCTGTTCAATGTTCTTCCATTGTTCCAAGTTTCATTGTCTAAGTAATCCAAATGGTAACGATTTTATGGCCATTTTACAAAAATCTCGTCTCTGGAGGCAAACTTGAAAGCGTTAGGCAAAGTTGTCCTGACTAAAAAAAGTCTGGAGTTTCTGTTTGATGAGTTTGCCATGTTTCGGCTTTTAGCTTCGTAATGGTCATAAAATCGTGACAATTGAGAGTAGACCAATATATTTTTTCAATATAATATGAGTAGACCAATATAAATGAACTTGGAGCAAGGTCTTATTGTGTCAAATTTGACTGTAAATTCATGCTGGATGACTGAGTTATTGACATTTGTTTGGATAACTTTTTGCCTCAACCTTTTTATTTATTTATGTACAGATACATGTTTATGGAACATACCATGATGCTTAGCAGACGCTATCTTCTTTTGAATTTGTTTCATATTTCTCAAAAATGTTTTGATTGATTCACTGAGCTCTCGATCCCTTTCCTTCTCTTTAGTCGAGTTTGTAATTACTGCCTCCTCACTGGGCAGAGAGGAGGCAGACGCTTCTCCGGCAACCATCTCAGGAGTTTGAACTGTTGAGCAAGAGGCCAGTGTCGAGGGGCCATTCAACTTTGTTTCATCAGCTTCGGTATCACGTACAGACTCAGTTTGCTCGGAGACTATCTGATCCTGCGAATTGAAAATATAAAATTATTATCAAGTATACTTATTTCTTTACTAGGTAATTGTTTTATTTAATTACCTAGTATATACTTTACAGGTTTAGTTTATGATGGTATTGAGGCCCTAAACCTAAGAAATTTGGCCCCTTAATATTAAAATAAAAAATGGCACTTTTGTTTTGATTTAATCGTTTTCATGTTTTAATTCATGTTCACTGGGGAAAAAACTCTTCGATAGCGTTCAAGAATTATCGATATCATTGCTTTGGAGGAATCATGCTACCGGTTTAAACCAGAGCATCTAGAATTCAAAGTCGTACGGGTGTACTATCTACATTTTGATCTCATGCTCATTATGCCATTTGTCATAATTAAAAAATACTTTACTTGTACAAAATAAGTTTAAAGTATTTTATTGAGGTCAATCTTACCTTTGTTAGTAAACCATTACTAGTTTCAATATATCATTACACCTTTGTTAGTAAACCATTACTAGTTTCAATATATCATTACACCTTTGTTAGTAAACCATTACTAGTTTCAATATATCATTACACCTTTGTTAGTAAACCATTACTAGTTTCAACACATCATTACAGATAGAATTCTATCATTTTCTGACCCTATTCACAGAGTTACCTACATTGTGCTGTCATATAACATATAATCATATGTTCTTATCTCAACCATACCTTATATTTTCCTAAATTACCCATTGTGATTCTTTTTGTTATACCATTACCTCAATGCCACCTTTAACACTAAGATGGGACGTGTCCTTTGGATCAGGTGTAGTAGTATGAATTACAGGCTGTGTCGTAGGATTTTCAGCTGAAAATACGATGTGACAACCAATCTACTCATTGTGTTATTTAGTAAAGAAGGGCCAAATGATAAAGGGAATTCTCAATCAGCTTTAAAAATAAACGTTGGTCCGACAATATTTTTTATCATCTAGTCTAGCGAATATGCAGATTTTGAATTGTGAAGTTCACCAATGAAAATATGCTGGTCCTCTTCACAAATGATGGCGATATACTAATGTCACAAATTGTAAATATCTATTGCTTGTTTTTATTTTGAAAAGAGGTAAAATCAATTTTTAGTAACGTATACTTCACTTTGTTCCTCATACTTGGAATTAAGGATAAGCGCTTGGCTGAACTACAGCATCTCAACTTTGATCACACCAAACAAGTTTTCACTACGTTCTCGAAAACGGGCTTCAACTGTGTACGAACGGACTGGACGTACCTAGAACCGTTTGGGGTCTATTTACAAACTTCATCGAACGTACTCGAAAGGGTACCGAACATGCTCAAAATGTTCTCATGGTCGATACGTTCTACAATTAGAACGAGTGACAACGTACTAACGACGAGCTGGACGTACTACGAACGGAACCGTCGTACTTCAATCCTACTAGGGACGTTTTAACAACGAGTTGCACTGTCCGAGGAAGTATTGGGAACGAGGTAGAACTAATTGCAAACGGGTTTAAACTGATTAAGAACGTATTTAAGACTGCTTATGAACGAGTTAGCAAAAATATAGCTATCACACCAAACAAGTTGCCACTGCGTTCTTCAAAGCTGGTTTTAAGCTGTGTGCGAACGGAATGAACGTAGCTGCAACTTCCTAAGGTCTATTTACGAACTTCATGAACGTTCTCAGACGGGAAGGTGATTTTAGAATTTTGAATCGATTCAAAATTCGATGGCGACCATACCGTTCTGTAATCAGGTCATGATGACCTTCTAGACTAAGGGACGCGTTATACGACGTTGCACACCGACCTGGTGCGACCTGAACGAACTGCTAATGAGATGGACGTATTGAAGACTGTTTATGAACGAAGTAGCTAATTATTTTAGACATATTTCCCGACCACAGCCAGATTGAGCCCGTTTTACGACTTTTTCGTAGGACTGGCAAGAACGGGTAAGAACTAGTTTGGTGTGATAGGGGGGTAATGTAAACAAGTTACCAGATACAATAGTGGCTTTAGTGTGGCATATCATAAAAAGTATGAACTAAGTTAGCGAATCACCTTCCTGTGTTCCCCATAGTTCTATTACCAAAGCTTCGTTTTCTATATAGTCCAAGAATTCGGGAGTAACACTTTGTATTGTCACATGGTGTTCAAAGGAAAGCTTTGCAGGCGTTTCATTCCAGGCAACAGTCGTTTTTACTTTGGTTTGTTTGAAAAATGTGAAACTGAAAAAATTGAAGAAATAACGTGTATTGTAGCCTTTCCCGTGTTAAGTGCATTATAATTTGAAAATTAAGCAATATCTGATATTTTTTATGCACATTGTGTTCACTTCAGATTAGAGTAGACTTACTATATACAGGAAAGGTAGGCTCGTAGAAGGACATTCGAAAAACAGAAGAATACCAAGACAACATATTAAAATAACTCTGTGAGTGATGAAGGAAATATTCGGTCATCCAACAGACAGTTATATTATCAAAAACATCGGTCTAGTTTTAGAGAAAACTTGTTCTAGTATCATCTACAACTGTTCATTCTTGATGACCCGAATATAACATAACTGTGTAAGTGATGAAGGAATATTCTTCTTTCAGCTGACAAACAACACAATTATCATGTATATCTACAAGGTATATAGTTTTAGAGAAAACTCCGTCTTAGTATCATCACCTATTTTCTCATTTTTGGAATTGCATCTAGTCATGCATCGATCATGCCAGATATAAGAAATGCATGTCATCTAAAATGTCTCAGGAAGGGTTTGACAATTTCTATGAATTTGTTACTGCTAATTGAATTGAAAAATGAATATTTTTTATAATTAATGTAAAAAGTTGAACTTTTCTTCATTGAAGGAAATCCCAGCTCATTTGGGTACAAATTTTTCCGGCACACCTTGTATATAAATACATGAACACTGGTAAACATGCGTACCCGCAATACACTCCTCTGCTAGTTTCCTCCTTTATCCACTCCACATCATCAACCCGATCTATGAATATCATGAAATCCACTCTCTTACCCACCAGCTCATTTGGTTCAAGTATTACGATGTCATCTTCTTTCAATATCCTTAAAATACAAGACAGAAGGCATTTGTTAAATTATCAATATATTTTTATAAATTTCTGTTAAGCAGTCAGAAGTAGGTCACATGTACTCCACACATGCAAGATAAACTTCACTATCGATTTTATAACCAATTACAATGCAAACCTCAGAAGATCTGAACAATTTTGAGGATTTAAAAATTTAAAAATATTTATCAACATATAATAAACGTACTTCTCAAGATATTTTCTTTTCAATTGCTGTCCAAGACATGCATATCATCATCACTTAATCTTTTGCAAATCGAATTGTGTAATTCCATTCTCAATTCTTTTGAACCATGGAACTGTAGTGCGCCAGATGTCCAATATGTTAATCCAGGTTGGTCAAATAAGTTTTACATTTTCAGATAAACCATTGTCAAATATAATATCTGCTATTCTTATCCGAATATATATAATATTTAGTTATTTTTACCATATCATATATTGCAACCCGTTAGTACTTGGGAAGTTCACTTACGTTCCATCGGGACGACACGGAATAATCCGAACATGGGCGACGCCTTGTTGTAGACCGGTGTATCCCAGCATATTTTGTTTCTCGTCAAGGTCTATGCAGTATCCCAAACTCTGTAGCCAGATGTGACAACTTCAACATAGAAAAATCATATAATGAAACCGTTCTAGGGACACCGGACGGTCAAGCCAAGTAACTTAGTCAACATTCGATATTCGTATGTCCATCAATATTAACTAAGAATGGTGCCACAATTGAAGTAAACCTCTGATTAATTATTTTCAATAAACCTATCAGCAAACGTGTAAATGATAAATTTGATGTTCTGTTACATATTGGTGAAGCAGTCTTTGGGATATGGCCTAAATTTCTGAATTTCCACTATGTCCCTGTATACCCCTACTTAAAAACATGTATGTTATTTGTCATTTTTCATTATGAATCAACCATAAATGTATTTTTTCTTGTTTACATACAGAATGAACTTTTTGTTTTCAAATATTGAAAGATGGTACTGCATTTATTTTTTCATGATATGGAGGAAACAAATGCGTGTCAATTTACACTGTAATATCCCACACACTTATATTTCAAGGGTAGTTTTGAAGAATAATCAAGAAAATCCATGTTTTCAAATGAATCCGTCCTTGTCAAAGAACGTAAGTGAGGATATGCGGTTTAAAAAACTAACAACATGTTTTAAGTTCTTACAATTCTTGTTTAAAACAAACATTTCGAAAGTTGTGATTTCGAATGTAATATCCAACTCAATGAAATTTGTTGATATTTGTGAATTTTTTCTTTCGGAATGCACATTGCTGGATCACAGAACCTTGCCTTGTTCGAGATGCACAAAAGGGGTATTGTTAATACTTGACGTCGTTCGGATATTCGGATGTGATTGCCGTTTTCGTTAATCTCCAACCACTGTAACTTCCAACTTAATTTTTGAAAGCCAAATATGATAGTCATGAATCGATATTTAAGTCACACGTGGATGCATACATCATGTGTCTACATTAACTGTCGAATACATGCCGACTTTCATTTATTTAAATATACACAGTTAACTCAAATCATCAATTCTCGAAACGGTTTATCATATAACCTGACCTGAGTTTAATGTTTCAGGTGAGTTTAATGTGAGGCTTAAACAAAGCAATAAAACTGCGTGAAACCTTTTGTGAAAATTCGAACGATTTTTCAAGAATCCTCCTTCAAAGTGTTACCACAGTGCTCCCCGGGAGTGGAAATTTCGTCTTGTGTAATCAAAATAATAGCGGGTGGTTTGAATTTTTGTTTGAGTTTAGAGCTCAGCATCTATAAATTTAAAAATGTGTCGCCTCATTGAGAGGTACATGCAGATTTTGGCGATCTATCTTTATAAAAGGCTAAATTTTGTGCAAAAACAGGAGTTGACACGCTTACATTTGGAATTGAAATTTCCTACATAATTGTCGACTCATGTTTAAAAGTCATGAAAACAAGGTTGAACACAAAATAATAACCTAGTTACTGTCTATTTAGCATGGGATCACTGAGGGAAATATTATTAATGACTTAATTCGTTAACAGTTAAGTTGTATTCCAAGAAACTTATCAATTTAGAAATGCAAAATGTTCAATTTTGTTTTTCAATTGTAAAAATGGCACCTGTAGAGAACAACGTTTTACAAAATTATTTAAAACGGAGATATTAACTGATGTAACATTCGTTGGCATGTGTCAGGGAGTAAATAAGAAGAATATGCATTTGATTCTATATCTTGTTCCCAAAGGAGTTTGTTAAGGAGCGGTATATCTTAACGTACTTTTATCATCCCGAACTCAAATATTTCGAATCCCTATTTCGACAACGCTTTGTTGAGAATGGATTCAAGATGTACTCAAAATTATTACGTTAAAATGTGTATTATCATCTTAATAACCACCTCACAAATTATTTTGGAAATCAAAGATGTAAGATTTTTGAGATTTTTATTTTCGAATGTTGACTTAGTTACTTGGCTTGACTGCGGAGTGTGCCGCATTGGTCAAATAGAAAGGCGTTAGATAAAATGTGGCTGTCAAAGTGCAGGTACGAAGATTTTAAATTGTAACTCGATTCATTCATTTGGACCATATGAATGAAAAGGTGTATGGATGGTTCATCTCAAAGTACTATACACTTGCTTACCTTCCCAAGAAAACGTCCTCTACCGGGTCCCAGAATGGGTCATTTTCCTGTATAGCGGGGTCAAGAAGGTCACAGTCCAGCCATTTATTATACAGCTCATCCATCAAAAATTTCCTGTTCAGGAATTTATGTTTCATCCAAACCCACACCTGGTAATAAGAATGATATTTTCTGTTGCTACTGCTGACTATAACTCCCTACATATATGTTTTCTTATTTCTAACATCACATTTCCTGAGTTATAGTATAATCATTGCGTTAATATCATTTCATTTGCACGATTCTAAGATACACAAATGATAGTTCTCTATTGAAAGCGGAGGATGCTCGCCTATACATGAATACTATACCTGAACGTGAAGTGCTAATAAATAAAACAGAATAACAGACAGAAATAAAAATTACATGAAGTGCTAATGAATAAAACAAGAGAACAGACAGGCAAAATATAGTAAGCTTCCATACCTTCTTTGTTAGAGAATTAGATACTCCAACAATGACTTCCTTTTCTGGGTTGGATCCTTTAGAATCGTGCGAGCTCATGTTTTTTAGTCCTGCTTCGAATTTCACATTCTAAATAGCAAGATTTCATAAAACATGATGTCGTCTATATTAAAAGGTCTACAGTAATACCCTGCGTGCAGAGTCTAGTTAAACTACAAGAATGCAAGTGCTTGAAGACGAAGCTCTCTTTTAAGAAGTGAAGTCAAACGAATGCAAAGGGTAATACAGTAACAGCATGATAAGAACAATTAAAGTGTAGATATTTTGCTAACCTTCTTCATTTCTTCACTAAGGGCATTAGCCTCGTGGATCTTTGGCTGTATGTCGATATATTCTTGAAATACTTTCAACGTAGCAGGGTCCTGAATAGACAGCCGTCGGCTTGAGGTCAGTATGCTACATTCAGAAAGATGTTAAACCGAAATATTGAGTCAAGAAAATAAGTCAAGAATAATTTGACTCGGTCACTTGTGTCATGCCATGTCATATTTCCACATAAATTATTATATGTTATAAAATAACTTTCGAATCTAATTCTGTATAGCATTTCCAATAATTAATTCTAACTGAAATAAATTTCTTTTGGTATATATGATAAATTCAGAAAGTACTAAGTTATCCGTATTCATGCAACTGGATCATTCTAGTTTCAAGGGCACTCGAGGTAGGCAAAAATATGAATAGTTGACATAATAACTCATTTATTTTTGGCAAATATAATGATACAATATTTAATATATCTAGGATCAGCATTACATAATGTATTACATAATCGTACATAATTAATTCAAAATGTGTTAAGTTTATTTTTGCAAATAGGGCCATCCTTGGCCCAAGAGTAATTCATTGCATTATATTATAAGGACCGATCTTGAAGGATGAATAGGGCTAAAGACCAAGGTTTGAGATGGGGAATGGGAGGAAATTTTTCAAAGATTTAATGATCGCTATAGCTATAAGCTTAGTTCATCCGTCTAAAGTCAAAGCTCCAAAAGACAAGGTAAGGCAGGTCCATCCCGCACCCTAATAATGAGGACACATAATCCGAACTACATGTAAATGGTGATTGGCAATTAATCTGAAGATAGATGAGTTAGCTTTATTTTCAAAATATCTTTACTCTAAAATCCAACCTTCCACCCAGCTCTGATCCTTGTGCCATTTCCATTTGAAAGAAGTTAAAATCGTATCTTGTGATCTGGTCATCTTGGATCCTCTCCCCTGGATAGCCAATATATAGAAACAGCGCATTGGAACCAAGCTTTAGTCTGTCCTAAACCAAGAAGCTAGAAGTTTAAAATACTAGTATACTAACGTGCAAATTAAAAATAAAATGGAATTTATTCATTTCATATTATGCAGTGTGATATATCGATAGAGGTATGTAATTCATAATTCTGAGGAACACGGTCAATCTTGAACAGAGCTGTACACCAATCTTTGTCAATGATGCGGATTGGAGGTTAATACCAATATGGCATTTCATTATCAGGAACAAAGTTACATCGTCATTTACAAGGTATGATTTCATTTTCCGATGGACAAGAGTTGAAAGAGGCATTTCAAGACCACCCGACAATGTTTTAAACTCCTTCGTCATTAATTCTTGCCATACATGCTTGCTTGATTTTCCGATCCAGTTCAAGATAATAAAGTTACCACACCATGACTGAGTGCTGACGCTTGATAGATGGAAAATGTTTGAAAAGGTTCTTCATACGCTGACAAGCTTACCATATGATTTAATGTTGTAGTTTCAGAGATATTAATGCCATTGATAACAAGCTTTGCATCATGAGAAAGGGGTTTGATGGACACAAGACCTGCCTCTTTCCGCACTAAACAATGGCGATCTTGAATCCTGTAATAAAGGTTAATTTGCGAAAAGTACTTCAGGGTGTTTGACTGAGTGGTCCACGACTCGTACAAAAGGCTGTTGTGAGTACTTGTATGGCTATGTATGGATACACATAAAAAACACAGGGCTCCTTTGAGGAGGGGTTTCTGTGTCTATCTTCCAGGCTAATTATGTTAATTACGACCGTTCAATACCAAGAGGTATTGCTCACCTTCATTGGTGGTAAACAAAAAAATACAATTACTGATGGCAGCTCGGTTTGGGTCAAATAGCAAGAAACCAGTTAACCATCAGATACGGCGCCATAATTCATAAACAAATTCATGAACGTAAACAAAGTAGTATAATCACTTACCCGAGTCCCCTGAGTTCGATGAAGTTCTCCAGGTCTTGTCCCGTCTCTTTCCCCATAACAGTTTCGTCTATAAAAATGATAACAGTTGGTGATTACTCGATATGATTTACAATACGAATACGCAATCGATTTGTTTGGTATTAAGCTACACTGCAATATCAGATACTTTTTAAACCGTTCACATACCGTTTAAGAATGCATATTTTATAACACCAGAGAGCTGAGAGTCCTCATTTACATTTTGGATGTAAGGATTTGTATCTAGCACTGTTTCTTTTTCTCCTTCAATATTCTGCTTCCATGCCTCCCTGTTCAAATATAAACCTGTGTTTCAGCATTATAACAATACATTTAAGCACCCATATGTACTTAATTACGCAGAACATCGCGAGGGTGGGCACTGGGTACAAAAACATAATGAAATACTTTGTCGAATTTTTGAACCATATTGTATATTCGTCCTTCACCAATCATCCAAACACTGTATTTCTATTCTGTGGTATTGTTAGCTCAGGTAAGGACTTGTTTACCTTGCCTTTGCCAGCTGTTGCTCCCACGACGTCTTCATTTCTCTCATCCTGTTTTCGTTTTCTTCTACACTCATCTGATAATCTTAAAAAACAAAATATCTTTCAGGAGATTTGTTTTGAATGGGAGGGCGTATTGGACACTGTTTCTTTTCACGTTCGATTTGGTTTGGGGTAGTTGGGGCTTATTTTCCTTATAACCGGTACTCTTAGATGTTTTCTTTTTCCTGCTGTGTTCTGTAACTATGTTTTTGCTACTCTACCGTTTGCAATTGCGCAAACATGTATAGACGCATGTCGAGAAGCCAGACGTACAGTATTTTATATCGAATAAACCTTTTGATAAATAAACCTTGATACTGCGTTAACAAAATATACATTGTTTTCGGTCAATATATCATAATGATGGGCGAACAAATTGACATCGGTACACGACATGATGCCATTGATTTGGGTCATCGTAAGAATGATTACCTATCACAACCGATGCTCTTCTTTGTTTCTGCAGCTGGCCCAGCAGTCTAGCATTTTCCTCCTTTAACTCACGAATCAGTTTATCCGTTATATTTTCGTTTACAACAGCCTGGGTCTGTATTCTTTTCGCCCTGGATTGTAAAATATGTCTTCGTTTAGTCATTGTAATTTTATTACAGTATACAAACATTAAGATTGGTCACAATTAAAACCAGAGACCGTTGTTTTAATATTCGGAATGTCAAATAGCCAGTTACCCGAACTACCGTATAAACACTGGTAAGTGAGACCGAAGGTCTACGTGAATAGACTTTTAAAGTTTTACAAATTGAATTTAAAATTGAATGTTAATTTCGTTTCAATATCGTATGACAATAAAGTTTAAAAATTTAGATGAAAACTAATGATGTAAATGGTTTACCTATTTGCATATCTCAACGTAGATAAAGTCTCCTCATAGCTATTTTCTGATGGACTCAAAGTAGCCAACTGAAAATGAAATTGGACAATTGATTTTATGATCAATTGTTATCACTTATATAGTTACAGTTCTGATACTGCATACTAGGTAGCTGGAAGGGATAGATAGCCTATGATAACCGCTGATATTATAAGAATTGTAGAATTTATGTTATCTTCAGGTTTGTAGTTTTAAGAATGATGCGGAATATAATAAATCTTACAATTAAGTTTGTTACTACGGGGAGTTGCTGTTTTCAAATCTTATTCTACGATGGGCCTCTATCCCCGATAATGGACTTGTTTGATGTCTTATTAGCGATCATACGAGAGCCGAGTGAACGAAAGCATTGCCCGGGAATTCGATAACAGCTGCAAGAAAGAAAGAGCGCACTGGACGAATAATTCAGACACCGCATGCGCATTCATCATTATCGATTTTTATAAGTGTAGCAAGGGGTCTTAATTCATGTAGCAACGATAAATAAACAAACACCTGCTATTAAAGGTAAAAAGATATAGAGGTCATTAATGGCGATAAACGATAATATTTTCTCTTGAAAACTGTTTAAGATGACGTCTTAGATATGCTTGCATAAAATAGATTATATTGGACCGCAAACTCAAGACAAGTTATAGCCAAAAACATAATATTTATTCTACTGATCAATATTAGGAAAGGGATCATGTATGCACCAGTGTACAACACCGAATATTCAAGTAATTATACACATGGACCAGGAGAATATGTGTCCACTAATGCCGCAAACATACAAAATCAGACATGGTAGGTAGCATTGCATTGTATCTAAAGCTAGCATCGAAGAGTAATGACGAGGTCAACCACTTTGATTGTTTGACATACTGTAGTGTATTGGGCCATAAAGGATAATAAATGTTAAATGTCCTGACAAAGGGCAACATCTCAAGATGACGAGAAGCAGAGGTGAAAAACAAAGAAATAAAAAATATTATTTCTTTTAGAATTTGTTTCAAGTGACACATGTATGACAGTTGACGATGTGACGATGTCAATACTGAAGTTGAAATACATGTACTTTTCAATCTTGGAATCCTTTTACATGTGATGTAATATGGCAATCTCCATTCCGATGAAAGCCAATGGAAGTACATGTACGGTGTAGTTTAGTTTTCACATCCATTATAATAATGCGTTAATTATTTTATCTATTTAAGGAATCCTGCAACTGGAACAAATGGGCAGATGTTAACTCAGAGTTCTATGGGCCCGCCACAGATGGCACCACCATCATACGAGGCCGTGTACGGATCATCTAATGGCGCAGGCCAAATGTCCTCGAGAACTCCATATGAGGTGGGCAGTGTTCATCCACAACATTTCCGAACGATGAGATCAACTCAGGTGGAGCCAATGGGGACCACACTACGCACTACGTTTTATGGCGAAGAGAATCTACCAGATAGTTATGAGGCGGTTCACAGCTCGGAGGCATGGAGCTATGACGCAAGATGGCAAGGGAAAGCATCTGGAGAATTTTCCAAAGACTTAAGTCCAAGTTGGCAAGAATGGTCAGCCATTTCAAAATCTCCACCTTATATAAATTGCTCACCACAGCAAAATATGGAACAGTACAAAACACAAATACCATGAGACGTGTAGTTGTAAACATTTTTTAGGATCCTGTAGAAGGAAATTAACTTGAAAACAAAGCACTCGCGGCACTTTTGGTATTAAACGTTGTGGTGTTGCTTTTTTGCCTTGTTATTGCCAATATGGTAAAGGAATCAAGCCCAGAGCTCAACTTATTTTTGACGATTTATGGCCCGAATGCTTTGTGTCAGACTTTTGAATGAAGGTGGCAGAAGACGTGCAGTCACCATACGGATTTGGGCATACCTTCGAGAACAACTGTCACTAAATAAATTGCTGACACGCAATCTTGCGTGTGGGAGGTTTCAGGAATTGTCTCCAAACAAAGTGAATTTGATCGAACCCAACTGTTTGCTACCTTTTACGCTGTATTATAGCCTACCAGAGTCAATAATAAAATATTTAAAATCATTTTCTATTGTAATGTCCATCATTTTCGGCTTTAAGGTCAAGTATGTGGGTATGAAATTATATAATTGTAATTGACATGCAGACACTTTTTATAAACAACTCGTACATTAGACGCTATAACATAAGTTGTCCATTGCCTTCGATTCAAGTTCCAAAAAGATGACATGTGATGCTTGTAAGCTTGCGTTAAATATGATTTAGATTAACTCAATACTAACCATGACTGTTCTACTGTTGCCACCGAGGGCTGATTGAAGTAACTTTGTCAGAACAGATTCTCGGTATGGGATGACTATTTTCTTGTTGCCTTGAGCTTGCTCCGCCAGGGCACTGAAATGGACAAGAACGTAGCCTATGATCTACTTGATATCATGATCTTGTTTGATTTCTCTAGGTGCCTAAAACATAATTATCCAAACGTACCAAATCCCGTGACCAGACCCAGAATGGGAGGGTCGACCTCAACTGAAAATTCTTTCAAAATCATGCAATTCTCAATATTCTGAGCACTTTTCAAGTGATTTGGGCCCAAAGCCATCAAATATTAACCCACTGGAATTTTTTGAAAAGTGAATCCCCCTTGGCAAAAAATGGCTAGAATTAAAGGATTATCTTATGGTCATGATAACATTCTTCACCATACTTGGTGACAATTAATAATTTAGCTATAGCATGCCTGACAACATTCTCTAACGTGTGGGATAAAATACATGTAAACGTATCTTATTCTAATAATTATTCAAACATATATTTCAATTAAATGTAATTGACACCATTCATGTTTGTACCTGATAACATTTCCTAACGAAAGTAAACTCTGATTAATAGACGCTCCTTCTTTCAACCTATCACCCAAAGCTCCAGTTTTTGATTGACGTTCACTCCCAGCAAGGTCCACAAAATTAACAGTACTCGTTTTCGTAGTACTTTCACCCCTACTGTTTGGAAATATCTGCAATGATAAGTAATTCTAAAGTTTTCTCGATCGGTTGATGTAGACAGAACATACAATTATGTCATATAGGCTTTTGCCTTTTTCGTGGTCCATTATACCCCATAAGTTAAGTGAAAATACACCTTATTCCATATAAATTCCATATAATAGGCCTTGACAAAAGTACGTTTCTCCGACGTTTATGCTAAGAGGACTAGGGCATGATACTAGAAATTATCGACAACACCACATCCGACGATTACGCTGGTTACCAAAACGGTTAGTGTCGGTAACAAAATGTCGGAACGTCGAAAGTACGAGTTTTCTTTTTCCTCATTTCACGCGTTGTAGGTAGAATACCCACGACATTTTTTCTCACAAAGGTATATCAGTATCATATGTTTTAGAAAAGGTACATGTTTGCGAAAGAAAATAGCTCAGAAGACAACAGAATCGTTGATTTAATTCCTCACTTAAGTTACATAAACGGTATGGGTTAAAAGTGCAGATCTTAACTGTTTTTCGAAATAAAAATATCGTGGGAATTCTGCCTGCAACGTTTGAAATAAGGAAAAAAGAAAAATCGTAGTTTCGATGTTTTGACATTTTGTTACCGAAACGAATCGAACCGTTTCGGTAACCAGCGTAATCGAGTGGATCACCAGTGCACATAGCAAAGATTATAACTCATATGTGATTTTTGGTCAATCCTATAGAATAGATATATAGATCCCAAACGTTTCTCGCCAAATGTTCATGATCAGAGGCCTTTTTATGTTTGTCGTAAATATGAATTTATCCAATGCTCCAATTAGAAATGACCAACTGCTCGTATACCCCTTTTTAAAAAACGACACTCAGCTTAAGACATCATCTACCGAGGTAGTTATAACACACTAACACTGATTGAAGTTGGAGCCACTGAAACCTTGAAAATGTAGATGTTCTACTACACGTACTTTACCTGTTTAAAATTTACAGTTACTATCAGGTGGGACCTGCTACTAGTTGCGTTCAGATTGGTCGTACCAGTGGTTCTATGTAACACCCCTTGCTTTAGGAAAAGTTTTACGTCACCATACGTTTGAACTGGTATACGCTACAATAAGACGTGTAGTACTATGTTATGCAATACATGACGTATGACGATGAGTTGATTCTGGAACATTGGAGAGGTTTAAATTTTGCACGTGTTTAGCCTAACGTATCTGAAATCCGCACTATACAGTCACCAGATTTTTTCTTGTTTATGTTCCAAGTATCACATTCGTTTCGATTGTTTGATTTTACCATAGCCTAATATTTGTGGTAAAGTTAGACTGAATCACTTGAAAAATACTAAAATGGATGTTCACCAAGGCTCTGTATTAAGCCATATACTATAACTCAATCTTTCAACAGATTTTGAAAATGTAAAAGGGTCTTGGGATTTAAATACCTTTAGTCCTTCAATGTAAAAACCTTTGTTTGGATCTTGTCTGAGTCTTAGGCCTTTGGCTGACTGCGTTTTGCTTGGTACTAGGAGGTCCTTCATCACTTCGTTGTAGATCTCCACCATTGTAAATGTCACCTACGATATCAAGACCAATTATTCTGATGTACGTTAAGAAAACAATGACCGAGTATATCAGTTTCATAACTATGCCGAGTGTGCAAAAATTGTATCCGGATGAAGCCGGAATACGCATGTAAAATGTATAACTCTTCGCCGAAAAAAATTGAACGTTTTGCACAATAAAGAGAATTCACTGGTAAATTTGACATTTTAGATCACATTGCTCTAATTAAATAAACTCCATCGATCACGACTGATATGAGCTAAATGCAATTTAAAACTTGGAAAATGGGTAACGATGATACTAAAAAGATTTTCTCTAACATTTGGCACATGTGGTATCCATGATGTTTGAAGTTGTAAAATCTGACTTATTTATTTAACAGCTATGTATCGACTACAAACAAATTTATATATCTGTAAGTGATATTGTTGATAACCGGACTATTGTAAGACTTGGAACAAGTGGAAATCAAATAATTTTATCTCGTGTCCTATTGAGATTACAATGAAATAGCTTGATTTATGGGTGATCATACAAATAATTTCTCCATCGACTGCCGTTATATCTAAGGCATGTCTGATTTGGTGTAGATTTTGATAACGATGTAGCTTAGTTAGATTTTAAATGTCTTTCTTCGTAATTTGCCAGTCTAGGAGGGTATAGACTGATGTTCACTCTTAAAAATTAAGTTTTGACAATTTTGATAAATTATGGCCATTCAACTTTAAAGCTTCACTAATTGTTGCGTTTATTTATATGCCTCACACACTTGATTGTATGTCGATAATTAATTATAAAACGGACAAAAGAAAACGTAAATACAATAAATGGTAATATATTTGTATTTTCTCTGCTATGCATCCTTTTCACTAAGCTAATTGAGAGAATTGCAAAAGGATTTCAAAAATGTCATCTAAACTAAATATACCTTGCATGTACATGCAACTCAGGCCCGTAGCCCCTGGCCAGAAATTCTTTCAAAATCATGCAGTTTTTCACCATTCTGAGAATTTTTCGCATGATTTTTAGCCAACATTGTGAAAAAGCTCCCCCCCCTGGAAAAAACTCCCCCACCTGGTAAAAGCTGGCTACGGGCAAAAACTTATATAACTTACTTGTAATTTCTTTTTAACTTCATTGTTAGAGGATATCTCATTGAAGAGCTGTTCGTATGTCCGTGGTATTAATCCTATGTTTGGTCCGTTACCAAGAACACTGTAGGATTTGCCGCTACCTGTCTGGCCATAAGCAAACAGTGTGGAGTTGTAGCCTTCCCATGCGTTCTGGACGATGTCCTTACCAAGATCCGTGTAAACCATTGTCTAAAATAAATTTCAATAATTTTAGATTCAACAATTGCAAGCGTGTGGGAGACTTGGCCAAAACGGGACACTTTTTCTGTGTTTTACAAGACAGTCTCTCCTACAAAAATTAGTACAAACTCGGCATTTAAAGTTTTTTGATAAATAAAAAATGAAATGATATAGCAGCAGTGCATGTTTCCTTAACCGATTGATGAAGCACCATGTATGCTTCTGAAGTGGTGATATACATTGATATGTACACAGTTTGTAACATATGAACAGAGTCAGTAAAAGTAGGAAAGATACATCTAAGATGGTTTGCATATGAACGGGTAGCGAGTTGAAAAGGTATCTCTTTAGCTTTGGTCAGTTTACGAGCTGCTGTGCCAGTGAGGAGATAATTGGCAACTTATACGAGCCACGTAGAAGGAATGGTTACGTACTTGATCAGCGTATGGACTTCCCTCTTGGTTCTCCGGCACCAAAATTCCTTCGCTGTTTGTAGAGAATCCATCAACTGACCAAAATACATGATCGAATGAGAACAGCTTCTCATCAGAAGTCTCGGTGTTTGTAATGGATAGAGCACTTTCAGAGGTTAACTTGAGGATAATGCGACATCGACTTGTTATTTCACGCTTAAAATACACACATTTAGCAATGAGATCAAAGTCACATTTTTATTTAGAATCAAAATCTGTTCAACTACTGTATGGTTGTATTTGTCCACTCCTTTTGATTAAAACAATGGGTGGGAATGTAAAACTGCCTTTTCTCAACTCTCAGTAAATATATTTCAATGAAATTTTCTCAAGAAAGACTTCAAAGCACTCCTAACATATAAAAAATATTGTTTCACTCATAATCAATTTTCATTATGATGATTACAGATGGCCAAATTCTGATGGCTACCACTTTTGCGTCTTTCGTCTGAAAATACCACTCGGATTAAATACCAAGTAATCAATTAATTATCCCAATTTTCTTTATGTAATAGTTTTTAAGTAGTGTAGGGCTTATTGTCCTTATTCACATATTATGACTTTATTTGACATGTATAGTTTTTACCTTTGTTTAACGCTATTCGTTAATTCATTGAAATAGAAAGGGAACTAATTTCTGAATGCAAATTTGGAAAATGTGATCGATCTTTTGAAAAGGCAATTAATTCAATTTCCTCATGAACGATCTTTTTACCTTTATTGATTAATTACATTGCATGAAACAAGGTCCAAATATATTGATTTAACATCATTAAAATAAATTGTTAATATTATTACTGAGGTTGAGAATTATTAGCTTTCAGCTCTTTGTATATCTTATATAACATCTTCTCAAATTACAGTAGTGTGCTTCTAGTTTTAATTAGTGTTAACGTACCATCGACAGTGGACGAATCCTCACTGCAACTTTTAGCTTATCCGAAGTCATTTTAAAAATTCGAATTCAATTCAATTAATAATCCGGGATTAAATCCGTTTCAGTGGTTTCCGTACAATCATGTTCGAATCCGTTATTCACAATGGGGTAGCAGGTCTGACAACAGTAGTTCCCGTATATTCACAATTCTGTTTTTATTCCAAATGAAATGTTGACAAAACCCAGGTTCATACCCACACAAATAGGAACAAGATGTCTGTTACCTCTAGAAAATGTGGGTTCGTTTTTTTAATAATGAACTTTGGCAAAAATACATTCCTGAAGCACGAGTCTTTTCTTCCTCTCCGACACATTCCAAAGTTTAGGATCTCGTTTCGGGTTTTACCTTTCCGGATAAGTATCACATTCGTTGTACATATAAGCATGGGCTCTATCAGTAGAGCCCATGATATACGTTTTGCAATATAAAGATGATTTGGCGAATATACGAGGGTTGTCCCAGAAGTAATGCACTATATGCTCTAACTTTATCAATAATTGATATTTTTCCATGAAATTTTCAGTAAATCTTCCTGAGAGACATTTTGATTATTCTACAAATTTTCATGTTGACTGATAAAACTATATTGATGTTATAATAAAATCAAGTTGGTGTGTTTGGGTTGGGCGGGGCAGGTATAAAATCACGTCAAATGGAATAAAAAAAATTGAAAATATGAAATAATTAATTAACAATACCATTTTGTGTAGCTATAAGAAGTTGGCTCAAAAATATATTATAAGATACTAAATTTCTATGAGCACATCTTAGATTTAATTGATGTATATTACACAGTGTCCCATTTCATATTTTCTCAAAATATTGCCCTTTGCATGTTATGTACTTTTGATGCCTGTCAGGTCAAACAGTCTTGGCAAATTCTTCCACTTTGACTTGTGGAGTTTTTGTCTCCCATGTTTGGAGTTCACCCAGGGTCCAGTCATCTCTTTTAAATCTCTTCTGCCACCTCATAATTGTAGTTCTATCTGGTTTATACTCCTAAAATAATCTTTTCATGGTGGCATAAGTTTTGCGTGGCTTTGAGTCCAAGTAAAGTATGAAATTAGGCCATCAAAAGCTAATCCTTCTGTTATCACGTGAGAATTGTAGCCATTTTTGCAATTTCTTGACCGTGACTGTATTAGAATTTGTGACCATTGAACTGTTGTATTATGACATCACAGTGCTAGATGTCATTATTTGTACTCGGTAAACATCATGCTGAATAAATTTAACAATTTCCCAAACATTTTGATCATTTAAATAAAAGAAATATTAATAAAATAACACTTTGGATCTTTTCATAATTAGAAAAATTGGTACCTGCCCCGCCCACCCCTACCCCCATGTTGCTATAGCAACCATATAAAGACTTAATACTAATGTTTGATGCTGAAACTTCAGGTCAGTATAGATGAAACTTCAATTGTTATATACACAAAATTTCAGCTGAATTGAAGTATATTAAAGAAAGTTAGAGCATATAGTGCATTACTTCTGGGACAACCCTCGTATACATCTTGAGGTCGTATACATGTACGTAGAAATAGCAAATATCAAAAATGGAAGTTAGAGAGCGATTTGAGTTGTTGAAATTGAATTGAGACATGCGCAAGTATTATTAAATTAAGAAAGTAATATGACTTAAATTAAGTTGTGTATGCGACCGGAATGATTTTGTCTATAGAAAAATGGGGATGAACTTATTGAACTAGAGATCGTGCAAAATGTGAAATTACATCATGTATTACCATTTTCGCCATTTTTGAAAATATAAAACTTGCGGTAACTATAGTCAACGTATCGGATACCCCCTTATGCTACAACGGAGATATCTTATTATTGCTCCGATTAGATTGATATAGACGTGGAAAGTGGAGTGGTTGATAAGATAATGCCCCAAGAATGAAGACAATTAGAGACATATAAAACATGTTTTATAGTCTGAGTGAATAATTCGTGGACAAATGAGATCAAATACGTACGTGTACTGAGAACTTCCCTTACCTGTACTTATTGTATAGGCTAATCTTATGCAACAAGCAAAAGAAAAAAGAAACATTTCATGAACAACATAAACTAAATAAATATTGAATAGCAATAGCAATCGAGCTACATATGTACATGTACAGGATAGGCCACTTTGTAATAGTTCGATGGGAATGCAGAATAAAGTCATGCAATTCATTGAAAAGAAATAAATTAAATCTTCAGCCATATTTTGAAATAATGACTATTAAAAATGTTATTAAAAGAAGTTTGAGCTTTTATTTTTCAATGGACATTCAAGGATGTTGCAATGTTTTTATGATAAGGTAACATGTATTTCGTGATTGATAAGAAGTGGCCATTACGAAATCGCTATAGCGAATATTTATTCTCTTTAGTTGCTAGTTCTCACAGAAATCGTATTCGAAAAAAAGATCCTGTCCCCAAAAAGATCTCTGTATTTCCCATAAAGCAACTGGATGCTGACGAAGCTAACTTGCATATCAAAAGGCTCAACATATCTGTGTTTCTGTAAGTAAAAACAGCTCGGTATTTTCATGAAATAGATAGTTATTTATTGAAAATCTACAGTCCGAATCATTTCACTTTTCTCAGGGCTTTTTATAAAAAAGCTCCTACCTCATACCCTACTATTTTTTCATGGCCTGAGTTCGTCACTAACATGCTAAATCATAGCCGTAGGCAGCGGGGGTTCGGTTAGACTGTATCCTTCGTCTGAATAAATATTCAGACTGTAAGTCACCTATTGTAAAATGTGGTGTTGTATAAATGTTACAAATAAGTTTGTTTAATGATAAAATGATTACCTTATAAAGAACTTACAATATTATTTTTTCATATATTGTCCTCTTACTGAAGATATTCATAAAATGTACAGACGCTTCTTGTAGAGAAGCCATTGATTAGGTCAAGCCATTTTGGCAATGCCAATTCTCACGATAAACGAGATTTAGCCAGTGACGTCAGTCTATTTGTAAACAAATAACACGTGGAGCGGACGGAGCAACATTACGGAAGCGTATTGCTAAATTCCATTTGTGTGGGAATTTATTAGATCTAGTCATTTATTATCATTATCCCGATTAATTTTCTTCATTTATAGTAAATAGAGCGGAAATATTCATGAAGAAGGCCGAGGTAATCAAGTGGTCATGTGTTGTCAAAGTTCAAAATGTGCATATCTCGTTTGGATCTCGTGAACTCAAACATCCTTGACATTGATTTCGCGATCTACTTATGAACACATCCTGAAGTTTTGGTGAGTCTGAACATTTCATTATTTTATATCAACTTGTACCCGCCTTATACAAATATTTTTGCTTGTAGTTTAAGATGAACATCTCTTCAACATATTCACCAATTTTCAAGGTGAACATTCTTATAATAAACGAGAAATTAATGTGCAAAAAATATCACCGCGATTTCCACAGGAAATATATCAATCATAACAGACCGAATATTATATTCGGTCTGTTGGATACATACTAGGGGTTCGGTGGGTTCGAACGAACCCCTGGTCAGGATTTCCCAAAATATCATTTTCAAGTGCGGAAAAATGCACATAACCAGAAACATAAATCACTGTGCTATTTGAAAACTACATATATGAGCAGTAAATGAATCGATGTTTGTTTTGGTGAACACGAGAGCCTTATTTTGTTAAAAACATGTCATAGTGAAGTTACACTTCCCTCAAAACGGTTGGCAACCTTAGGCACGGGATGAGATTTTGGGAAGACCCCAGAGCATGAGATTTTACATTTAGAAATAACAATAATTTCGCACAATTAACTTAAAAGCTGCTTCTTCTCGGACAAAATAACCCATCTTGGGCAATGGCTAAATCAGTCCTTTGTAGGAATTTTGTTTTAAGCCAGTTCTGGTCCAATACGAAGTTATTGAAAACAATGCTAAGACGTCCCATACTCCGAATGATTTTTACAACATTGCCGAATAAATATCTGGAATTGTCGTAATACTGATGAAACACATGTTCTTTCAAATGTGTACATCTCTGTTTTGTTTTATTTCAATTAAAATTTAAAATATTTCTTGGGACGTCCCTTGGGCTGGCAAGTCCCCGAAACCAATTGCGTTAAATAATTAAAAACCTTGTGAAATGAATATTTAAAAGCGTATAGCATTTATAAACACAAGCATTTGTTCAATTTATTCATTCTTTCATTTGTTAAGTATTTATTAACCAATCCCTTTTCCAAAGAAAAATCAATTATTGCAAAAAATGATTTGGTTTTTTTTTCGTTCAGATACACTCCACTCATCTAAGAGATGGTATAGAATTCAAATTGTTATCGTTCCAGTTTAACTGCTCTCCATTTTCATGTTAATGTCATGATATGTTTAGCGAAAAAAATTACATAATAAAAAAATCATATGGTATTAATCTGAACTTAACAAAATATGTTTTATATTCGAACAGTCGCTTGTATTTATATATGATTTATATCCACCAAATTGCAGTTGATCTGCTCCGGGGGACTTACCACTGACATCCGGGGACGTCCAAAGAAATATTTTAAATTTTTAAAACAAAGCAAAACCGAGACCCACTTATTTGAATAATAGATATTTTCATCAGTAATACGACTATCCCGGACAGTTTAAAAAGCCTTAGTGTAAACGTTGTGAAAAGTTATCGTAGAAGAACGATCTTTCGGAGTATAGGGTGTTTGTATTTGTTCTGAACTGGACTCCAACAAAATTCCTGAAAAATTATGATAAGCCATTGCATGAGGTGATTTATTTTGTCCTAGATGAAGTAGCTTAAGTTAAAGAATAAATTGTGCGAAATAGTTGATATTCCTTGGAAACAAATCATGCTCCAGAGTCTTCCAGAAATCAGACGAAATAATGGTGGATTCGGGGCAAATCAGATTTCAGGATATGTATTCAGTAAAAGATTCACCGAAATATATTTTGATGCAGAAAATTAATTATAAGTTGTCTGACTTTTTTGCACATTGCCTGTTTATTTTTCTTTGTGAACATTAAAGTTACAAAGCTACAAGTAGCCAATATTAAAATTACCAATTTCAAGTGAACTACGCAACGAATGAAACTGTGTGATCTACACTCCCACTATTGGTCTGAACGAAATGCTACGTAGAAATATGAGCCGTCTGCTGTATTAGTCGATTAATAGAGTAAGACCTGTTGGTGATGCTTTATAATTTAGACCAAAACATTGAAGAACAAACGAACCTGTAAATCATGAAAACAACGAACAAATATTTGGTTTTCACATATGTTCGGTAATTTTTCGTATTGAAACTTCCGGAACTTACAAGGAAATCATTCATTTTCTCGGTCCATGATCTACCTCTTGGATGTTGTGGCAAATGCTCCATGGTGGATGTTGTGGCAAATGCTCCATGGTTGACGGAACAAAGGTGATATGGTTTCATTAAGATTCGGGTTCTAACCTTTAGAAGGTAAGTCAGACTCCCAAACGTCAGCTAACTCTTATATTTAGCATGTTAGCGATGAACTCAGGCCATGAAAAAATAGTAGTATGTATCCAACAGACCGAATATAATATTCGGTCTGTTATGATTGATAGCCTTGGCATGGAAATCTCGGCGATATTTTGTGCACATAAATTTCTCGTTTATTACAAGAATGTTCACCTTGAAAATTGGTGAATATGTTGAAGAGATGTTCATTTTAAACTAGAAGCAAAAATATTTGTATAAGGCGGGTACAAGTTGATATAAAATAATGAAATGTTCAGACTCACCAAAACTTCAGGATGTGTTCATAAGTAGATCGCGAAATCAATGTCAAGGACGTTTGAGTTCACGAGATCCAAACGAGATATGCACATTTTTGAACTTTGACTTTTAACTTCAAACACATGACCACTTGATTACCTCGGCCTTCTTCATGAATATTTCCGCTCTATTCACTATAAATGACGAAAATTAATCGGGATAATGATAATAAATGACTAGATCTAATAAATTCCCGCACAAATGGAATTTATCAATACGCTTCCGTAAGGTTGCTCCGTCCGCTCCACGTGTTATTTGTTTACAAATAGACTGACGTCACTGGCTAAATCTCGTTTATCGTGAGAATTGGCATTGCCAAATTGGCTTGACCTAATCAATGGCTTCGCTACAAGAAGCGTCTGTACATTTTATGAATATCTTCAGTAAGAGGACAATATACGAAAAAATAATATTGTAAATTCTTTATAAGGTAATCATTTTATCATTAACTCATTCAATACTGGGGCAAAAAGCACTATAATACTGACGATATTTTGAAAATTGCCATATATGGTACCTCTGAAATAATATATATTGTATATACATGGGCATACATATATAGTGTTATATATCATTTTAAAGCATATGATATACTCTTTCAGAATGAATAGTTTTTTAAGTCCCATTTTATAAGTTGTCATGGTTACAAGATTCCAAAAATAAACATTGGATTTGTGCTTGGACTTGATATCAAGTCCTTAGTAGTCAACGTATGTGCTTTATGACGTCATATCAAGTCCTTAGTAGCGAATGAGTTAAACAAACTTATTTGTAACATTTATACAACACCACATTTTACAATAGGTGACTTACAGTCTGAATTTATTCAGACGAAGGATACAGTCTACCTCATACCCACCTACCCACATACTTGGGACATGATACAGTATTTGAAGGGATAAACTTTAAAGATCTTAGTTTATTAAATCTTAGTTTATGATGAATTATAGATGCATTTGGTAGGACCCTTGATAGCAAGTTGCTACTACAGTCTGGGTTCGATTCCCACTCGGGGCATCGAATTTAGCACACTTTCTTTCAATTTCTTTATCTGGTTTGTTGGACCTATGCTCGCGGTCGTAAGTTATTTATTCCCCTGGGGCGCCCTTGGGTCATTACACATTAAAATACATCCATATGCCTTTATTTATGGATCTGTCATCTGTCGGCTTTTTAGAAAAAAATGGGTACCGGGTAGTAAATCCTCCATGCTGGGTTCAAACTTGGTACCCGGTGTGAAAGAAATTATGGTCCCTTAGGGATTATGGTCCCCTTTCTAAACGGCCCTTACTGGCCCTGATTGTGTATAAGATAATAAGTGAAAGAGTTGTATTTAGGTCACCATATAAATCAATGGAGAGTAGGACCATAATTTAATAGGACCTCCTACCCTTTTACACCGGTACCCGGTGTAAAAAATACCAATATATAACATAATTGGATCATTAGAAAGCATATGAGATTTGTTTTGAATTTACAAAAAATGTATGTAACTTCCTTTAAAATTGAGCTAGAAGCTTCAAATAAAAAGCATTTTAAGGCTCTTTTCTTCCTCTATCATCATGGTCATATTTTCATTGTTTTTTGGGGGGGGGTGCGATCGCATTATTGAACACCCTCCTGGCTACGCCTATGGCTTTGTAAGACGATTTAAAAAACACATGACAAATCAATTTTCCTCTATTTTCAATATTTCTTATGATTTTAATCTGTAAATAGCTATCGTTACTTTTGCAGAGAGTTGACGTGTATTAATTTACATGATGCAACATGTAAGATTTCGATTATTAATCATAATTTAAGTTATCCCAATTTTCGACGAAACGTCCACTGAAGTGTAAATTGTTACGTCTTACAATGTCATAGGCGTAGCCAGGAGGGGTATTTTTCTTTTTTTGGTACCCAGTTTTTTCGACCGGGTACCAAGTTATAACCCAGCATGGAGGATTTACTACCCGGTACCGGGTACTTGGTTTTTTTCTACAACCCCTTCATCATTATTTTATGTCTTGTCATAAAATAAAGCCAGAATTGTAGAAATGTTAATAATTTGAGCTATTTTGAGATATAATATTCTTTAAAATTGAACCCTTCAATGACTGTATCATGTTCCACGTAGGTGGGTATGAGGTAGGAGGTTTTTTATACAAAGCCTTTTTTCAGATCTGATTCTTCTTCTTTCTTCTTCTTCTTATTATTACTTGTCATTCTCCAAAGTTGGGCATACATGGTTCGGGTCAGTTTTCAGTCTGTGCGCCAAACACTGAAACAGATTCGATTGAAAGGACTAAAGGCTAATGTGCAGTGTACAGTATTGTCTAGGATGAAGAAATTTCATTTCTTCATGCTAGGTATTGTATGGAAAATGCATTCATATATCTAGTATAGATCTAGTATAGGGGTTTCAGTAAAATTTCACAACCTGCTAAATAAATGAAAACAACAGGCAAAATTATTATTATTGTTATATGTCATTCTCCAAAGTTGGGTAAACATGGTTCGGGTCGGCTGTCAGTCTTTAGATAACAATAGATGCAAAATGAGAAGAGGAAAATACATGTTAAACTAAAAACTAGGAATCCAAAGACTATATGGTGTACTTTTACAAGGTTGTGATTAAAAAGTCAAATTAACCATTTTAAATCATGATGAAAAATCCATATAAAAAAAACGCAACATCATCATAGTCTGTAAAGTCATATTTTTAAGTGATATAAGTCTCAGTTGTTATACAGCCTGTACCTGTAAGACCAATGTCATTCTGGTTAGTCACTTTAGATCGTGCTGAAAAACACATGTAACATCTTATCTTATCAATTGTGATCTTGAGTATTGCAAGGGTCACTTTAACGAAAATATTTGATGTTTTCTTTTCATTCTGAATTCTTTACATGTAGGATGTAAAAGAAAAAGCCCAGGATGACATCAGAAGATACTGTCAACTGGGAACCAGTCCATGTACTGGCTCAACGTATGGACATAAAAGAAAGAATCTCAAAGAACATTGCAACCTTACTTGATGCAGAAAATACTATACCATTCATAGCCCGATACAGAAAGGAACAAACTGAAGACATGTCGGCTGATAAACTGAGGGAGTTTAAGAATCTCTATGATGACCTTAAGTAAGGATTAATGTGACAATTTATTGATAATGCAACCTTAAAGATGGACTTGAAATCAAATTTTCTTGTTATTATAATGTTTGAATTATAGAACATTACTTTGCTTTTGCGACAGACCTGCTAAAGAGGCAAATTTAAAACTAAAAATGTACAGTTATAGTAAAACCTGTGTACATTGAGCATTTTTTGATAATAAAAAGGCATTTGCAGAAATCTGCATGAAATCAAATATCTGATTCAATGTTCAGATGAGAAATTTCTAATTTTCAGACATGTCATAACTAAGATAGATAGTGTGTCAAATGCTATTGAGAAGATTGGCAAAATGAATAGTTCACTTAAAAGTGCATTGAAGTGTTGCCAGAGTTACAGTGAAGTGGAACACCTGGTATGGTTCTTAACTATTTAAGTAGAGTGAAACCTGTAAAAGTGGAACACCTCTAGAAGTGGAACACTTCTGTTAGTGGAACTCTTCAGAGTCCAAAGACCAACTGACTTAATGTTAAATTAACCCAATGTCTCCCAAGTGGAACTTTTTAGAGGTTCCAAAGGTGTTCCACTTTACGACAGGTTTTACTGTACTGATGTAATTGTATTTTGATATTTTAAATTTCTTGTTGCACGAAGACAATCCTTTAGATCCATTAATTAATCTGTTGTATTCATGAATCTATCTTTTGTGGACACACAAACCTATGTAGTAAAACACATCTAAAATACCAGGCATAGATTTGAAGAACCCTTTGACTCTTTCTTTTCAGTATGCCCCTTTTAAAACTGGGAGTAAGCGAAGTCTTGCACAGCGAGCCAAGGACCTTGGACTAGAGCCCCTGGCCATGTGTATGTTGAAGCACCCACTTGATGCACGTATCAATGATTTTGTAAAACCATCAAAAGATGGTAAGATTTTATTAATCTGGGTGTCATGTCATGCACTTTTTTTATTGGTTACTAAATACTTTGGTTTTAGGGTCATATTATTGTACATAAATATGTTAAAGAGTCAGTTTATAGTTCCAGTTGTCTAAGTTTGGTTCAAAGGTCATAAACTGATGCATTTTCATAAAAATGTAATTTTTGGTAACTCAACTAGCAGGTATCGGCTTTTCAAAGGGCATAGAACATCTGTTCTGCAAGAATTTCTAATATTGGCTGTAATGTAATCTTTGAATACTCAAATATCAGTGAACACTTTTTTCACTGATGCCTCGGGTTCTCTGAAAGAATTTTCAAGATGACTGCCAATATATTTTTCATATTTTTAAAATATTTCCTCCATATCTGTCAGTTCAATTGCAACTTCTTGAATGCACAGTACATATGTATCCTTGTTTCTGATTGCTTTAAGGACTGAAAACAGAAGGCGAGGTAGAAATTGGAGTGCAGCATATCATAGCAGAGGTAATCTCTAAAGATAAGGATACAATGGATAAAGTCAGGGAACTGTGAGTCAACTTTTGTCATTCTCTGTTATATTCTCATCTTAGCCTACACTGAATGTCCCTCCCATATGGTATTATTACCTCTTGAATCCCACGCTCTCTAAATTGGTGTGAAAATTTTGTGACAGATTATCTCGTCATTCTGGGTTTCAAGGTCATTTCTTACGTGACGAGAAATCTCTGGGTAGATTTGAGGTTAATATTAGCTTTCAATTTTGTGTTTACTTCTTTACTTGGGTTCTTAGACTTTTTATGAGAAGATTCCACAGATTGTTTTCCTTTAAACTTGTTGTCTTTTAAACCTGTGACCAAATATATGTATTCAATGTATTTAAATGTGGCTATTTATGTTTAAATACAGTCGCTACTTGTATTTGTATTTTGAAATGATTAATTAAACGAATAAAACTGAATAAAAAAAATGTAAAAAATTAAAATTAACATATTTTTAACTGACACATGTGTATAAATCCATTTGTGTAAGCCATAAGCATACCTGTACCAGCTCATGGGAAATTTCTCTGGATTATGAATCTATAATCTGGTTTAACCTTCTATTTTATGGCCAACTCATTTAAATATGAATGGAATAGTGACAGGTACTATTCATATTTAAATAAGTTGGTCATAAAATAGTCATGGAATTGTGACACTACTATTTCATATTCAAATGAGTTGACCATAAAAAAAAATTTTGGGTTAAATCATGAACCGTCAGCCCGCAATTGAATTTGTGAATGCTACCTTAATCTGTCCATCTGATCATTTCTCACCAACCTGAATAAATGGTTCACATATGTGTACAACAGGCCCCTAGCCAGGGGGGGTTCGCAGGGTTCGGGCGAGCCCCTCTGCCCAAAAATTCTTTCAAAATCATGCAGTTTTCACCATTTTGAGCACTTCTCAAGTGATTTTAACCATATTTGGGCCAAATTGGTCAAATGTGAACCCCCCTGGAAATTTTTGAAAACTGAACCCCCCCTTGGCAAACCCTGGCTACGGGCCTGATAGTTCATGTTCTGATTTGTTTAGGTGTAAGACAGCCCATGTTACACTGGAGTCTAGTCAGGCAGTTGCTGCAAGCAAAAAGAAGGAGTCATCTGAGAAAAGTGTGAAAGATAGTCAAAAATATGAACAGTATTACAACTTCAAAGTACCAGTGAAATATGCAAAGCCTCACCAGGTTAGTTGGTTGTTGTAGTTGCTAAACCTGTAAAAAACACTATCATTATCAGGCAGTAAAATGGCTGTTACCCCCATGTTGGGGAATAGTTGAGGAGGGGATTTGGAGGATGGATTGATCATTTATTTTCACACAATATATAGTTTATTAACCAGAGTTTATTTTTGAGAAAAAAAATAACTTCAATTTTTAACGTTTCTCAATTAGACTAAAATAACATGCATTTTTACTGTGGTCTTGCATTTTGGTTCAATATATTGAGCGATTAATACAGATTCGAACATGACTGCATACTCGCCTTCTATAGTGAACAAAGTCAATATTTCACCTGGGTTATATTCGCAAACAAATCCCCTGGTAATACAAGTACTGTGTGACGTCATAACGGCAGGCTGTAGTAATGGCAGACCATAATGAATATTCAAAACATTTTGGCTAGTTTTCATGTTCGAATCATAATATAGACCTCAGAGCATGTGTTATATTGACGAATACAGACCTTAGGGCTAGGCCCTTTGGTCGTTCGCGGTACAGAAAACATTTGTGCCTAGCCCTGTGGTCTGTATTCATTGATTTAACACCTGCTTTAAGGTCTATAGTTCATAGTTCTTGATTAAACCTGGTACAGGGTGACCCAAAAAAATGCAACCCTACATTTCTTCAATATTTTTCTTAAATGAGGGTAAATTGCTCTGAGATTTGGCACACAAGGATTTCATTCAATGTTGGATCCTCTGGCAAAGTTTTAATAATCATAGTCTTATATTGGTAGAGTTATGGTTGTTTCAAAATATGCTCCAGTTGTCGTCAATTTCGCTGAAAACAAACTTGCAATGTTCAAGAAACCTGTTCATATCACGGATGCATTCTTTCCAATGGGTATGGCTCACATTTTTGCAGCCATTGCTTATTGGAGTTCTGCAATTGCAGTTGGGTTATTTTCATACACATTATCCTTTAAATAACCCCATATATAGAAGTCAGGGGCATTGAGATCAAGACTGTAGGATGACCATGGGTTCTCCTTCCTAGGTGAGATAATCTTCCCATAGAATTGACTAGTGAGCCAGGCTATGCTATCATTAGAAGTGTGAGGAGTAGCTCCATCCTTCTAGAACCACTGTTCTTGTTTATTGATGCCTCTATGTCACTCTAGAAGTGCCTAGAACTTCCTGGGAATGCCAATATTGCAATGTGTGTTAACAGTAGCAGTGTTACCATTATCAACCTCAAACCAAAAGTGGCTAGTGATTTCATGTTTGGAAATTGGCAGCCCAAGCTGTGCATTTAACAGAATAAAGGGGCCTTTGAAGCACTTCATCTGGAATTTGTGATCCCAGAACACATTATTTCTTGAGTTTACATGTTCAGAAAGAAGGGAATGTGATTCACCCGAAAACCTAACATTGGAAATGGACGACTTTGGAGCATATTTTGGAACGACCATAACTCTATCAATATAAGACAATGATTATTGAAACTTTGCCAGAGGATCCCACATTGAATGAAGTCCTTGTGTGCCAAATTTCTGAGCAATTAATCTCCATTTAAGAAAAATGTTGAAGAAATGGAGGGTTGCATTTTTTTGGGTCACCCTGTATTATATACATGTCTTTAAAGGAAAAGTGCAATGAGCTATCTTCTGCTTCAGGTACTGGCCATAAACAGAGGGGAGACTAAGAAACTTCTCACTGTTAAGATTAACATTCCCGAACAAGTGAAGGAACGATTTGTGAGATTTTGCCAACAAAAGTTTACGCACAGAAATTGTAGTGATCTTGTCAGAAGCATTATACAAAAAAGCATAGAGGATGCTTACAAGAGGCTGATTCATCCCCTTATATGTAGACAGTTCAGGTATTTCTGAATTCTTTATTTACTAGCGCTTTGTTGTAACATGATGTGCAAGGTCATCGTTTTTTTTAGTGTTGGATTTGAGCTACAGTCACAGGATGCAGTTTGTAAGTAGAGAGGTTTTCATTACATCTCCTTTTTGAAAACAAAATGATTCTCCTAGTTGGTCATAAGTTGCTATTCCTTTTTATGATCATAAAATAACCTTTCTCATGAGATAATGAAAATCGCTTCATTACATCAAGAGAAAAAACAAAGTTCTATCAAAATTTCATCTATCACAGGCATTTTTAAGATAAATCTTGCAGTAAATAATTTGTCCTGATGCCCTTAGGACTTTGGTAGTTATTGTTGCAGGAAATTTGAAATTGAGGCTGGACATCTTGATTTTTCAAGTTATTAAAAAACAATATTGGAGATGAAAAACATGTAAGACAATGAGTTATCTTGAAGCAAAATTCAACTCTATGTCATAAATTTTTCTAGGTCTGATTTAAAGAAAGTTGCAGAGAAGGCATCCATTGATGTATTTGCTGGGAATCTCAAACAGCTACTACTAACTCCACCTATAAGGGGAAAGGTAGTTCTTGGAGTTGATCCAGGCTTCACTAATGGTTGTAAACTTGCAGTCACTGACCCAATGGGTAAATTGCAATATCTTTTAATCTTATTTTGAAAAACTGCTTTATTGTTGTCTTGTGTCTGTAGGTCAGAGTACGATAAGAATATATACCATTCAATGGCCTAGCCCGTAGCCGAATTCGCAGAATTTGTGCAAATTCCCCCCCCCCCCCCCCTGGCCAAAAATTCTTTCAAAAACATGCAGTTTGCACCATTTTGAGCACTTCTCAAGTGATTTTAACCATATTTGGGCCAAAATTGTCAAATGTGAACCCCCCCTGGAAATTAAAAAAAATTGAACCCCCCCTTGGCAAATCCTGGCTACGGGCCTGATGGCAAACACAAGAAGGTATTATCTTTTCTACTGCTGGTGATTTTTTATTTATATTAAACTATGCTGTATGTGTAATGTAATGAATCTTGAATTGATATTTGTGCTCAAAATTGGTTTAAAACGATTTTAGTAGAGCCTGGACCAGAGGAGCCAAAAAGGTCTTACAATGGCTAGTAGGTTTGTACAATGTACATGTATATAGGTTTTATCCTTTTAAATGGTATATGATATGATAAATGATATATCCCGATCCCTATGAATAACCTTATGCATTGATGGAATGAATAATTACAAATAAAACTGTGATTTCCATCTTTTGAAAAGTTATTGAATCCCTCTCTACCAAACAAAGGTTCCACTGTTTAATAGTATTTAATGGTCTCCTCCTCTACAGTATTGTAAAACAGTTTTGTGATATTTATATTTATTTATTTAGACAATTATACACTTTTAACAGTGGCACTTTTAAAATAAGGTACATCTATAGGAAGTTATACACAGTGACATGGAGGTTAAAAACATAATATTTCTATCAAATATTAAAATAAGTTTTAAAGGAATAAAAATATAAACATGTTAATATTTACATTATATTATTTCTAGGTGCAATATTGGAAACAGGGGTTGTATATATTCACTCTCATTGTATTTCAGTTGCAATATTGGAAACAGGGGTTGTATATATTCACTCTCATTGTATTTTAGGTGCAATATTGGAAACAGGGGGTGGTATATATTCACTCTCATTGTATTTTAGGTGCAATATTGGAAACAGGGGTGGTATATATTCACTCTCATTGTATTTTAGGTGCAATATTGGAAACAGGGGTGGTATATATTCACTCTTATTGTATTTTAGGTGCAATATCGGAAACAGGGGGTGGTATATATTCACTCTCATTGTATTTTAGGTGCAATATTGGAAACAGGGGTGGTATATATTCACTCTCATTGTATTTTTGGTGCAATATTGGAAACAGGGGTGGTATATATTCACTCTCATTGTATTTTAGGTGCAAAATTGGAAACCGGGGTGGTATATATTCACTCTCATTGTATTTTAGGTGAAATATTGGAAACAGGGTTGCTATATATTCACTCTCATTGTATTTCAGGTGCAATATTGGAAACAGGGGTGGTATATATTCACTCTCATTGTATTTTAGGTGCAATATTGGAAACAGGGGTGGTATATATTCACTCTCACAAGGCAAACAAAGCCAGGGAAACTATGAAACTTAGGGACATAATACTCAAACACAGGTACATTAATAATTTAATATACATTTATAGAGGTTATTTACTGGGAGGTATTGACTATGGGTTTTATACCACCAATATTGACCAAGGTATAAAACACATATTCTATTCTCAACCAGGAATAATAATACATGTATCAACCTAAGAACATGAGTGAAAAATAACTTGATTCATTTTTAACATTGCGAACACAATTTAATGTCAGGAATGTTTTTCTGATCTCTAGATGTGAGACTGTTGCTATAGGGAATGGAACAGCATGCAGAGAGACGGAGGCTCTCATCTCTGACTGTATAAAGAATAATACATTTAAACCACTCAATGTTATGTACTGGTAAGCGACAATTGAAATATGAAATTATGCTACATTTCAAATTTAATAGTCTGTCATGTATAAAGTGACATTATGGCAAATAATTGAAAGGCTCTGGTTGAAAATAACCAACCAAGGTTAAAAAATCTCAAATCTGCTTAGATGTTGGTCCTAAGAAAAGCCCACAAATGAAAAAAAGATATTGCTGCATTTACAACTTCTATTGATATTTGGGTCTGAAAACAGCATGTTGGATAAATTTCCGAGTCCGAAAGTGTATCCAAAAATCAAAATATATGGATGAGAACTGAGCCTCCATTATACAGTGTATCAGAGGCACAACTAGAAATACCCGACCTTGACCTATTATTTTATATGATATTACAGTATAGTGAATGAGAATGGAGCCTCCATATACAGTGTATCAGAGGAGGCGCAACTAGAAATGCCTGACCTTGATCCAACCTTGAGAGGGGCAGGTAATGTAATATGTTTCTCATTCCATTCTCTATATATTTCAATGGTATTCATGCATAATCTTTATGTTTGATACAGTGAGGTTATGAACCCATTATGTTGATAATTTGAAATTTGAACAAAATTACAATCTACCTGTTTTTCAAAAAACTTCAAAATTTGTTTAATCCATGCAGTAGCTTTAGAAATGACACCCTATTCACATTAGTAAGGTTCACATTTAAAATAAGAAAAACAGTCATTTATTTTTATATGGAGGTGCCAAATTGTAGTTTAAGTGAAAGTGTATACAAGGCTTATAATATTGTCATTGTAGTGTCTATAGCAAGAAGGCTTCAGGATCCTCTTATTGAACTTGTAAAGACTGAACCTAAGCACATTGGTGTAGGAATGTACCAGGTATACAGTAATATGAAGATATAGTTGAGTAAACAAGGGTCAAAACAATTATGCTATTTATTATTTTATAGGTTTTTCATTGTACTGTACAGTAGAGTATACATTTTAATAATGATAATGATAAAAAATAACGATTTTTCATCATGCTTCTAAAAGATAATGTTTTAACTTGTAATTCACTAATATAAATTAAAACCTGTGTGATGAAATGGTTAAGTTAAACAACTTAGTAATCAGTGATCTTCCAAAAGCTGGTGAGATCCTTAAAGCTGACATTATCACCTTTCAATTGGTATATTAAAACGTTTGAAGATATAAAACATACACTAAAATGTTACATAAGGACTTCAGGAAGAAAATTCACGTTTTACATTCTAATTAGTTTGTGGAAAAATTATTTTACTGGAGATAATTGAACTCTCGTATTCTCAATTCTTCCAGCATGATGTGTCGGAGACTCAACTCAAGCAGTCCCTTGATGAAGTTGTTGAGGAATGTGTCAGCTTTGTTGGTGTGGACCTGAATGTTTGTACAGACCTCATGCTGAGGTAATCCATAAGTTGACATTAAAATAAGCAATGATGCACATTTTACTGGCTATAACCGGAATGTCATCAAAATACAAAAAATCTGGATCAATGTACATGTGTCATTTAAAATCCTAATAAATCAATGTGATAAAATTGATTATTCTTCTGCTTTCATAATTGTTAGGAGGATTGCTGGACTAAACAAAAAAATTGCCAAGAACATTGTAGACTGGAGAACTGCAAATGGGATGATAAAAAATCGTAAACAATTGTTGAAAATCCGTGGATTGGGACCAAAGACATTTGAGCAATGTGCAGGCTTCATAAGAATCTTGCCGAGTACAGTAATGAAGTAAGATATGTTGGGATACTATTTTATTATAATCCCCTGAATAAGTTCAAGGGGGTGTATTTCCATATCAATGACACAAAAGATAATGCAGATTATAATGATTACATTTGTAGTAGCAACAGCAACATAGTGCATTATTATGAAGTCACTGCCACAAGTGGTGACATTGTTAAGTCTCCAACTATCTTGTGAATGGAAGTTGGAGTATGATTGATCTACGAGTGCTGTTTTGAACTTTATGCAGCTCCTTGTCGCTTGGCTGTCGTTTTTGCCTCATTGAGTCACCTTTTGTATACTAGTAATACTAGTAAATCTTTATTTTCAACAATAATGTTTTATGAAAAAATACTTGTTACAGAAAAGAAGAAGATACTGACAGTATTGATGGAGCATGTATGAGTACATGTACATCAAAGAAGCGGAAATCAACTGGACTAACTCCGAAATCTAAGAAGAGAAAGTTGGATGTTGCATCATTTGATGTAAATCCCCTGGATTCCACTTGGATACATCCTGAATCATACACCATAGCAACAAGGTAGGATTAGTTTATCATTAATTCGATTAGACATCTTAAAATCATACACCATTAGAACAAGGTGTAGACAGTTTATCTAAGGTACATTATGTAGATGAATGGAGTCACTGTTTTTAAAGTCATGAAATTGCTATAGGTTGTAAAATCAAATTATGATAATAAATTCTTCAAGTAAGTTTCTCGACACAAAGCCACAAGATGTTATGGTAACAGTGGTCAGAGGTATGTTGGGCAATGTCATCTGATTGTGGGTATTTGAGCATGAAAAAGAGCTGTAAACTGCAATTTTAAACCAAATGTTCGTCTCTTCTTATGTTACCTTTTTGTCAATTTTCCCCATGTTACTATTAATTTTAAATCAAGCAGCCTGATCTAGTTTTGAATTTGATTTTTGTGAGCACAGAAGTCAAATTTAGTTCAAAAGTTAATTTTCATAAAAAATGTCAATCTGTAGCACTTGAACACTGATATCCCTAAAAGTAAAGCCATCTACATGTATATCTTACTGGAAACCCTGTTTATGTAAATTCCATCATTTTTTGTCAGGTTTCTTGAAAAAATAAAGGCGAATCCAGAAGAAATAGGCCATTCCACTATAGAACTGAAGGTAGAGGCTGCACTCAGGTCAACAGGTATGTACATGTATAGTTAAGTGAGATTACATTTAAGAAACCATTCTCTCCTTCTTTTTTTTTTTTTTTTTTTCAAAAGTTAATCAGCTCTAGTACTTTTTTTTCATCAGTATCATTACATATTCATATTACATAATATATTCTCAACATAACATTCATAACATAATATATTCTCTCCTTCTATTTCAGTTGCTAGGAACACCTGTTCATTTCACATCTTTCAACCTCGAAAATAACTTGATCCAGTGAAGTAAATCTGCCTGATTATGCATTACAGTGTCATCTCCACTGTTCCCAGGATTTTTTTCTCAAGTTGGTGCAAAATGTTCCCAATTAAGACTTTTGGTCAAAATATGCCTATTTTTCATGAAAAGTGGGTGCAAAATCAAATAGCTGCAAAATGATAATAAGCGTTCAATTATTGAGTGCATTGAAAATCACCCCCCCCCCTCTATGTATTCCAATTTGAAAGTACTTTAAGGTGATGCTTTAAAATGTTTGGCTATAATGACAACAATAAATTTCTGTGTACTATGTATTTCCAGATGTGTGTAGACTGGCAAAAGAACTAGGAACTGACAGTCATTGCTTACAGCTTATCATAGACGGTGTCCAACAGTCAGTCGGCTCAGATATAAGAGAGGGTAAGCAGTTAATGTGTACATGGCCCATGATCTGTGTGAATACGCTGAAATCTTATGGTCATATGACCTCTACTCAAGAACAAATTCTCAATATTAAGCCACTAACTAATAAAAATTCCCTAATACTAGTACTTGTACATACTAGTATGTAGTAAAATATGAAATTATTGATGATAATCAGGGGGTCATTAACAGAAATTTCGTGAAGTTACGAATTCGTAAATCACTTGTTGTAACCATGGAAATAATGACGTCACAGTTAGAGAACAATGGAATTTACGAATTCTTACCTTTATGAAGTTTCTGTTAATGCCCCCTGGTCATCAGTTTTGGTTTGAATTCGTTATACATGTACCTTTGCTCAAAAAATAATTTTCAATATGGCTGCTGAATTTAAAATGGCTGGTGTCTTTTGTAAAAGGTGTAATGTTGGCTTGTTAACCAACAATAACTCGGATTGGATTGTATCTTTGCCAACTTGTTCACATTTTATTGGACCACACTGTATTACTCTATGAATTTCGTTATTTTTAAAAGGAAATAATCTCTACAAACTCTGATTGCCTGAAATGCTTGACCATTAACATTTTGAACAAGATATTCACACGCCTTTGAAATATTTTCAGAATTTGAGAAGCCATTGTTCAAGAAAGGACTGGTCTCAATGGACAGTATATCACCTGGGACTAAACTTACCGGCAAAGTTGTGAATGTGACACATTTTGGTGCCTTTGTGGATGTAGGCTTAGGACGAGATGGCCTTATTCACTCTAGTGCAATGGGTCGGGTGTTGAAGTTAAAACATAAAGATAAACTCCAACTAGGAGACAAAGTGGAAGTGAAGGTTACAAATCTAGATAAGGAAAAGGGAAGGATAGGTCTTGCCTTACTGGACCTATTATAGGAAAATCATTATAAGACTTATTGGACAGATGATTTACAAAGTTGTAAACAATGTACAATCTTCTGAATGGATCAATCATGCAGACCTCTCATAAGCTTTATTGTTATTTATAATAAGTTATGAAGCAAGCATGATTGTGGCTAAACGGATAGCATGGTCTAAGTAATAAAAAGAAGCTAAGTAAGTAAAGGTGTGTGTGTGTTTATGTATAGCAATGTCCTTTTACAATATTTTATGCCTATCGAGGGGTCTCCCCAGAATATCTTACGAGTAGTTGTTCCCTAGTAGGCCAATTATCCATTCGAGGTTATATTCCCAAAAATGAAAATGATCAGAATCCATTTTTCTATCAAGAGTTTACCTTTTTAACACTTAATGCATCAGTTCCATTTGATACGCCGACGGTTTTATATTGTTACGGCCAATAAGATCCTATACGAAGAGATAGAACCATTTCCATGATATAGTTACGGCAGTGGATGAGAAAACGTGACAGAACTCAAACAAAATAACCACAATTTTGTAAATCGTATTTGTATAATACTAGACATTGGCGTTAGAAGGGGGAGGGTGTTGGGTGCGACCGCCCCTTTCCCTGATTTTTTCAGTTTTTAGATTTTAAACCTAGCCTAGAATTGAAAGCTCTGGAGCTAATTAAAGTCAACGTGTAATAGTGACAGAAATGATTCTATGTCAGTATGAAAGTATGGGGCCCCCCTAGGCAGACATATAACAGTGTTGTCATAGTATGAGTCATATATCATTTTAAAGCTTATCCAAAGTTACATTGATTTGCCAAGTATTGTGGTTTTACTCTCAAATGGGTAAAAGTTACGGTCATTTTAAAATTTAGTGTTTTGTCAAAATAAAGTTCAATTTTACACCACAGTACTAGTCAATGTGTCCCTCCTTGGCCATGTTAATAGCAACAATAATTTTCAGATATGACCTTAAAATCCCTTCAAATAGGAGTGTGGAATTTTATGATCCTCTTAAAATCTGTTAAGGCACTTTTAGGAGAGTTTCCATGGAGTATATACCCTCATCGATCTCTTTCCAACTCAATATCAATCCGACCCGATCGAAAAGAGTTGCTGCTGTTAAGATGGCCCGGGAGGACACATTAACTAGTGATTTGGTGTAAAATTGAACTTAATTTTGACCAAACACTAAATTTTGAAATGCCTGTAATTTTTTAACATTTGAGAGTTGAACCATGATACTTGGCGAATCAATGTAACTTTGGATAAGCTTTAAAATTTTTTTTTTTGAAGGGGTCTTCCAAGATGGCAGACATTTAATTTCTCCTGATGAAATTCCTAATAAATGCTTAAAATAACAGGATTAAGACAAAATATGTGCTTAAAATATAGGAGGATTGTATATTAAACTTGTCAGGATATGTTTAAAATATATGACAATAATTTAAGAGGATTATAGAACTATTATTTGGCTGTTTAAAATGGAGTAGCATTATGCTTTAGACAATAAATAACTACCATGTGCATACAATATAGGAGGATTATGTGTTAGATAAGGAACTTATATCAGAAGATTATAAACACTACTATAAAACTACTATTATTACTTAACTACTTTAAAGATTCTCGCAATCTTTATCCAATCAGCGTTTGCGAGTGTGTCGGCTCACGTATAAAAGGCGAATCCAACTCAAATCCATGCAGGGGTGTATGAGGTACTCGAGGAAAGAGCTCGTGAAATCTGAATTTATATGCACATGGTCAATGTTTACACATGTTTGGAGTTATTGAAGAAAATGTGATATGGGTGTGGTTCCGAATTTGAAGTCATTGCTGGAAATATGATTTTAATACGTGAAATTATATCTATAAATATAGCACTAAAAATAACAGTACACATAAAGTACATGTATGATTGTGTTCAGAAATGTTTGAAACCCTTACGGAAAATTCTGTCTGCATTTTGTCACCATTGCTCTTTCTCATGTTTCTTCCCGCATTCTAGTGCTGTTTGAATGAATATATTAATTAATGTATTTCTAACTAAAACATATCACATTTTTTTTATAAACCACAAACATTTAGATCATAAAAAAATTATTCAATACTTGAGTGAGCACGATATGCAAGGGTTACTAAGTTGACACAGTAAATGACCACATTGTGTTAGGCCATGCACACAGCGTACACCCCTCACTTTCATAGTGAAGTGACTAATTGGTTTATGTTTACGTTTTAATGTGTTTTGGGTTCCTTGTTACAGCAAGGGGGGCCAGTAAAGTAGACTAACATGTTTGCATGGCAAATTTTGATCGAATATGTGAGACACTTTAATCCTGATCATTTACCATCATGCCACCACCAAAAGTTGACAAACTTGATAAACTTGAAAAAATCATCGAAGCCCTAACTCAAAAAATAGCAACCCCAGAGGACATCAGACTTATTGTAAAAGAGGAACTTTCGGCATCTTTGGAACATCTCAACGACAAAATTGTAGCGCTGGAGGAAGATAATCAACAACTAAAGGAAACAATCAAAAACCAGAACATTAAGCTTCTCGAAATTGAACGACATGCTAACTACAATGAACAATACTCACGAAAATCAAATATCAAAATTACTGGCGTAAAGGAAGAGGGTGATGAAGTTTGTAGCCAGACAGTTCGTAAAATAGCTACTGACATTGGTATTAAGCTTGGAACAGAGGACATAGATGCATGTCATAGGGTTGGAAGGAAAGTCGACGCCAAAAATGATGCCTCCACAAAACCAAGGTCCATAATTGTGAGGTTTAAGGCACGGGAGCACAAAGAGAAGTTCATCAGCAATCGTAGACAACTGAAAGGAACAGGGATAGGTATACATGAAGACATCACTAAAAAGAACATGGGACTGATCAATCGCCTAAAAAATGATCCAAATATAACTGATGCATGGATGTTCAACACCAAAGTCTATTGCCGCCCGCAAGGCCGAAAAGGAACTATCCAAGTCGATATTGGTACACCAATAACAGATATTCTATCTAAATAATCTCCAATTACAGCACCATTTTAATATGCCAAAGCAATCATCTAATGACTTTTTCCCCTGGACTTACATATTTGGACTAACATATCCTTATATATATTGTCTCAAAACTTTTGAAAGATAAAAGTTGGGAGTTTCATCAACAGAAATGACAATCTTGGACATTGCAAACATATTCATATGTTTGTCTTTTCTATTAGTCAGTTTAGTATTAGTATATAGAAAACATAGTTTAGTTTCTTCACAAATTCAAGAACATAAATCAAAGATACTAGTATGTTTGCCAATTATAATCACTTCATTTAAAGACACCACTTCAAAGCGATATGCTGATAACAATCACCAAATAAGGATCATTTATGAAACATATACAACTGTAGCTATTCTTAATGAGTTCTCACTCTCATTCCATGCTTATTTTACAATGAAACATGAACTTAAGGTCACCAGGTCAATTCAACTGATAGCTCTAGTTACAGCTTTCATTCATCCTAATATATATGAATATTTGATGAGATTAGAAGGGGTCTCCTCACTAATCCGACTTTTCCATACAACAACATTTAAACCTGATTAACCATGGATGACTTGCAAATTTATGAGCTACCCTTTTATAACGTTACTCCAGTGATGTTCTTTGATGTCATTCCATCAGCTAATAATCACATTGACTTTGAAAGCTTAATGTTCAATCCAAAAGACCTTGATAGAGGTGTTGCTAATGACCCCTCCAATCATAATGTTATTGAAGATAATGATTTTTCAACAACTTTAATTGAAAAATGTAAATATTATACTCTTGAGCAAATGAACAGCCAACCAATGGACAGTGGAAATAATTTGTCTATGATACATGTAAATATGAGAAGTGTCATGAAAAATCAATGGAAATTTGATAACTTGCACAATTTATTAAAGCATGACTTCCCTATCATAGCCATGTCTGAAACCTGGTTAAACAATAACAATCAAGATACTTATAACTTAGAAGGATATAGCACCATATGCAAATCTAGAGATGGTAGGATAGGGGGAGGAGTTTGTATACATATTCTTGATAATATTAATTTCACCAAAAGACCAGATTTAGAATTTAACATGGATAATTGCGACTCATGCACCATTGAGATGTCTTTAAAGTCTGGGCAAAATATACTGACGTGTCGCAAAAAGGTGGCGCATTTGTTTTTTAAGGGTATCGCGTGAATGTAACTTTGATTCCCCGGATTATAAGATAATATTCTAATTAAAGTTATATATCATTTTTAAGCTGTTTCGATGAAGATTTTAGATCAACTACACTCCGTTCACATTTTTTGCGCGTTCGTTTTTAAAAAAGAGTTTTTTACCAAAACATCTGGCAAATATCCCATGTTGACACGTTACATTTTGAATTATTTTTCGTCTTTAAACGCTCATAACTCAAACAATATATGACTATTATACTTATTTTTCGTCTTGATAAAGGTAGATGGAAGTTTTATTTCAAAGGATGAATTATAGTAAGCGTCCCATATTGTGACGTCATAGAGTCTGAAAAATATAATCTGTTGACAGCGACCTTTTTTGCTCATTTTTTGGTACCTTCAACTTTTCAGGTGTACATTAAACAAAAAATAAAAAAATCAATTTTTAATTAATCATACATGATTATTTTGCTCCTAAACTCTAGTTTATTAATAAATAGTTGATTTTGTTCACAAAAGTATGTATTTTCTGTTGTATGTGGAAATGTGGAGGACGAAAGGTTTTCAAAATTCATTAAAATAGGGCTAATTTACGCCATTCGCCTATTTTCAAGCACAGCAACACGTATATTTATTTCACCTAAAATATCAATTGATTCGTGTTTTATGATGCTCCTAGCCCATTAACAATATATATATGATATCAGAGTTATTCGTCTAAAATGTTTTGAGATATAGAGGTAAATGTGGAGGACGAAAGGATTTTCATGTGTGTACATTTTTCTCCAAAACGTCACATTCTATCATGTTAAAAGCGAGGATCCTCTGGATTACGCCACAAAATGTGTAACAATGCGTGCGCGAGCTTTTTGCGACACGTCACTAATATCTGTCCTTTATAAGCCCCCGAATGTTAACCTCAGAGATTTTAACAACAACATAGATATATTTCTTAAAAGATTAAATGGTGAAGGGAAAGTCACGTACATTTTAGGAGACTTTAACATAGACCTCTTAAAGGCAAATGAGCATTATATGACCGAGGATTTCTACAATTCTTTGTTAACAAATGGTTTTCATCCTTCAATCTACAAGCCAACACGAATAGGATCAAGATCAGCTACCCTTATTGATAATATTTTTACAAATGCTGTAGATATAAGTTATTCTGGCATAGTGCTAACTGATATATCTGATCATTTCCCTATTTTCTTAACCACTAAAAAACAACTAAAACAGTC